AAGGGTGGTGACAGCTCCTACAGCGGCACCCACACGTCCTCGGGAGACCAGATTCGAGCCGCGCCCAGTGGGCAAGCTCCTGAGGGATCTGGCTCAGCTACTGGACACACAGGCGAAGGTTTTCCAGCATCTGGCAGTGTGGGAGGACATAGCGGAACTCGAGAGGGAGTCGGCAGTGCTCAGGAAGGAACAGAAGGACACCATTCGTCGTCTCAAGATGTTGCCGGGTCGACGGGCAGCGGCGCTGGTGGAGGAACTGGAGAGGGTTCACTACTCAGCACCACCCCCGGTTCTGCAACAGGCACCACTCGAGACCTTGGCAGAGGTTTCCTCTTTGGTACGGGAGAGGGACTAGGCGGTTTAGATTGGACGAACGAGGACTTGGACATGCTCTCTGCGCCAGGTACTCCTCCTATGACTTTATCCCCTCTCGTTCAACCGACAGCCTCTCTTCATCCTGGTAACACCCATCCGGCAGAACCAACGGCAGCAACTCCTCCTTCCTCGGCGACTGGACCAGTCATCAATGTCAACACGAGCACGGCCATGGCTCAGGGTGCGGGCGCGTTGGTCAGCACCTTCCCTGATGGTACTGTCAATCATGGTGCTCACCTATGGGCCCAATCTCGTGAGTTACAGTCTTCGCACAATGCTATCACGCACCAGGTCCTTAATTTGCTTGGCCGTTGCCTTCCTGCAACATCAGAACAGCGTGGTCGAAGCCGTAGTCGTTCCAGGAATTCATCTCCCTATACCCTTCATCGTGTTCGCCTCGACAATGCCTTGAATTCGTTCGACAACTACGCTCGTGGCCATCAGCGTCGTGGCGGGAATCGGGGCCACAATCGTGGTCGTGGTTTTGGTCGTGGTCGTGGTCGAGGAAATGGTCGTGGTGGCCCTCCTCCTCCTTATCCTGGCGCATCCAATACCCAGAACTCTACCCAGTCTTCTGCCTCGATTTCTTCCCTTCCTATCGGCTTGTCGACAAGCACCGGATCAGCGGCTGCTCCCATCGTGGTTGAGGCTTCCGCTGGTGCTTCTGGTGACGACGTTCAGATGGCGGATGCAGCGACAGGCGCGTAGCGTGACACGTCGTGTAACGCAGGAGTTGGTTGGTCACATATGCACAGCCACTGATGTGGTTTCTTTTCTTTGTAAGAATTTTCCGTCGATACTCACAATTTGCAGCTTCCGACTCTGCAAAAATTTTATCTTCTTTTTCCTTTGTTTACTGGTGTACGGCTTGTCTCTGACAACCCGGGAGGGCGAGTGTAGGGATTTTCATCGTCTCTCGTCATCCTCGAGACTCAGCACTTACTCAGCTTTGCTTGTACCTATTGTACCATTTCCTTATATATTCTTTGCTACAGTATATATACGACGCTTTGTACACTAGTAGGAGGGCTTGGACTTAACGAGAGTTGTTCTAGTTCTCTCGCGTGACGCCCGAAGCCAAGTGTCGCTACACAAAGTGAACTTGCGGAGAGAAGCTTAGCGTCACGCGAGAGAACTAGAACAACTCTCGTTAAGTCCAAACCCTCCTACTAGTGTACAAAGCGTCGTATATATACTGTAGCAAAGAATATATAAGGAAATGGTACAATAGGTACAAGCAAAGCTGAGTAAGTGCTGAGTCTCGAGGATGACGAGAGACGATGAAAATCCCTACAGGAACACTAGAGCACGTGCAATAATAGGAAATGACTCTTTTGCGCGTGGATCGTAAAAGTACAAGGTAAAGACGTGTACCGATCGAATCGTTGATCCATGAAGTATCTAAAGGTCTAGGTAAATAGATGTACATTGCACGTAGTCGTAAGCCTGTTGGGCAGGGTTACAATGTGATTGAGTGATCAAAAGACGTGAAATAAGTAGCGTTTACGGGGCAGAACCGGATGGCCTGGCCTGATTCCAAAGATGTTTTAAGCCCTCGGAGAAGAGCGTAAGTCCAGGTGATGACGCGCCTGACACAATGAGGGTCGAAAATGATCGGGATCGAGAGGGCTAAGGACAAGGAACCCCGGCAAACGCCGTAAGGTCTTTTCTGCGCCGTTTCAGCCTAGCTGTGCTTGGTCAGTATGCTATGTAGAGTTGGTAGATCTTAGTTTTCCGTGTGGTATACAAAGTCGTAGAGACGCTTGAAATACCTGAGCCTTCAACTACGGCGATATATTATTACCTTGCGGCCCTTGCCCGAGTTTGCTGTCAGGTCTATCACTCAGCCTGAGGTCGATGACAGAAGGATCATAATGAATGAGATACAACCAAGAAGGGTAGTCTTTGAACAACCTTCGATAGCCCCAGCTGAGATTTTGCTGGTATGCAGGAAGGAGCACGTAAAAGGGTGAGGATTTCGGCTTTCCAACAGTGTTGGTCACTGACGCGTTCTGCTTATTATTCAAAGAACATCCATTCGGTAATGAACGTCAACTTTGTACAGAATGAGTATTATACTCATCACCCCAGCCGAAGGCAGACTGCATGATACAACCCATCGAACCTACCCATCTGCTAGCATATAGTTCCATACGCGTCTCACGCCACCGTGTTCACTTGCAAGAAATCTAGTATCTACGTACAGCCACTACAAAATTCAAGAAAGATCGTCCTTCAGAATAACTAATAATGCGGGCAAGGAAAACAAATACTGGCGAGATTATACGGGATTGCCGGCGAAAAACCGATCAAGCATAGCAACCGTCACCCAGACATTTCTCTTTTGCAGTTCAACGTCTTCGCAGGCCAACACCACGTAAGGTCCATTTTCCGGTCGACGTTTACGCTGCAACGCAAAGAAATCGTGTTTTCCCTCGCCTACCAACTCCCGTAGTCCAAAGCGGCATGAATCCCACCCGGGGTCCTCTGACCGCAGTCGAGCAAGCGTCAGTATACTATCAAGACACCCTCCCGTACCATCCGCGGCTAGAATCCGACATGCTACAAGAAAGTTCTCGCCCCGAAAGAGGTACTCTACTGCCTCCTCATCCATACCACCAGCAATGTACCCTTGGACAATATCGCACATGCTTGGCCGGAATGGGTTCCGTCCCCAATTCTCTAGGCAGTAGTTTTCGTGAAACGCGCGGTCCACTTGCTGAGTAGATATACGAAGACCACGAACGAGGACAACGCATACGAGGTCGAACGGTGAGTATAGGAAATGATGGAACGGTTTGATGGGGTCGGTGGGGGAGAGGTGGTCGTTGAACATGAACTCGATCAAAGATTTCAGTCCGGGGAAGGACGATGAAACTCGCGCTTGAATTGTGATGGCAGCATACATTTGCAGAACATAGAATTGGCTCCAGACTGTTAATCGCGACCATGGCGGCCCCTGTAGGATGCGAACAACAGTTCTAAAAACTGCGTCGTTCGCCATCGCGGAAAGCGACCCGGCCTCTACATGGCTCTCCAGAGTTTCCAGGACAGTGTCCGACACCCTCTGAGTCGTCAAGTGCAGCTTGTAAGCAAAATTCGGTGCAAGCCAGAACGACTCTCAACTGTGTTGAGAAGGGCCCCTCTCGAAATAGATCAAAGACAGAGAACATCCGCAAAAGATTGTCCGTCATCTCTCCTGGGAAGTAGTTTTCAACTGCATCTGTAAAATAAACGGCGTTCGAAGGCGAAGCGACTGGTGGTTGCAGCTGGTGTCCGAACACTGAAATGATGTTTTTGCAGATGGGGAGTGGATATCGATGATCCGTTGGAGCCACAGCATTAAAAGCTCCATCACGCTTCGCGTTCTGAACAAGATTGAACCAAATTATCGCAGGTAACTTTGCATTGATATCCAGAACATGCTTGAGGAACACCATCGGGGAAGGTAAACTAGGCGGTTTGTGCACGCTCATCGCCAGACTGGGGTTAGCATGAACGGATGCGGCGAGCTCAATACTAGCACTGGACGTGTCGATGTATCGGCGGTTCCTCCTGAGGGTATACATGTCGCACAAAAGGGGAGGAATGAATAGCTCAAATCGGAGCAGCCGTTCAACTTCGACCTCCATGCCAGGAAGAGGTCTCTTTTTTGACCTCTCAAACGAGCTATGAAGGAGGATCATGTGCGCCTCCCGGATGTCGCTGGCATTTTGGAAGACCTGGTCTACCCTCGGCTTCGATGACATTGGCAGACCGCCGACACTGCTGGGGTGTGCCGGTCTTTTGACCCGAAAACCAGCATGCAAAAACCGGTACTATTTTGGACGTGTCTTTGGCCCAGAAGATTTGGTGTGAAAAGACCATGACAAATATAGCGCACTTTGTACTTACTTTTTGTATCTGTATTTCAACCGAAAAAGAGCAAATGGAAAACATGCGGTCTTTGGACAGATCTTCGATCCAGTGGTCTTTGGAAACCAGAAACCTCCGATCTGATCACTGGTCTTTGGTTTGGTCTTTGGAACCGGTCTTTTGGGCAAAAAGACCAGAGGAACAAAGGAAAGAACAAAGGAAGTGATCCAAAGACCAATACAAAAACCGATCAAAAGACCGAACCAAAAACCAGTAATCAGATCGGAGGTTTTTGGTTTCCAAAGACCACTGGATCGAAGATCTGTCCAAAGACCGCATGTTTTCCATTTGCTCTTTTTCGGTTGAAATACAGATACAAAAAAGTAAGTACAAAGTGCGCTATATTTGTCATGGTCTTTTCACACCAAATCTTCTGGGCCAAAGACACGTCCAAAATAGTACCGGTTTTTGCATGCTGGTTTTCGGGTCAAAAGACCGGCACACCCCAGCAGTGCGATGGACTGTATGACCATATCTTGAATGTCGAAATCTGAGGATGCAGTTAACAGCCAATGCAACGCATCTACTGAGATTTCGTCTACATGAGCTTTCACTGCAGCGGATTCGGCTTCTCCCAGAGCCACTGCCGACGTCTCCGGCCACTTCTGTGAGGACGAGAACGTGTGAAGGTAGGAGATGATCTGGAAAAGAGTATATGCGGCATTGGAGAGAGGCGTGCGGTAGGGACATTGGGAAAAGAATATTGGTAGAACGATCGATGACAGATAAGCCGCATAAACGAACACGGTGATCGAACCAATGATCCAAGACAGAGAGACTTGGAGGGGAATTAAAAAAACTACTAATCCTAGGAAGAAAATGGCGAGGGCTACATGCATAATAACCGGAAGGAGCCCGACGATAACGAAGACTTGCCACTTTTGAAATCCTGCGTAGCGGAATTGGCGAATGTGATTGCGATCGCGCGGGGTTCCCGAAGGCAAGGCTGTATAGTGGTGAAGCCATTGTTTGACGAGTACGGCTATAAGTGCAGTAGTAAGGCTGAGGACAAGGCTGGTGAGCCACAGTCCGTTGACCCAGACACTGCCACTTGAAGGAATAAATTTGGCGGAAGGATTGGAAGCCGACATCGGAATCATATCAAGGGAAGTCCCATTTGCAAGTGCGCGTTGTATGGAGACCAACTCGAACAGTAGTTTCGCTGACGCCTGGGTGTAGTCCGGTTGCAAGTTCTGGTAAGTTTGTACCATAAAGGTTGTTACGACCGCGGAAAAAAGACCAGCCTTTAAGGATGTTCAGAAAGGGGATTCGGGGGAAGGAAAAGGGACTCACGAAAACGAGAAGCACATCCAGATTCTCTCTGCATTCTCCCACCATGCGAATATCAGTCTGGGTGCTTTCGCGCATATATGTCTGCCAGACCGTTGCATTCGGCGCTGTCTCCTCATAAATGGCATCGCGAAAAGTTTCATCGTTTTGTTTGCTGCCTGGAATTACATTCAGGTGACTTCTGACGAATCTTAGAAAAATCAGTACGTGTACCATTCTTTCGTTGGTCTTGCATCCCAAACACCGTCTTCATCTCTTTGATTTTAGCTTCTTGGACTCGGACATTAGTATCTTTATCGCCCTCGTCCAAACAAGGACGACATTGAAAACCTGACCCGTCTACCACACAGATGGTGAAAAACCAGGGTGTATCGTCAACGTTAAAGACTAACCAGCAGCAACAGAATGTGCAGACATAAATTTCGTTAGTCACGATGAGTTTCCGGTATTGACTTTGTCGTAAACGAGATGTGAAGATTTTTGAATCTTGATGGATGGAGACCAGTAACATAATGATAGTCATGTGGTCTCGCAGACCAGATCAAGCATCCGTGATCATGATAGTTCAGCAAAGGGTCGTAGTCAGACCACAAGGGTGGTAAAAACGAACGGTAGTGGTGGTGGATCGCAACTGAGAGGCATGGTTGGATTATCTCCGCGGACCTTCGTCGTAATCTCCTTCCGCGGACCTCGATCACTCATCTCGATTCCTAGAATCCTACACAATTCTCTTCTCTTGCTCTCTTCCATACGCGATAATATTTTATTTCAAAACTCATGTATTCTTTGCTCGTAGGTCGTAGTCTCTCTTAGGCAGACTCTTAATCTCTTGACAAGCAGTCGAGGTTTGAAACGTACTAGGTAGTATCGTACACTTTGAAATTTGAATGCTTACGATTTTATACGAGCTCGCGTCGTTCATCCAGAATCAGAAGATATACATCTGTCGAAAGCCTGGACTGGCGTATAGAATGCTGCAATTATTTTTATGTGGACCCTTCACAATAATGCCACCATGTTTCAGTCCGAAGCGCCGGAAGCTGGCACCCAGTTCATGGGAATGAATGTTGGTGCCCCCGGAAAGTTTTTCGCGGCGATTGCATAAGGCTCAGTAGCTCTCCAGGACAAGTGTTTGCGGGAAAACTGTAGCCCCATTGTCTGATAGCACAGGCGGCTGGAAATTTTCCGTAGGTACATTCCCTCTACACGCAGATCGGCCACTGACTGCAACACATTCTAATCGCCCTTATCTGAAGCGACGCCATCATCGAATTCGGCAGTCTTTCAGAGAAAATGGAGGTAATTGTATAATTCGCAGAAACGGCGGAGTGATGGCTTATTATGCACGGTATTCGCATCGATTCTTTCATGAAGGCGCGGCGTCTGATACATATTGACATGGCCTGGCCAGGCGTATACTGGAAACTTGAAAGAAAAAAGGACGCTTGTGTGAATGGAAGAGCTGTCTTGAAAGCAATACTTGGCCTTACTCCATAATTGTGAATGGGACCTTGTACTGGGACACAGAAGTTTGTGCAGACCGGAAAAGTACATATCACCATGGAACTGAGGGCCGTTCCCGAATACCGCTCCCGGCCAGTAGCGTTACACTGCATCACCTCGTAGCATCATGAAAACGCGCACAATGCGCTCCACATATGGCAATACGCATATGCATATGTTGTGTCCCATAAATACATTACATGCACCTTGACGCTCCATGTTAGTATGAAGCAATCTATACGACCTTCTCGCTGGACTTATTCGACGGAAACTTAAAGTCATCAGCTTTGTTCTGCATCCCCACAACGGCAGTCTCTTCATCTTGTTGCAGGCTGGCCTCGTCATTTCCGTAGTCGTCAGCCTTGATAGTACTGATTTGCACCTCGATTCGCGGAGTCGTGTGTGGCTTCTGTCAATAGAATAAAGTGATTGCAACAAGCGATAAAGGTGAAGAACATACATTATTGTCTTGGGTCGACATGATGCCGCGGAGGCGAGCGCTGAAGGTGCTGCGCGCGCGATCTTGAAGAGAGTGCGATTCTGCTTCGGTAGAAGCAGGCGTGCGCATGCTCTTTCTCGAATTGAGCGTTGCCAACAGCGAATTGACGTAAACTAGAAATAAGGTGTGTTAGTAATAGCCGCATGTGGTAGCCGTACGTTTGACATACATCGACCAACTAGCTGTCAGTCAGTGTCAATATCTGTTGTGAATTATTCAAATGCGTACTCATGAAGTAGAATGCGAAATAAACCAAAGTGTTCGGGAGAGCAAGAATCTATGGACGCAATGCCATGAGTGTTTTGTTTACCATAGTAAAAGAAATAACTTGCGAAAAGAAGGGACGCGCAGGCACAAATTGAGGTGAGCAGACCGGTATTGATGGCAAACAACATCTATGGCGCACGATCATATCATTAAACCCGAACGTAATGGAACAAATTAGATGCACCAGTCGATTAATGACGTTGTTACTCCAGGCAAATCCCGATTTCGCATTGTTAAGGAAGAAACAGATGGCAACCGATATGAGAACATCTCCTGCTGCAGCGAGTACGTTGATAGACATCGACAGCGGTTTCAGTTTTTGAGGCCGGTAAACGTAGGAAGGTGTGCGCCACCGCCGACATATGCTATTATGAACATGTTATTATTCCGATGTCGAAGGTCTTTGTCACGACTTACCTACTGAGGTCCCCACTTCTCCCAATATCAAAAGCACCTACAAAAGAAGCTGAGAAACCTGACATAGACTCGACAATAATCATGGGCCTACGATGACAGACAGGACTGCGAAGTTTTTCCGGACTATTAGGGAAGGTCAATCAATTCGGTACGAATTTGACGTTGGGGGACAAAACACAAACATGTCCAGATACGGTAGGCGAAGAAACTTTGCACCAAGAATCCCGTGATAGCGTTAAAGACGACCTCGACCTAAGACGAGCGAGTTAGATAAGGAAACCAAAGCTTGAAAAAAGGTGCTAACGTATAGAGTCCATACGATGTTTTCGAGTGCGTCTGTGTCGCCGAAGTGACTGATAGTGTAGTAGTACACTACGGGAATGAGCATCTCAAGACACTCAGAAACGACCCAACTCACAAACATGCGTTATCAAGACTTGGTGAATAGTATCACTGAGCCAGGTGAGGAAAACCTAGAACATCGTCAACGTACATCATGCCGATCCAAAGACGGTGGGTTACACGTACCACGCCCTTCAGGAATATACTGTCGTGTCGGTAGTTATCGAAATAATACCACGTCTGTACGCATGAAACTATACGGTCATCAGTCCGCGTCTTCTGTATGGACAGATAAGACTTACCGCCCCAGAGCCTAAGCACGAGTGGAACCCATCAAAAACTGGCAACGCTGAGGTGGGAAAATGCTTACACAGCAGCCAAGACCATACCGATAAAGAGCGCCCCAAACCTATCAAACATTCAGTTGCTCCATATTTTTGGACCGCAGCAAGGACCTACGTGCTGTCGATAGGAGAGGTCGGGACGGCCATGGTGGATGCGAATATAAGAGAGAGCCCAAGGGAATGAAAAAGCTTGGAGCGCAGCCCTCAGGGAATATAAGATTTTGGCTTTCAGGAGGGCCCAACCTCCTTTCACAGATTAAAGCTTCTTTGCGTTGTGATGTAATCGTCAATGATCGACTATATACTTGGACCCGAGGACCTTCCGAGCCTAACTTGTAAAGCACATCAAGGAAACAGATTGAGGGACTGGCGGGGCGCGTACCAGATGAGGGATAGGCCTTGCAGCTAGTGAATATCATTGGTCCTCTCAAGCTTCCGTGCAAGTCTTGGACATTCGTTTTGAAAAATTCTCTGCTCCACCACTCCAATATCTTTCGGCAAGAGAGGATGCCGCCATAGTGGGTCGCCAAAAGACTTACCCGCTGCTGCCGTTAAACCTCCTGAAGATAATGATATCAGCCGCGCATGGTCGTCCTGAAATTTGCAGCGTGAAAGCTCCACGGACACTCAGCTGGCGGTCCCATTGACGGCGACTGACGGAAGTGCTCTCAGTTGGCACAAGAAAAATAGACATACATACAACATTGCGACCTCTCGACAAAAGATCTTGGATAGTAGAAATATACCGGCGCTCTGCAGTCAGCTACTCTTCGTCTTCATCATAGGAATCGTCGTCATCCTCTTGGAGGATCACAGCAAGCTGCGCATTCTCCTTAATGCCGCAGTAAGCTATAGTTTCATCATTATCACATTCGAACTGTTCCACAACTTCGGTGCCGTCTTCAACGAACTTGACGATATGGATCAATTTAGCCCTGCACAAATTTTCGAAATTAGAATGAGACAAGATCTCTATCGAGAGGGGGTTAACCCACGTGTCAAAGGGAATCCCGAACGATTTGCAAACACCGTGAAGAACCTTCTTGACTTGATATCTTCCGCGAGTCTTCAGTCTAGCCCGCTGGTTATCCTGAGGTCCGATAACGGTAACTTCAAAGTGTTTGTCGAGGTCATCTTCGCCGCTGGCTTGAACTCCTGGCTCTTCATCTAAATGGAACGTCAAGGGCGTCGAGTTCGGGATCACATCAGGGACATACAGCGCTCTTTCCTAGGCGATGGATTCCTCACTCCTGGGCCAGAAGCTTGCAACGTGTTGTTAGCGGCTGCGCGATATCCAAGTGAATAAGAACACATACAACGTTCTTTCTTCGCCGGCGACGTGTTAAGTCCACTTGGTCCAGAAGCCTTCGGTGACACGATCTCCTCTATTTCTTGCTTGACGATCATCATGCTTTTATCTGCTTTGAACACTTGAAACGATTACCGTTAGATCTCTGGATTGCAGGCAACAGACAGTGGCTCACCCTTTCTCACATTTCGTCGCTCTGTATCTGATTCTTCAACCTCTTCCCAGGAGCGACCAGTTTCGTGACTCGAAGACGAGCTTGGCGGCTGTGTGGCATCTATTTCTTCATCGTCTTGGCCTCCCTCATCCGTCAAGTGGTCGTCGTTTGCGAATAGTTCCGCTGCATTTACAACTTTCGGGGTGCGCGATTCGGATAGCACGGATTTCGTTTTTGCGGGAATTCGTCGTGCGGTGAGGGCTGGGGATGCATGCTTCCTAATAGAGCGCCCTTTTCCTTTATCTGATTAGGATATCAGTGTCGAAAATTGTACAATCATGAATGTACAGCGCACCGTTGCTTCGAGGAGTAAGAACGATCTTTATTTCATCCAGAAATGGCGCCATGGCTTCGTAGGCATCCTCATCGACTTCGATCTCTCTTTCATGACAAATGTCCAATGTCGAAACGCGTAGAATTGGGTTAACGTTATCTGGGATATCGAATTTGATTCGCAAGGCGGTTATCATGTCCTTCAGTCTATAGTGAGCAGGGTAATGAAAATAAACGTAGAATTCGAGACTCACTTCATAAGTCTCGCGACGCTTCATGAACACGGTTCTTTGTTCGAAGCAGAACAAGAACACTGGAACGTTCTCCGTCGGCTTGGGCATGGGGTTATTTGCTGAGTGTAAGTACATGGATATACGAGACAAAGGGTATAAAAGAGATGCTTAGGAGAGATTCGTAGATGAAAGGAAGTATCAGAAAAATGTTGAATTTCAGAACGCGTGGGCGGCGTCGAAGACCTTGCAGCGCACGTGATATATACACAAAATTAAATTAGCAAACATAATTAAATAAATAAGTATTTCCTCTCTAAAATTAAACCTACCTTCTCGTACCATACAGCAAAAACCGAGAAAAGAATCGGTATCGGGTTCAGATAATGGACGCCGAGCTCACAGGTGAAATTATAGGACACGCTACGTTTCGCTTATGTTACAAAGTAATACTTAAGCTCATCTGTTGCTCCTACCGCGCCTGGAAATCCTCGTATACCTGAATAATTAATCCCGCTGCCCTTGCTACGTATGCACAACATTTAAATATCACAAACGAATCAAAAATATCAGAAGGATAGATCCCTTTCCAGACCGACTTCCAGCGCTTTCAGCTGTATCTCCCATATCTTCCCACAGAGTTCCACCAACCATGCGATACAGGACCTTGAAACCTCGTCCATAGTAACGATAAAATCCAAATCCTCCTCCACCATCTTTCTCCCTTCCCGAGTCATCTCAGACCACAATCTTCTCATCCCATCAAGGTACGCGTTCCTCGTAACCTCCTCTCCTTTGCCGAGCCCTACCCCTTGCGCTATGGCATAGAATGAACTGCGATCGCTGTGCACAGACGTCGGTTTGTGCACAGTGAGTTTCTTCGAGATCTTATCAAGAAGATATAGCACTCTCGCTGTCTGGGATGACTCGGGATTATGTAGCAGCACGATGATTGTCCCGCCCGTTTTGACGCCCTGCAAGCCGAGGACAAGCTGTGACACAAGGAGAAGGTCGCTGTCTCGGTTCCCGCGCCAGCTGGATAATGGACTAGCACCGAGGATGGCGAGGTCGAATTGACGCTTTTCAATATCCCGAGGGACAGCTTTGAAGTTTGTGCCCGCAATCGGACCTGATGACGAGAGCTGGAATTTCGTCAAATCGTGTGGAACGAATGTCTGCCGACGTAGACGATTATCGAGGCAGTAAGCGTGTCCACCGTCTTCTGTAGGCAAAGAAATTCCAAGTCCTCTGGCGATCTTGTTCTTCTCGAGGATGTAAGCAGTAAAGCCGCCGGGACAACACCTTAAAAAAACACGAGGCCGTTCAGAACAACGACCTGTGAGATCTCGATAATAACTCACCCAAGGTCCAGAAAGCGTAATGATCCCCTCGCGGCCGATGGAATACACTGTGTCACCGTGTTCATCTCCTTCATCACTGCCTTCGTCTTTCTCAGCCAAAAGTTGTTTTGAAAAGAGTCCCTCCCGGGAGATCCGGTTGTCATTATCGACCGCCGTCTATCAAAACCTTTCGGGGAACGTTTCTCCTGAACTGGTGGTATCTGGGATCGCGGAGTCAGTATCATGGGCATTGCACAAAAGAACCGGTGGAAGTTACGTCGGTCGTGGAATTAGCTTCTGTGAGCTCCGCGAGGACCTTACAGCCACTCTCAATGATAATATCCTTCAAGGTTGGCTTTTCGATAGGCGGGTAGATGATCAGGTTGTCTGGGTAAGGCGCAACCATGTTGGCAAAGGTGGGGATGGGGAGAAGGGTGCCCTGTGAGGGTCTCCAGATGAATGCACACAAGAACGCCACCTGAAGCTAGGTTATTACAGCATGCGCTGAAGAAACGGGGATATCTTGGCGTTTGGTTCTTCGGGTTGCCAGTGCTGTTACGTCGCCGAGAGTAAACGAAGGCGCATCAGGAATACGGAACGTTCCACAGCGTGAGCATCCGCTGCTTGAACATCTTCTAGACTGATTGATTTTTTAGACAGGTTAATACAGTTGGCAGGTATTGCTCACCTGGTAAAATGATACATGCTAGAAAATTCAAACTCTCGGCCGCAGAGAGATGGATACGGACGAACCTGGCAATGCATATTCTCGGCAAATTCGGAACACAGAAGCGGTTCGCGCGTACTGCGGCGCGTTACAGCACGTCTTCGAAGGGTCAGCTCCTAGTGTACATAATATGTCATGAAATGGAATTTCCAAAGAAGGGGAATAATGAAAACAAGTCCAAGTGGAGCTTTGGTGGGGGGAGACACTGAACACTGGAAAAAGAAAGAGGATGAGTGGACGAACGTGACCGCGTCGCAAAAGACACAGCCTTCCTGGCCGGCAGGCATTCCTCTCTCTTTAACCATCATGTTATCCAGCCGGCGCTCCGTGTACAAAGGAGGAACCACAGCTTACGGCGCTTGCATTCAGTCTCAGCCGCGGCGCTAAACAGGAAAGAGGTGCTCGGATCAGGGTCGACCACCAGGGTTTTTTCATCTCCATCTGTAACGTCGTGTCAGCGGGCAGCCGTCGACCGGCCATGTCTGACCAGCACCGAGTCGACGAAGTATCCAGCAGACGCTCTTCTGAAGGCATCTCCGATGTACAGGACCGCCCAGAAGGGTCGCCTCAGAATAATGCCTCGAAATTGCGTCAAAACAACGAAAAGAAGCCAGAGAAAATGGAGACTGGCAAGGAACACGTCAATTCAGATAGTATTGGGGTCGAACCATCTTCGAGCCCGGGAATACAGGAAGAAGCCGGCGTCGAGGGTGATAGAGGTGCGAAGAAGACCAGACCAGATGCTGGTTTAAAGACAGGTATTGTGGCTCTTGCTTCGGTTCCCTGCTATTATAATTATGCCTAATGAAGGCTATCTTTAGGCAATGACCCGTTCAACTACGAGGACAAGTACCCCGAAGATAATATCTACGAAGAAACAGCCCCGAATGCGAGAGTATGGAGAACATACGTGGACGAGAGTACGAATTACGACGCCAGGATGGTCGGGGAATCGAGGGATAGTGTCGATGTGCTTCTTGTTTTCGTGAGTAGCTGCCCGTATTTACTTTTTTCGTCACTGAAGACGTTTCAGGCTGGTCTTTTCTCAGCAGTGGTGACAACCTTCGTATCGCAAACATCACAGAGCCTACAGGCGGACTATACTCAGGTGTCGGCATCCCTGCTCTTTGAAATAGTCCTCGTTCAGCGTGCCCTTGCGAACGGTTCCTCTCTCGACAACGTTCCAGTGTCTTCTCTCAATCCATATACCGCGTTCACTCCTGCAACTACGGACGTCTGGGTGAACGGGCTATGGTTCACGAGCCTCTCCCTTAGTCTAGCAACTGCCCTGGTCGCCGTGCTCGTGAAACAGTGGCTCCACCATTACCTCGCGCTTCCTTCAGGGACGCCTCGGGAGCGAAGCCATGTTCGCCAATACCGATACAGAGGATTCCAGAGGTGGCATGTTCTCGTCATCATTGGTCTTCTTCCCGTCCTCATGCACCTCGCACTTGGGATCTTTTTTGTCGGATTGGTCATATTCCTGGTACCACTCCGACCTGGCCTTTCTTGGGTCATCGGCATAGGCACTGTCGCTGCATACGCGACATATTTGATAACCATCTTCCTACCAATTCTATACCCACAATGCCCCTATCGCACACCGCTGTCGGATCTCGTATACTTTCCCTATCGCTATATTACACAGGACCTATTCCCTAAACATATCCGTCCACTCTTCGTGGAAGAGAAGGATGATGAATCTGTTTTTTACAAGCCTGAAGCGAAGGGCATAAGTTCGTTGGATGATCTGGAAAGGGAAGTGGTGCAAGAACGGTCAGGAATCTTGTCGGCGGAAGCGTTACATTGGTTGTTCTCTTCCTCGTCGAATCCTACGGTACACAGTATCGTGGTACAGTCTATCGGCGTTCTGCCGCTGTCGGCGAAGGATGCAGTGAAGAAAGTATTTGGGGAAGCGACAAACATTCGTGCGGCTCAGAGGAACCTACTGTGGGATCCCACGCAAATCCAACTACACTCCTCAAAGCCAAAACCAGGAATGGAAGCTAAGATCGAACGCTTACTTCGTTTCGAGTTGTTCATCCCATTCTGGCTTCACCTGGAACGTAGCCGGTTTTACGTTGATATTGCCGACGGCGACTTGGGACTCACTGTCGCCGTTCAATCAAACGATGATCTCCAGAGGAGTCAATACAAACCATCCAATACACCTACTCCCGCCGCATTTTTTAAGCAAGTGACGTGTTCTAGTGAAATGAAGCTACCTCCAGCCATTTGGCTTAAGCTCATGCGAATTGCCAAAGACGATGGCGCATTCGCTCCGATCGACGTCGACTCACTAGATTCCTTTCCTATGGATCTGTGCAGTCGCGTCGTTCCTCGCATAATGAGCACATTTAAAGACACAGAATCATGCCTTTACTTCGAAAATGCAGCTTCAGCCTACTTCAACGACGAATTGGCAGCCAACTTGCTGAACATACTTTCGGCGTTTGATGTATTGACCGATAAAACATCTTTTCCTTCGACCTTTAAGCTTACGCTAGCTTTCATTCGATATCTACTTCATCGTGTCTCCCTATCTTCTTTCGATGTCGACATTCAACGTACCATATTAGTGGACCAGCTTGACGACCTCCGGAGCTACACGGTCAAGAATCTTCCTGACGAACAAATCGCCGCTCTTGCAAATCGTGGAACATGTCGTTCATAGCCCCGTCTTCAAGCTCGGATCTGAATGGACGAGCGCCCAAACATCTTTGTTATCTTTGTTGGGCGTGTATTCAGGGATGGTCGGTGTCCGGATGCCAGGTCGATCTGCAAGGCACAATTTTTGGCCCGCTTTACAACCACTGGTTGAAACCATGATCAATCAGTACGACGCACTATACGATGCTGATACCATTATTCGTGCGCCTTTCGACACTATGTGTGAAATTTTAGGACTGGGCCATATTTTTATAATCTAAAATTACTTTTTTTCCACTCAGGCATGGTGTGGAAACTGTGTACGACATTTTTATCGATATGCGATGTCTGGAAGTTTTCGGAAACCATTCCCTTCGTCCATCGCTGGTCACTGTTATTAACGGATACGTTGCTGGACTTGCGGCATTGGATACACCGATCGATCTCCAGCGACATTCGGACTACCTTCATGAGCCCGAGAATTTCTTCTTGGCGTGTTGCATTCTAATCACCAACGGGTGGAACGCGTGCGGTGAATCACCCGACATATTTTCACCACCCCGACTATCAGAAGATATCTGTACGGACATAAGGGCACTAGCAAGTCTTCGACCGTCAGATCCTTCTTGGGATCAATGCCTCCGGAAATTGCGCGATTTACTGCATGATGACGGAGGCGAGTTTTTCGTCAAGCAGCAGAAATGGACGATGCATGGGTTCGAACCTCTCAATCCCGAGGCAATCGACGAAGCGAAGAATATATTCGTTTGGTCCTGGGCGAGCTTGATAAAATATTTTCTGGTTCAGTGAATACGTCCTCGGTGAGTAGTCTTGCAAATTTTTGTTGAGAATCTAATATAACTGGTGGTCTAGACGCACCCACACGAATCGATGGTGTCGCCCGTCTTGAGCCGCATATATCGATATCTGCGGTATCCTCGACGTTGGGAAAAGGACGAAGTGCAAGTGTAAGTATGAATCCTTCATATGACAAGAGACTATCCATGCCACCGCGCTAAGGAGCTAGATCGACCGTGACCTTGAAGCTCTCTCGACCTTATATAATTAGGAGTGCACCACAATAGTTTGGTTCCTAGGAGAGCCGTTTTGAATAGCTTCTACAGATCAATTGAGTAGAATCAGCGCAATTGTTTGTTTGAGATAAAAGATAGCATATGCATAGTTCTTCGATGTTAATTGGGTCTGGAATAGTTTCCTCGCCTGAATAGAATTCAGCAAAACAGACAGCTGTTTTCTTAACCGGCCCTAAAGCTGAGCGATCGCCTTTCCAGTTCGGGTGATACTTTCTTTGATTTCAACTTCAATCTTCTTCCAGCTACATGTCTTCGTCGGTGGCTGCTTCTGCAATGAAGGAGTAGCGAGCAAGTGAACAGCGTTTCGTACTCCAACTTCTACTTACGACTCCGATGAAGAAACTGGGTCTATTGGTCTTCACAACATAAAGTCTTGATATCAATACTACGAATAGCACTACCGAGCAGTTACTTAAGCAATCATAAACAATGAAAGTACCCCATGCACAAGCATCACAGATGGGTTTATGACGCCATGTTTACCATTGATCTTCTTCCTAATAACGACAGAATAATTTCTGTGCTCCCCCTATGCTCCAGGCTCTTCAGTCGGCGCTCGGGAACTAGGGCAACCGTTTATCTGATGACGCGACGGTCATGAGTCCCAGGTCCAGTAGACACTCGTGGTTTAGTCTGACAAGCCGTCCTCATTATATACTAGTTGCGGACTGGTGGCTCCTCTCGTGGTTCGGATTAGAACTGCCTATCTCCGGTAAACCTTACCTACTTGGTGTGTTTACTCGCGCATAAAGAAAGACTACAATGACCTGGCATCTTTTCTTCAGGATTCTCCGTCGAATCAATGTATCTTTGATCTTTCCGAAGAATATCCAAAGGAGTGCGACCCACGATACTCATCACACGTACAAATGGTCGTTGCATATGGCTGACGGCCCGGGCTTGTCTTATCCACTATAAAGTCAGTAGAGATGAACGAAGCGACAGGTAGTAAAAAGATGCGAACTTTTTCCTTCTTTTTCGTCTTCTATCTTCTCTCCCTAGCAGCTGCCGCCGACTGGTATACAGTCGAGTGGGATGCCACGTATGTCAAACTACCATCTCATCGGCCATATTCCAATGATGACTGTTTCCCTCAGCACTTTCACGGCGATGTCGGGTGATATGCTCGTTCCCGACCTGCCGACACCCGGAGGTACCCCCTACGTCTGGCCAGGATTGCAGTCCAAACGGCGTCCTCCAAGCTGTGCTGGACGGGCGAAGCGGGACATGGTGGATTGGGGACGGGTTCTATGGCACGCCCTCGCTCTCTTGGGGTAACGGATTCAACGTGTATCCCGGAGATACAGTGCATTTTGAGTTTAGTGTTGTGAGTTTAGATGTCTCTCAGAATCCATCTGCAAACATTGCCTGTGCAGAGCGGGACCGAATGGACGTGCACCCTCTCATCTGGCTCCAATTCGGCGTCGACTGTACTGGACATAACAGGAAACACTATGAATCGGTGCAGTATTTCCTTTTCCGCTTTTCCTTTCTCTCTTTTTCTCATCGCCTCTTCCTTCGTCTAGTGCTATCTTTGCTGTCGAGGTAACTAGTATTATTCTTCCCTTCTTCCTCTCATTCGTTTCGCTCTCAGCTGTACGACGTTGCATTCGATTTCGGCCCGATCGTCTATAGTAACGTCAAGATCACTGCTACAACTGCCGCATCGAGTTGGTGTGGGTCATGGCCGCATCTCGGAAGCTATGTAGGTCGTCTTCTACTACTACTCGGTAGTCATCATGCTCATGTTCGTGGTGCAGCCCTTCACGGTCACAGACGCTACAGCATCTGGAAATACGTGCAGTATTGCGAGTATCGAGCAAGACAGTGCCACAAACCGAATTTCTATCCAATACAATTTGACTGCCTTCTCTGCAAATCAGGTACATGATAACAATCAAAACAAGCTGAAAGAATCCAAGTACTACAAACGGCACACGACCTACAGATCGTTTGCCGACCCCTACTTCTTGACAGCATACACAAACCCGTCATATCCCCTCCCATTAGCAGTGCCAATTGTAGTTGCTTCTACTTCCTCGTCATTTCAAGGCAATAATGAGCTTCTTGATACCAGCGGAAAAATCATTGGATCATCCAGATTCGCATTCGCGACACGTCCGCCTTGAACAGCATTGTCGACGTACTGTTAAAGCGCTTAAGCCAAGAAAAAAAAAAAGAACAGAAAAATCGGCATACGATAGCCCCTCCTTTACGCAGAAGCCGCTTAGCCTCGATGAAATAGTTCAAGTAATTGTTCTTATCGGCGTCGATGAAGGCAAAGTCGAATTTCGGTTCCGAGTCCATCTTTTGCAGTGAGTCAAGGGCGGGGCCCACGACGACGTCGACTTTAGAGGCTAATCCTGCCCTAGCGATATTCTCTGTCGCGGTCTAGAGAACATACCATGTGAGTTGGGTCTATGACTTCCCTGATACGAGCCTGCTTACCTTAGCATGGTGCTCATTCAGCTCTAAAGTAATGAGCTTCCCGTCATCCGGGAGCGCTCTTGCAAGGTGGATGGTAGAATACCTAGCAAGGATTAAGATGATACCATCAAGGACCAAGATGTAGACCACTGACCCTCCAAGTGTACCCACTTCCAAGATTCTCTTCGCACCAATGGACTTTACCAACAAGTACAATAATTTCCCTTGAGCAGGGCTGACAGAAATGGAAGGCAAGCCGTTTGCCTGGCTGTTCTGGACTGCAGCGTCGAGTATCTCGTCTTTCCGCAACAGGTGGGAGTTATGGAAGTTGTCGGATCGTTCCCAGTCGGCAACGGTCGTGGCGGGCCGTTCTCTGTGGTGGGGTGGTTTTGGCAAAGCATGTCGGTGATCCATTGGATACTGATAACTTGAATGATACTAGTAGAATGTGTTCTGGTGGAGTTGATCCACGAGAGTCCCCTTTATATACCGTCCGTCAAATACCTATCATGTGCTCATTGAACCCAGAATTCGACACTTAGTCAGACTCTTTACGAGTTCCGCAGCTAGCGCGTCGCGGTCTGATAACATTCGATGAGGGCAGCGAAGCCGCGAGTGAATTCTCCACGTAGTGCGTTTTCCATCAAGCCGAAGATCGGCAAAGCAGTTGGTCAGAGATTCATTTTAACTGTAGCTATGTTCAATTATAAGTGTAGTTTTCGAAGCTGAGAAGCCGCTGGGGGTCAAGACGAAAAAATACTATGGACCTTGGGGGTACCCATCTTTTGCAACCGCAGCACAATTGTTTGTCATAGAAGGAGACTAGAAAGCAACAGGGTACTGACTGTGTATTGCTAAAAGTCTAAGGAAATGGCGTGCGCCGCTAAAACTTGAATTTGTTACCAGTTGGCCCCAAACTGGGAGACAGGCGCGGCTTATTAGCGCGACTTGGCGAGGGACCCAGGCTAAATATATCACTACTTATCTGATAACCCTTGATCCACGAAGATAACAGGCAAGATCATCGGTTGCAAAGCGCAGCACCCTTTTCCGGCCGTAATACCACGAATACATCGAACTGCCTGCCATAGTATCGTTCCCACCCGTAAAAGTGTTTATGCATCTCTTCAATCTCTTTCTCCTCGCCAACGCTTGGAAGGATCAGCCCCGTGGATGCACCGTACTAGAACGGATGGGGACGAGAGCACCAGTGCATCGGGTGTTTCAGCTTCATTTGGTTTTTTATCCTGTCGTTGGCTGCCCCAGCTTCTGGAAATACATGCACATATCACAAGCATGGCGCAAGAAAGTGCCACGTGAAGCAATTTCCAGGGAATACGATGCAATCACCTCCTGTAATCCATGAACATGATAGTAACTCAGGCAAGCCACGGGAGTCCATGCAGTGTTCCGATGGTCAAGCCGCATCCTGGGCATGCGACTTGCTACTTTTAACTTTCGGTAATACCAAACTCTACTTCCTGATAGCATACAAAAAACCGTCGTATCCTTTTTCACCAACAGTACTAATGGTAGTTGCCTCCGACCTCATCGTCGCCTTTCAAGGCAGAAATGAGCTTCCTCACGCCAGTAGGAATCTCACTATTATCAGCAGGATTCGCGACGCCCCCACTACGAACAACGTTGTCCACGTACTGTGCTTGTGCTTGAGCGGGGAAAACGAAGAAGAAACGAAGAAATTGACGTACGATAATCCCTCCTTTACGCACAAGCCGTTTAGATTCGATGAAATAGTTCAGGCCAATTCGCCCCGTCGGCGTCAAGGAAGGCAAAGTCAAACTTCGGTTCCGAGGGCATTTTTTGAAGTGAGTCAAGGGCGGGGCCGACAATGATTTGAATCTTGGAGGCCACTCCTGCTTTTTTTAATATTCCTCGGTGGCAACCTAGAAAACATGGTGTGTGACTGGGTCCATGAATTTCAAGAACGAAACCACTTACCTTGGCATAATCGCTCTTCCAACTCTAAAGTCGTAACCTTTCCGTCGTCTGGAAGCGCTCTCGCAAAGTGGATAGCGGAATATCTGGCAGAACTTTGAGCGACTCCCTCGAGGACGAAAATATAGACAACCAACCCTCCAAGAGTACCAAACTTCCAAGATCCTCTTTGCGCCAATGGACTTGGCCAACAGGTACAAGAATTTTCCTTGAGCAGGGCTGACAGAAATGACTGGCAACCCGTTTGCCTCGCTATTCTGGAGAGCAGCTTCGAGAGTCTCGTCGTTCTGCAACAGGTGGGAGTTATGGTATTTGTCGGATCGCTCCCAGTCGGCGAGGGTGGTGGGAGGGAGGGTCTTGTTGAGTACTGCAGCCATTGGAAGTTCCGAGTTGATGTGTACTGAGTGAAAGTGATCTGTGTACAGGTTATCGCATGATAGTGGCTCTCATATCTAGTTTGTTGGATAGCCATCTAAAGAAAGAACTCAACTCCTAGCCAAGCCCTTCTCGAGTTCGTAAGCTATCTAAGGACGCGCGTCCCGGCTTGAAAATGTATGATGAGGGCTACGCATTGAATAGATTATCATGGAGCGGCGACGAATTTAGCACTGGATGAAGGGATGTCATAGTGCCACGTCTTGTATACTTGCGTCCGGCGTGCCCAAGTGGTTACTGTGCCGTGTAATGATGATGTTCGTCGAGACCGAAGACCGAAAACATCCTTGATCGAGAATTCATCTGGAGGAAGCTGCCGGGTCTTCAGACACTAACTCATGTCGAGACCCCCAGTATCGACTGGCCCAGCGTAACTAACTGTCCAGATAGGTTGCTTTTATCCGACAATAACCACCAAGATTATTAGTAGGTGATGCGCAGCATGTCCTTTTAGCCGGCTGTAATACCCCCGAAAGTTTATATAAGTATCAGTAGGATTTGGAGATGCACTGTAAATTTGGGGTCCAAGGATCAGATCACGAGAACTATAAGTAGGCGCCTCATAGCTACGAACATGCCGGGAGATTACGCGTACGAACAATTCGCGGGTTTTTTCTCAGCACTGCCGAAGAGACTAGTAATGCCCCGAGAATCAAGATAAACTCGGCTGCAGAGCGTCAAGCTGCAGAGGAAGAAGTTCAGCTTGAGGCTGAAATAGAACTGGCGTATGAATTCGTTGTCCTCGTGCCGGAAGGCGACCTGCGGGATGAAGTAGTCGAACGAGACTTGGGTAAGTATATCAACAAAGAAGCAGCGACAAAGAGATCCTTTATACAAATGAGCCAGAAGGAATGTGAGTAAACAGCGAGCGGAAGGTAGATAAATAATAGAAGTGACCTTCCCCCAGATGTTGCGCTACCTTTCTCTGACAATAGAACCCAAACAGAAACAGGTAGCAATACAAAGATCATCCAGCAGCATCAAGTATCATAGTGGAGTTCAGAGCGGGATATTCGCCGTCTTGCTAGACGAATAGGAAGCTTGAGCGGCCATCAGGTTCGAAGTCTGTTGGAAGTCTAAAACAAGCACGCACTGCACAGCCACTAGCCCGTCGCGTTTCTGTGCACGTGGTCGCCGCCGCCAACGTCACTTACATTCCTACCGTCACCTGGACCCCCAGCTCCCCACCTGGAGCAACAGCGCCTTCCCGTCAGATATCGCATGACCGCTGTAAGTAACCTGTCATCGACATTGCAGGAGGCTGACTTAGGCATCGGACAGACGAGCAATCAAGATTACACCAACATCCCAGAGTCCGATTCAGAAAACGCGGCTCTTAACCCTAACCCGGAACCATGGGCACGACTACGAGATGGAGGAAGCTTGACTGTTCATCCTGATGGACGTTCGTATAACTATTCCTATGGTCCGAAGGGTCTAGCTGGACTGTTTAGCAACCAGTACACGCTTTGGTGTGTGATATTTGCGAGCATTGGAGGCCTGAGTTTCGGGTATGACCAGGGCGTGGTATGTGCCAATGTCTTTGTTTATTTCTGGGTTTACTAATGTCGGTTAGATTGCTAATGTCCTGGTAATGAAGGACTTTACTGAGCGCTGGCCTATATCGCCCTTCCAGGAGGGTCTTATGAGTTGAGCTTCACGTTCTGTTCCTCGGTTTGAATCTCACACTTGTTGAAGCGGCTATTCTGGAGCTCGGTGCATTGACTGGTTCTGTGTTATCAGGAATCTTTGCTGACCGGTGCTCTCGGAGACTTTCGATATTCGTTGCATGCGGTGTGTCTATGTTGCACTAGGCTGCCGATTTCTGACTAATACCGTATAGTTGTATTTTGCATAGGTTCTGTATTCCAATGCGGCGCTTGGAAACTGTATCATATATTCATTGGACGTGCCGTTGGGGGATTAGGCGTAGGAGCATTAAGGTCTGCTTGACCTTTCGTCTCTTTGGTGATTGCTAGCTCATTGGTAAATGTGCAGTATGCTTTCGCCCTTATACATGGCAGAAATCAGTCCTCCGGAGTTGCGTGGATCTCTCATGGCCTTGGAACAGTTTGCCATCGTTTTGGGAGTTGTATGCGGATTTTGGATTGGGTTCTTCACACGTTCCAGTAGGCTTTTATTTCATCGCCGCCTTCGCCCTCACTAACGTACATGGCGTATCCCAGTACCCAGCTCAGCATCTTGGCGCATACCATTAGGTATTCAGATCGTTCCTGGGATCATCTTATGTGTCGGATGTCTATTCCTTCCTGCATCACCTCGCTTGTTAGTTCTTCAGGGCAGGTACGAAGAAGCTTTAGCCAGTTTGGCGAAGCTGAGACGGCGAACACCCATAGAAGCCAAGAGGGATCCTTTGATTCAGGTAACAAGCGTCGTTCTCTTCTTGATCAGCTAATATAATTATTGTTCTAGATCGAACTTTTAGAGATGCGCGTTGAAGCTACCCTCCTCCAGCGGATATCTCCCAATGCTGACGACTTGAAACCTCATGGAAACCTCGGAGAGCTTGGATCCTGGGGAGCGCTCTTCACAAAGAAGTACCGAGCACGTACAGCTGTTGGCGTGCTCATGATGGTATTTCAGCGTAAGTCTGAACATCTTGTCTGTGAGATAGCTGAAACGAGAATCATTCCAGAATGGAGCGGCATCAACGCATTACTGTATTATGGTCCGATTCTTGTCAAGAGTATTGGACTATCGGGAGAAAAAGTCACATTGTTAGTTTCCGGAGGCATTGGCGTTGTTCAATTCTTCGCAGTCATACCCGCCATCTCACAGATTGATCGAATCGGTATGTATCCAAGAGGCTCCCATTCTTTCTCACTGCTGATATAGTTCAGGGAGGAAATCCCTGTTGAGAGGTGCGTTGCGCGCGGGGTGCTGTTAAGTAACTAGTAGCTCAATTTTAGTTAGGCGGAGGCGCAGTAATGGCATGTTCGCACTTTGCCATTGCCATTTTGGTCAGTTTTGTTCTCTCGATTTATCTATAACAGTTAACTCTGCTTCAGATCCTTCTGTATGGCGCGGATTGGTCGTCGCATTCCATTGCAGCTTGGCTTGCGGTAGCGTAAGTCTCCGCCACTGTACGACCTTGCTCCCACCTCACCGTTACCAGGTGTATTTGTACGTTTACTGCGTCCTACGGTGTCTCCTTCGGTCCCATCGGATGGGTGCTTCCAAGCGAAGTCTTCCCGCTGTCTATACGGAGTAAAGGCGTCGCGCTGTCCACGGCCTCGAACTGGACCAACAACTGTCAGTTGCTTACCCGATACTCCGCGTTTGGCTCGCTGACAATTGTACGTAGTCCTTATCGGGCTGGTGACACCGGTACTTGTGGAGTATTCTGCTGCGTAAATGCTGACCTTGCTTTGCGACGCATATATGCTGACGTTTTGATTACACTAGCAGGACATTTATGATCTTCTCGACTGCGTGTTTTCTTGCTTACTTGTGGGCGACATATAGCGTTCCTGAGACGGCGAATGTATCGTTGGAGGAGATTGATGCTGTCTTCGGCACGTCATCAGGACAGGACGATGAATTAGTTCGACAACAGGTCGGTTTACCTTTTACTATGGGAAATGTTCAATGCTCATGATGGTTTAAGATGAGGTGGGATTACGTGAAATTATTAGAGATTTTGCGGATACGTGAGGCTTCTGTTTTATGTTCTAGATATATTGTAGCGTAACAGTTGTATAATTTGGTTGTTAATGTGAATATTTTGTTCATATAATTCAGCTATACATGATGAAACCATCCTTCAATGCATGGTCATCAACCTTTCACTCCCACCTTCACTGTCAAGCTAGCAATGCGGTTGTTGTCGCCGGCATTGATCGACTGGGAGGTTTAATCGAGTGAACACTTACAGTATAAGAAAAGCTGAGCACAAGCGAAGCTGAGACCATGCGGCCTATGACTCGGACGCATAGCTCGTTTAGCCGTGGTTGCTTCAATAGCCTATAATGGGAGAGTACACGATCACGCTTGGAGCCTTACAGTCCGGCTGTCACTATCGCACCCAGTCGCTCCGAGACACGGGAGAAGGAGCCATCATCAAAAACCGAGTCTTCTGCATCACAGGTTGTGATGGGAAAGTGTCAATGTTACAATTTCTTCAACATACAAACATACATTCGCGTTTGATGATTAAGTTACATTCGTGGTAGGGTTTCCATCTAAAAGTTGTGTCCATAGTTGTCGTAATTTGCAGCCTTATGATATGGGGAAAGGCAAGCGCATTCCTTGGGAGGGGCTGTTGTACATGGAGGGAGGGAGCTGCGGTATCGGGGCCGGGGGAAGGGACATGTGCACGACTACCGGTCCCGACGATGACGTCGTAGGCTGGAGGTTCTGGGCGTATGGTACAGGACCCGACGCCGACACGGAGTGACCTTGGCTACGTCGCGAATCAATGTTACCCCGCGTTATGCTGTTGTATCTACGGTAGACATTGATTAACGTTTATATCGAAAACAGCTGGACTAGAAAAGGTTACCTATTCTTGGCCGAGAGACCTGTTCTCCCTGGGAAATACGTTTTGACGATTTTTGTCCAGACTTTGCCGTGCTCACTGACGGCCTTTAGGAGGAGAGCATCCTGAGGTATCGAAGGTAAGCGACGTCAAGATGTCAAGTTTAATTGACTTACCCCTTCCGGTGTCCAAGTAGTCCTGTCGATCGCGGGATTCAAGGTATCTGTCCAGCGCTTTGCACACTCTGAATAAGCAAGCTTTCAGTCAGGACTTCAACGCCACATAACAAAAATTCGACAAACGGTCGCTATTCCTGCTCTGCACCATCGCGGCCACCATCGACCACCTGTGGGACGCGACAAGGGGGGGAAAAATTCAATGTCATGAAGAAGAAACATAAGCATAAAGTCTGTTTACCTCGTGCCGCACTGCTCGATCGCTTTGACGAGTCTCGCGTCCTCTTCCGGAGACCATCCACCCTTGACGACGTCCGAGGCCATTTTGGCGAACCAGCGTTTGCGGCAGTCTTTGTTTGTTCGGTCCGGGACATGTTTGGCGATCGCGTACCACTTGGATGGGCTCGCGCTGTCGGGGTCCTCTAGCGAACAATTGTTTAGGGCCGGAGTACCGCTTCGAATGAGGGCAGCAGCGTACCTTTCTTAACGGCCTCGCGAAGGAGACGGTCCTCTTCTTCTGTCCAGGACCGCCTCTCTCGAGTAGCGGAACCCTTTTGCATGATTGAGGGCTGGTATTTATAAGATGAATCTTGAAAAATGGGTGATGATGGGAGTACCTTCAGGGTCCTCTTGTTTTCGCGCTGGGTTGTTAGCGCCAGGACCAAACAAATCCGGTTACTTGTTGTTTTCCGGACCCGAGCGGGCCTTGAAAACGCTCACTTTCTCTTTTCTGCTTTGTCGTATCTTGGGGCCGTATGGTATCATCAGGTTTGTTTTGGTTATTTCTGACGTGGTTCTTTGATTAGACGCTCCATTTTCCCAGGAAGATCCGAACCTTGATGATCTTCCCACATGTCTTTGCTAGGCTCTGGTCGTTGGGTTCGTCGTACAATGCTTAATTGACAGGCACGATCTTCTAATGTGGCGTCACCAAGCATACTGTACTAAATTCATGCTGTGGTGCTCGCTCCCTAATCCAATACGAGCAGGTGCCTCGGCGTTGCTAATCTGGAGGCCAGGGGGTCACACGTATTGATGATTCTGATTTTGAACTTCGAATTACATGTTAGGCCCGATGCATCGGGGCATTGCAAACTTAAGTATTGAAGTTAAGGATCCTGGCCCCATCGAAACCCATTAGCATCTGCCTTGTATGAAGGAGCCTACGCAATGCGCCGTCGCTTAAATATAGTTAAATAAATAGGCGGAGAAAATCAGGGCGAAAGCCAGGCACAGTGTATTGGGGTTGTGATTAGATAGATAACGGTGGCCGACCATCACAACATTGCGGTAGTAATGCGAAAGATGTTCGAAGGTATGTACCATACGGCGCCAAATGACCTCGCCAATGCCCTCACCTGGAGGGACCCAGGCGAGAAAAAAAGGGCGCGGGTATCTGTAAAGAAAATTCTATGGACGCGAAATAGGAGGGATGCTGATGATGCGTGTTGATACAGTTTGAGGTCGAAAAGCGAGAGTGATATAAAAGAGCGGACGAAGAGAATCTATAGGCTGAATCGACTACCATTGTCGTGTTTTTCCAAGACAGCGCTCCCCCGGTGCCACATGTCAATGAAGAAGTCTGAAACTTTCTTTTGTTCGAAGGGAGTTGGGTAATTAATGGCGAGCTCCGCATCACTCGGTGGACCCTTGTGGCGATTGAATGGTTTTCGAAATATAGTGCTGGGCGGTAGCAAGCATTGGTCTGTGGACTGTCAAACCAGGCAGTATGATATGACGGAGAAACAAACGTACGTTGCTACCAGAGACGCTATCAAAATTATTCGTGTCGATAATGTGGGGTGATAGCCGTTAGTCATTATGTCCTGTCAACGACTGTTACACTAGGACATAAATCTGAAAGTGGCGTACGTACTGCCAGATGAGCCGTGTTGCGGTCAAACAAGTAGCGAAGTCCACGACTCATGCCGTCTTGCTTGTTAATTATAAGGTCGACGCCCAAAGGCATTAGGAACATCCCGACGACGCACATCCAAAAAGCTAAAAGACGGCAACGAATTAGTACAATAGAATCGAATCAATTGCAACAAACGTACCAAAGGAGGCCTCTGCTTCCATATCATCGATAGCCCCGCAAGTATGGGAAACACGATAACGATCGCCCAGTTGACATGGAGCGAGCTCCCGCCTAGCAACCCTTCCTTCAACAACACAATTCTGATGCCAAACGACAGGCCACCATTGAGGACGATAAGGATGATCCCCCCAAGGCGTGCAAACTCGAATGCACCCAAACAAAAGCCCAGGAAGATAAAACCAAGAATGATTGACGTGAGCACGATGTCAGACAAGCCGTCATTGTTGATGCTGTTTATGATAGCGGCCCAGGCTTGAGTCAGAGTAACGTCAGTTACAAGCTCGTGCGACGGACTACACTACTCACATAAAACCCCTGCTGAAAGGCCTATACCAGCACCGGTCGTGAGTCTCCATCCTCTGATCCCAGCAAACGACATGGGCACGCCAATCAGGAGGCAACACCCTATCCACAGCATCGCTGGGGGAGAAACTTTGCCCCTGCCCCATCAGTCGCTTCTCCCTGGGCGATTATGTCCTGAGTAGACGAATCGACCACTTGAACCGTCCCAGATGAATTCGAGACGATGGCTTTCCGAGGGAGTAATACTGGAGCTGGGCGACATAAGCATGAACATAAGAGAACTGGCATAGAATGAGCCACAGGAGAAGCAGGTTTTGTGCGCGGACCGCCGCCGCCATGAATTAACGAGTGTGGGGTGAACAGTCAGCTTAGAGCTTCGAGTCTCTAAAGATACAGCCGGGGAGGGAATCTCGACGGGTATAGGGAAAAAATCCCTAGCAAGGAATCGTGGTGGTATAAGTGGTGAATGAAGATTGATGAAGACGTATTCTGCGCAACCACATTATGAAATAGAGAACGACGACAAGAATTTCCATTGCCGCGACCCGAAATAGATCGCATAGCGACGAACTGATTCCGGTGTGGAGGATAAGGAAATAGGACTGCGCTCGTAGTGTGGCAACCACGGGAAAGTTCCTGATTTGGGGTATGAGCGGTGACGGGAGTTGGTCGGTGTAACGATGGTTTTCGAGCGCCTTTGAGCTTGGCGGAAAAAGTTGCAAGTCGCTTGCGAGCCATCGTAGAACTGCGATAGACGTTTCCTATGGTCGTCCTCAGACCATGATGGCATCCGGCCGATTGGACGCTACATTATTGACGCAGTAAGTACATAAGAAACGGACCAACCATATGGATACGCACAGCAAACTCTCCGTCATGTACCCAGTCATTCTTAATCTTGCAGGTTGCATACCATTGAAAAGCTTGACATTTTTCATAACACTCGAGCATTACATCACCATGTAAACACAAAGCCAGAGCGCTCGACTCATGCGTGGCGCCGATATCTTCGGCCAACGAACATAACTGTCGAAACAAGTACTGGAATTCGGGACCGGTACATCAAGGGAGTGTAAAATAGTAGTGGATACCTGGCTCGACAGGCGTACGTTATCGAAGATAAGCCTATCACAAAAAACCAATCAGCGTAAGATCTCAAACGGAGATTTCAGAAAAAAAAAGGAAACATCAGTTGCAAACTACGGATGATCTCACAGCACACTCTTCTCCGGGAAAGCTCCATACATCGCCCGAACCCACAGGTGTATGCACGGAACCCCACACGCTAACAAGGATTGGTCTTTGCCTTGAGCGCTGATATCCTGCAAGGAAATATACCATCCCAGAACTAGTTGAAACCACATCTAGTGACCACTCGAAGCAGAGGAGACCTGCATCTGCACGAGCTCGGCTGAAGGGAATGGCTGAATGTAAGACTCTGGCCTTTACTAGCAGGTCATGAATCTCTAGACCATGCCAGCCAATAGCGAAAAAGAGTCTGAAATGTTGGTCTAGCCTTTTACAATACACTTCTGCAAACTCGCAAAGAAAAGTGTATTGGGAATTCAGACACGATGGGGTTCGGGCAAGCGAAAGCTAACGTAGGTTCTTTCCACGGAGGCGGCGAGAGGCTCGACCCTTTTACTAAAGCATCATGAAGAGGAGCAGGAAGTGAAATGCGCACCTTAAGTCCTTTGTTGGTGGATGAACGGTCGAAAGGAATCGGGGTTTCCCAAAATGGAACTCAGTCAACACTCGATGGCGTGGGAAATTTGTTTTTAGCTCACGCTCGAGCCAGTCAGCCCTGCGCGAACCATTGGAGATGACGGAAAAACGTATGGCGTAAGGCTGTTCCGTAGCACTCAAATCTATTTTCATCTTGGTTGCTGCGATACATAAGAGGCGCATGAGGAGAAATTGACGTTAACATACCTTCGGTGACCGGTCATTGAGAGTATAAGCATCTAAAAAATTTTCAGCAGATAGCAATCCTGCGCCCCGCAGCGCGGAATCTTCGCATTCGATTGTGGTATTTGAGACGAGCGCCTTGAATAATTTCGGGACGGGCCCATCTTATAAGCGGCGTCGACTTCATCGTCATCCGATTCTTCCGAACTTTCTGTTTCATCTTCCGAGTCATCATTGCTGTCCCGTTCATCCTCGGAATCGCTCTCTTCGTCGTCGTCGTTATGATCTTCTTGTGTAGTTGAGCCGACGTGGGCGGAATTATCGTCTTGGTTGCCCCCGGAAAAACCTTTATCTTCGATGCAGGACACGTTTACTTCGTCCTCGTCTTCGTCATCTTTCTTTTCGACCATGCGCAGTACGATCGCCTCAGATGGCCGCCTACTTCTTTCGATAACATCGAAGATCTCATCCAAACACTCTTCATGCGCGTAAATGTCTAACACCGCAAGATTCTTCGATGCTGCGATGAAAAGGCTGAAGTTTGAGACGCATGAAGACACGGTCAATGTCCGCAGAGCGGGAGACTTTTCCAGGAAAGCGATAAACGTATCAATGGGGAGAACCGGGGTGTATATAGTGAGCGAAGTCAGATTGGGAAGAGAGAATGTTTCGAATATTTTATTGAGCGGCTGTAGACGAGGTTTGGGAAGTGTGATTGTGAGAGAGACGAGAAGCGGGATATGTGCGTTATCGGGTGAGGCACTGCGGAGTGGATTTTGAATTACTATGTGGTTTAGCTTGGGAAACACAGAGCCGATGGAGCATATATCCGCGACTGAACAGTCCACAAAATCAAGTCGGCTGATGCTCCTCGCAGAACTCGCCAAAGCGAGCGAAATCATGTCCCAGTATGTGGGTCTTGTTACTGTGAGGTGGGACAGGTCGGGATAAAAAAGGATGAAAAGCCCAGTCCTGGGACCAGTGTGATGCTTTGGATGTTTGAGGAGTGTGGAGTGAATAGAAGGTTGAAAGCCGCAATGAACGTGATTCTGGATCTCTTGAGGTCAGTTATTAGAGACACACGGCGATGCTCGCACTGATGGAGCAGAGTGCGCAGGAAGTCGAGGAATAAGTCGTCTTCTGGACCGGGAATGCTTGATGCGCATACAAGTCTGATGTTGAGCGGGGCTTGGCCTGCATGGGCGAGATACGTGCAGAGAAGACGTTTCGCGGGAAGAGGGCGCTTATGGACGTTGGCGCCATGAATTGTGATCATAGACCAGAGCTTAGGCATTGAAATGACAATGTTACGCCATACAGAGCAGATCTGCGAGAGATAGAGAGCGGTGGGCTCAATGAGATGAGTGTGGTTCATGGCGACGCTAAAAGTGCAGCACTGGACGAAATTTCTGACAAAATTTCGAGCGGAATGTTGCATATAGGGCTTTTGTGCTGGACCTGCTGCTGAGAGCGCGCGCCAGGGTTGTATTCGAGAGAGGCTGATTTCTGGATCATCGTGGTGAACGAGATTTTTGAAGACAGATTCGGTGAAGACGTCGACCAGCTGTCAATTCTTTGCGCGTAATTCATCTGCAGTAAAGAAACGTTATCCACGTAAGAACAGCTGATATATGCGAACCTTTCAGGTACTAGATGGGGGCAGGATGTGGTAACAGGTCAAGGAGACGCGACGCGATTATTGCTTGTGCTTGCTATGTGCCACTTGTCCCGGCCCGTTCGGTTGGCGGGACCGATGGAATTTTGTATTTTTCTTCACAGGACGAGCCCATGCTGAACTGTATCCGTGTAATTCGATACGGTAGTACCCACGATCTATTACAGCTCGCAACTTCGCACCCAGCTGGATAACATAAGTAATTCAATTCACATAGTCAGTACTATTTATTATTCGTACAAAAATACATCGATGCAGGGATGGGTTTTCGCATATTCGTTAGTATATCACAAGAAAGCAACAAGAAAAATAGCGCAAAACAAGGATCAAAAAGTCATGAAAATGCAGGTCTGTGGCGATATGTATAGATGCATGATGCGAATAAGAATGAAATGCAGAATCGATCACCACATACGCGTCCCAGCCATGGCGCGGTAATTCACCATGGGTTGGAAGTATCCCGGATGCGGTCCGTAGAAGTACGGCCGTATCTGTGGATACGCATATGCTTGGGGGTTAAACATGGGATAAGGGTAGCCAGACCGGGTGGGAAGGGGGTATAGAGGGGCAGGCAAGGAAGACGAGCGCGAGGACGTTGAAGAGAACGAGGAGACTGATGATCCACCTCGCTTATGTGTCTTTGGCGGCTGCCTTGACCTCTTTCCCCATTGGCTCTGCTTGGAAGAAGACTCCTTCACAGGCGGTTTGGGATCTCGAGGCGGACTAGCACTCTCGAGTTCTATCCAGCCCGCCGACGTCGCTGCCGGCGCCACGGAGGATTGACGCTTAGGTTCAATCCACCCTTCAGTTGTCGACGTCTTGTCCGGTACTGCCGAGCGACACCGGCGCGTAAGAGCGTCGAAGAGATCCTTCTTCCTCTGAACCTTGTCCTTTTCCCCAAAGCCAATCCAACCCTCGTCATCCTCCAGTACTCGGCGCTTGGGCATCTTGACGACGAATGCATCGTCGTCAGAGTCTGGCGACTTGCGCTCGTCTGGAGCGAAAGGTGCGAAGACGATGTTGGCCTTCCCTTCGTAAGATCCGATGATGTTCCGAATCTCTTCCTCTATTTCGTCCCTTTCATCCTCCTCATCCACCCCCATATAGAAACCCTGTTCGTCCTTGGTAATCTTGATCTTGTGGTTCTGTGAAGGAACGGGGTACACAAAGGTAGGAACAAACGAGTTAGCCGAAGCATTCAGCTTGCTCGCGGGGGTATTTGGTGCGGAAGTAGATGCGGCAGAAGAGCTGGACACTGATGAGGTGGACGCTGATGGGCATGGTGATGGGGTACCACGGGACGAGGCGGAGGATGACGCGGCATACGTTGGAATGTCTCCAAAGAGATCTGTAATGAGCTCGTTCCATCTCCCTTTATTCATACCGTCACAGTGACATAGATCAGACACCGAAGTTGTTTTGCTGCTCTGCGAGTAGTAAAAACCAACATCGGCCTCGTACCGGTCAAGAGCACCGAGAGCACCCTGAACACCGGGCAGGGAACAACTGAGGGACAGATCCGTGTCTTCATGGGTGACAGGTGGGTCATCGACAGCGAGTGGTGGGAGAACTGCGACCTTCTTCCTTGCCGTAGGGGAAGGGGCCCATGAAACTGACGTATACGAGGTCCTCCACCAGTCATCACCGTCAATAATTTGCCACTGGTCATCCTCCATCGTCATCCTTTCATCGCCATCGTCCATAGCGGCTGGAACGTAGCGGGTAAGTTGTGCGCTGACTCGATGTGAGAAAGAGGATTCACCACGGGATCGATGCGAGTCGACTGGCCCACAACGATGACAAAAGGTCTTTTGTACAAGCCAGATGATCACAGATGGGGCAGATAGAGAAACTTTGTCGTTACAGCTAGAAGGACATGCGTGGGCAGAGTAGAAGGGTAAGGACAACAAAGGCAAGTCCCTTCTTCTGTCACTCGGCTCACGTTTTTCGTGACCTTCGGATCTCCATCTGCTCCATCTCCATCATGATCACCCTCCTTTTGCATCGTGCTCAACGTACTGAACGATGCCGGGCGTCGCGGACAGGGACGACGGCTGACGACGACTGACCTGGAACTTGTGGTCATCGGCTACCGAGCACCTTCACGGAGCAGCCTTCCACGAAGAAACTGATGGACGAGGCACCCGCTCGTACGTATAGCTCATGCTGTGCTCGTCGTGCTTGGTGACGAGGAAATGCATGAAATGATAGTTGTCGTATGTGGTGATGGTGGTTAGCGAAGGAGATGCGCAGTGGGTTCCATGGCTGTTTACTATTTCTCCGTTGTTTACACAAACTACAGCTATATGCATTGCTCGACACTGCAACACACGACCATCAGCTGGCGCGTTTGGTCGATATCTGGAACGCTGGGAGTGCCGTGACAGCTAGGTGAGGCCTTTCCATATTTGCCCTGCCGCAGTTTGGCCTAGTTTTTGGAACTGAAGAGTATATAAAGAATGCTATCACAGCAGCTGTACACTTAGCACGCTCTTGGCTTATACATGTCTGCCGTATCCCGGACTTCTTATGGCCCAAGATTCGTCTGTGCTTTTACCCTGTGCTGCGTCAAGTAGCGGCAAAACTGCGACGGTACAGGCTTGACCTTTACTCTATAGTTATCCGGCAACTAGAACGTCCTGGGAATGGCAAGGTCCTCCCGCTTAATTCTAATCTTTTGTGTGCAGAGTGCCTTGATTGTGGCGATTAATGTGGAGGCAGATGGTATGTATGCGCTTTACAGCATTTCTATTCTAATATTGACCTATTGTCAACGCTCTAGGCAAACCCTGGATTTCTTAAAATTGCTACATCGGTCATTCACTCGTGCTCCTCGTTCATCCATCTCTTGGTGTCCCAACCGTGGCAGCATAAATACTCATTGATTCGTTTACATCGCTCTAAACATATCATGATCCAAAGATTTGAGTCCGAAGGGCATGAGGAGCCCCCTACAGCCTTCGGCCTGATCCTTGGTGGCGTAGGAAGAAAGCATCACAGGAACAACTTGAACTCCGAGTCGACCGCTCATCAATCTTCGAAGCTTCATCGACAGAGGACTACCAATGGCGCTCCCACTCGACTTTTGGCCCACTTCACAAGTCGTGGCGAGCATACTCGCGTTTATCGCATCGCTCGCTGGATTATCAGCCAGTTCTATTCATACTCGGTGTTTGGTTCGAAGACAGCACGTTTTTATCCTCGAGGTTCCGTTTTGTAATAGGGACGGGGGCTTTTCAGGCGATGAGAAAATCAAGCCCTTTTCATCTGCACCACTTTCGAGTGACCATGAACTCATGGACTCAGCCATGGATGTGGTATGTTTTATCTTCTTCTAGTAATGTTGCCAGTTTCATGACGTGTACACATCTCCACATTCAGAAGTGCTTGTTGTACTATTGCAAAATAGACGTCATCGACCTAGGGCAAAACGTAGGGCCGTTATCTATCGAGGTTCTACAATGCAATGAATGCTTTCATGTTGCTCTCACTAGATTAGCGATCTCAACCTAGACAAGTTCCGATGTCCTGGATTTAAAGAAGCGAACGGCATTGGTGACGCTTGTGCCAGGCGCACAGCCAGTCGTTGGCGATACCGTGGCAGAAATGTGCGGCCCTTAAAGCTTGGAAGCGTACGTTTGTTCTTCCACCCTTCCTTCATGTATCATATTTGTCTTAACTATATTGGACTGTCATTGAAGTCGGTGGTATGGCATTCCTTTATGCAGGCGTAATCGTAAGACCAGATAGAAAGCCGCTAATCAATGCGCAAGAACAGTTTCATTGCCGATCCAATACACGAGCGTACTGAAGCCATGTGTACAATACTTCTGAAACAAAAAATCCCCATCCTTTTCGAACTGACCGATATCTGCGCATCAAAATCTGGGGTGCAACTGACTTGTCACCGGCTACCGAACGCGTAGCATTTGCCGCACCAACGAACAGACGAAACATCCACTCGCACCTGTGATACTAGGCTTGTCGTATTTAGCTACCAGCTAATGCATAGAGTGATAGTAGTCGTATGTGGTGATAGTAGTCAGCGAAAGAGATGCATAATGAATTTTCATGCCTTTCACTGTTCCTCTACTATTGAACATGTCCGAGTATTATCGAGCAGACCACTTTCAAAATTAGGATTCATTTGACAGTTCATCCCTGCCGCTGGAGTGCACTACACGCTACACTGTATGCGAACGTTGCTGTCTTTCCACAAATCATTAACGCGATGATTCCACTGTCTGTTTTATGATCGAAAATTTGACACCCTACTATACAGATTAGCTTAGAATCAATCCATCTGTCCACTGTCCACCACACCTCATATCTGCGAATCACCTACAGATGTATACTAAGGCTTCCATGTCTTTGAGACTGAAATTCTGCGACGTATCGCTGCGATCAATTTGATCATTTCGATTGACCTCGCTTCCAAAATATTGAGACAGTCCTCTAACTCCGAGTCCTTGACTTGTTCTAAATACTCTGCCTCCTTCGCATTAACAGATTTAGTACTATCCGAACTCTTTTATTCTTTCCTCGGTTCCTGTGTGTCCCCGACAGAGCAAGCCCTCAGACGCTTCGCACCTTGAACCTGTATGTTGACACCTACTTCGGCGGGATTGTGATTATCAAAGCCTTTGACTTTCTCAACGGCGCGCGCCGCTGAGGCACAAAATTTCTCTGAGATTATATACTGAGAGCCGACAAATTTAACCGAAGACGATCTTGATCGCACTGAAGTGTCGTCGACTAGATCCTCGCCTCCAGCTGTCCAGGTCTGCTGGTCCGTGATCGGTTCTGTGGTAGAGTCCGAGGCGCTGCCCAAAAAGTGTGCTTTATTCCCTTGATCCTCAACGTACTGAACAGGCGAAGCACGTATCGCGGCTAGTACAGTATCATCGCGCCGCAAAGGCCGAGGAAGTTCGGAGTCAGAAGACGGGACCAGCGCGGGTGACCAAGGTGAGGAATCTGGAGCGGTCTGAACTGCACTTGCAGCGGTTTGGCTGTTGATGGTGAGAGACAAAGGATGAGGTAGAGTGCCCGCCAATAGATACGACAAGGATGCTTTTAGGCCTTCCTTCTCCTGATTTCTGGCGGACGTACCATTTACGCGAGGAGGAGGATCGGATGGCGCTGCTGTCATTGGAGCATTATCTGGCTGTGGAGGACTCCCTGCAGATGAAGAAACCTGTTTCGGTTGTCCGACGATCGTGGCACCATCAGTAGCTTTCCACGAGCACCGTTTACCGCCCAATCGACACCTGCGGCATTTCCCATTCCGGCCTGACACGGTATACTCACAGCGATACCTTCCCTGGCAACGATCACACTAGGTTCAACAATAAGCGGAGGGAAAATGTCAATAAAAATAAGCACGTACAGGAATGGGATTGAGGACAGGGATCACGTCCCAATTCGTGATCGCGACCCGGTTGGAGACCTTTCCATTACTCAAAAAACTCCTCTCCGTCTTCTGCACACTTAAGAAGATAATCTGCGACCAAAGATCCTCTCCGAGAAGTGATCGAGCCCTCGGAAGGTGCTCATCATCTAGAGTACCGATGAGCGCCTTTAATGCTACCAACTGTTCTTCATTCGGTCGAAAGCTTAGCATGCTGTCTCTGAGGTCTTTGATCTAGAAATTTTTTCGAGGATGATATATGAGGCTCACGAAAAGCGAATACCGTACCTTATCAAGACCAAAGGGAGGGCATTCAGATACCGGAACTGAGCCGTCCGCACTCTGATTCTTGGTCTGGTCATGACAGGTAAGATGCAGAGGTCGCCCAAACACAATACTTACTTGCAAACCACTGAGCAAGAGGTCTTCTTCTCATTTCCGGGTCGCACTGAGAGGTATAGAAAATATTCGGGGGCTTTAAACGACGACTTTCCGGCGCAATGATCGTTGGTAAAGAAAAACTGCATTTGGCTTTGAGTGTCCGTATCAAAGGCTGAAGAAGGTCTGGGTAAATTACGGGGTATATGAGATGAAGATGGTGTACTTATATCGTCTCTGGTATGGCAGCTAGCATTGGCCAAATTTGTATCAACGGAGAGCCGAGCTGGAAGGGTTCTGAGAATTCTCAGCGACTTGAAGCTGGGGTATGGTCGATGGCTGATCATGTCGATTGTGGTACCGCAGGTGAGGCAGATGCTTAGAACTTTGCTTGGTTGCCAGGCTGGCGGTGGGTAGGAGTAGTTGGCTGGTGACCTTCGAAGACGGTATCCATGCGGCCGCGGCAGACCATGCCCTAGTTCTTTCGGGGCTACGTCTTGAATTCGAATAGATTAGGTTGTCGGGATGAATTAAAATCTTATAGGAAGCGCCCGAGCGGTATGCTAGAAACAGTGCAAGTCTTAAGAGACCGAATGTTGAAAGCCTAGGGAGAAGCCAATGCTAAAATGCTCACTTTCAACTTCTGAAGTATCCGGCACCTTGAACTTGTCTGCGCTGTGCACCGCTTGCCATTCTCCCAACGAATTCAAGGTGGAGATGATTTCTTTCTAGTAGCAGAAACGAGTCAGATTCTAGAGCAACTTGAACTGAGATACACCTACCCATGCTTGGGCAGCATCAGATCGGGAGTTTCGAGGCATTTTCAACAAGTATCGATGGGTTTGTTCGCGAATGGTGTCTATTATATCGGTCGCCGCCAACACTCGACTAGGTCTGCAAGTGACATGGAAATATAGTGGACTGTATCCACACGCGACGTTTGAATGTAAGGTTGTCGGGGACTGCTTAGAGGTCATCCCGGTCGTCTGCAGAGTTGAAAAAATAGTGATGAGGTCCGATTCTCCGAGCCTACTAAGTAGGTGGATTTTCCCACTCCGACGGCAGCTCGCTGATGTGGCCGTTACGCCACAGATGGCCAGACGGCCAGAATCGTGGGGTCTCAAGGAAAACATGTCAGTAAATTTTACGTAGGACACTCGGCCAAGCCTAGGAAGGTGCAAGAGCAACTCTAGCTTCTCTATAGTACTTACCCTGCCCATATAGACTGCTCAGCAGTCTACAAACATTACTGACAGTATGGCACAGGCTCGAGCGAAGTGTGACAAAAAGTAGGCGGTGAAGAATGTTTTCTGAAACGTGATAGACCTTCAAATGCGACTTGTCAGCATACGAATCAAGACGGCAATTCCTTACGCTGCTTGACGGGTTATAGATGTATGATTTCTTATCCGACTGAGTAACGACGCGGGCTCTTGCTCATGTCCATTTAAGTAGTAGGACAAGAAGGACGAGCAAAGAACCTGTAGATAAGGAATTCAAAGATTGCTGCATAAGGAATAGAGAAGGAGTAAGCTCTGCAGGCATCTGGGGAGATTGCTGTCAGAAGCCATGATCGAGCTCCGTGGAAGATATAGACCACCGACAAGTAGGCATCGGCAAATGCCGATCTCACTTACTTTCCGTTATGCTGCATTTCTTGCTTGATATCGTGCTTCACCGGCTATCGACTTTCTGAATTCGGTGAATTGTATCGCAGTATCTAGCGTCAAGGTGCGTGCTAGGGCCATAAAGTATATTATAAAAACTGACATGCTGCTCTAGTAATGATATTCCTTATGGCAATGGACATGCCCGATCCTGACGAATTGGAAGAAAGCGAGAGAGACAGGGCCATTGTGGGAAAGTGGCTAATGAAAGGCGCAGGTGTGAAGGCCGAGGAACTCAAGTGAATCACTTTGGTAGATAACCGGAGGATCACGATCAATGGGATACAACTGAGAAAGGTGGTACTCCAGAAGATGATGAAGATTCCAGCTGAACTTATAGCTGAATTGACGGAAGCAGCGCGTAAGAGGGACCTGGAAAATGCTAGCAGTGTCTTTGACAACTACATCGACTAACCTGCCCATCCCTCGATTCAAATTGACATTTTACTCCCTAAGGGACATGAACATTAGTTTAGCACAGATTTTGCACAGAGTTACGACCATTAGCTACCCTTGAGCTCAGGGCAATGGCACTCCCTAGAGTATACACATGTCCTGACTAAGGTCAGGTTTGCTAGCTGGTAGATTTGCATATCTCAAAAGAAACCATATCAATACGAGAACTTTTGCGAGGGGACACGGCTTCGAAAGAAAAATTGAAATTTATCATACAACAACATACATACAAAGTCCCATGAATCTATATAACCATATGACAATGCGCTTGATGGTATAAGTGAGGATCATCAGACTTAGTAGTTGTAGTGTGTGTTCCAGCAAGAAGAGTCGTAGTACTTCTTGCCACACCACAGAAAATGATCAACATTTATGAGCATGTACAAACCGAAATTACTCCTAAGAAAGCTGTCTAACCCACCTAACGTCTAATAAACAATCTCAACGATAGACTTGGCTATAAAGATGTCTGACGTACCTCAATTTTATTGTAAGCAGTATATATGTCCAGATATAATCCCATATAATCCTGGTAAACAGGCATATACCTTTACGGCCTGACCTGCATTAGCCTCAAGTTAATATCACTTCATAAGAGTTTGGGCAGCTTAGAATGATTATTAAAGACATTACCGCCAGTTACTCTTATATACGATAGCATTTTCAATAGACGGCAGCAGCATTTGATGAACACGAGTATATTATTGAATGCGGCGATGAAACCACCAGATACAAATTACATACACTAATACGAAGTGGCCAGGGATACGGGTACAGAGCATAGCCACGCATTCGAGGTGCAAAGCAAACCTGTATAACAATTTGAGTGAGATGTGAACGGAATAACAGCAGAAAAAACTTACAGAAAGGCTAAATGCAACTTGTGCAGGAGCATAGAGATGCCGCTGAACATCAAAGCATCGGACCCAGCCTTACGAGTCACAATAACGGGTAGTCATCTTCATGATGGGGCTCTTAGGCAGACAATTATCTTGGATGTTCATTGTGATCGGTATCCGTATGTATCGCAACGACTTTGCCTAAAGAGCGAAATCAGCGAAATCACAGACAAACAGTGAGAAGACATATTTTCCAACCGTGGGGCAGACTCTGATATTAAAGAAACCACAAAAGTCAGAGTATATGCGCATACATGCTTTCGAATTTGCGCACCTTGTTGTATATCTACCATCCTTATTGTCCTCCTCACCTGCCTATCCTTCTCATTGCGAAACATTGTTCAGCGCTTCGTGGGCATGGTCGATGTGGTACTGGAAAGAGCAGTTATTATATGGTGGCACGAAGGGAAACCGATGCCAAAAGCACCTCCAATCAGAAGTAGCGTCACTCGACTCCCTCTGTTACCTGCAGGTATGAAAAACTCAGTAAAATGTACACTACAGAGCAAACAGGAGACACACCTCTGCCCTCGAGTACCGCTATTATGTTCTCGGCATCGCCGTGACCTTCATGCATTGTGAATGAGAGAATGAGTGTGTTCATCGTCAGATGAACCGTAGGCACTGCCGCTGCCAAGATCCTTGTTGTTGCCATTGTCTTGCTCCATGTCGACCTCATAATCAGCTTCGTCATCTTCAGATCTGAAGTTGGTGGAGTCGGAAACCGTTTTCTCGCTGGTGGTTGGGAAACCTGGCGATGCTCGGCATTCTTCGATGCATTCTTGGATGTGCTCGAAGGTTTTCTGGGTGGGAGTAGCTTTTCTCGATGGCTTCACATGTGAAGAACTGGAGAATGTGGGTTTGGGGATGGCAGGGAAGATGGCGGTAGAAAGAAAAGCAAAGATTGCGGTCTGTCACGTTCATGTGACATGACATTGCACATCACGATACCGATTTTAGAAACTTGTTCTCGCCTGCCAGCCCTGTCACCGGCGGGAACATGTAGCATCACAACTGCCAGCACGTTCACCCAACAAAATCCTCCTCCTATGAATCTCTGTCTTTAGAATGTATCTGTCATCCTTCCTTTTGCCCCGAGTCTACAACTCTGCAAGTTTTGCCATGACGATGTTCCTCTATGACCGGATTGCAAAGCTTTTACAAACCTAAATAAACCTAGACTGAGATTTCTAATGGTTATATCCTCTTATGAACCTGACTGAGAGGATTAAAATATCAAGTATCCCAAAATGAACACATGGCTCGTTTATACAGGTATATGAACATGCCTTATCTTTATATCAGGCTATATACGAAGTCATCTTATGTAAAGGCATGTAACCTTTTCTCGCTTTTTGTGGTGCATCCTTCTTGCTATCCCTGTCCTTTCTATCCTTCTTATCATCCTTGTCTTCATCACAGTCATCCTCCCAAGTCAAGATATCGATAATCTCTTCGAAGAGCTCGCAGATGAACTTCTCCTCGATCTCTTCCTCGGAGTAGACTGAAAAGAAACGCTGAATAAAATGGAAGAGGGAGTAAGCGTTAAACGTACCCTGGCAAGAATTACATTTGTCATCCTTCTCGCAAAGGTTCTTGCAGTCTGAGGAGTGGATGTCAGTAAAAATGATCATTGGATGAAGATTAAAGAGATAGGCTTACCGATCTCATGGGAGTCTTTCTTGACATCCTTGTGGTCGTAGGGAGTGTACTTGCCGTTGTTCCATCCCCTGAAGTCCTTCTTGTGCTCGAACACAGGCTCCCAGGTACAGCCTTTGCGCCCGTGGTCCTTGTCGTCTTTGTCCTTGCTGAAGTCCTTGCTGCTGCCATCATTCTTGTGGTTGTCCTTCTTGTCGTCATCCTTCTTGCCAAAGTCCTTGCTGCCGCCGTCATTCTTGCGGTCGTCCTTCTTGTCATCATCCTTCTTGCCAAAGTCCTTGCTGCCACCATCGTTGTGACCGTAGTCCTTGCTGTAGTCCCTGCTGCCACCGTCATTGTAGCCATTGTAACCTACACTACTGTAGGAGTCATCCCTGGCTTGAACGGAAGCAGAGAGGGTGGGGACTGCGAGAGCAGCGAGAGGGAGGAGAGCAGCAACTGAGAAACGCATCGTGATGGATAGGGATAGGCTGATAGTAGGAAAGTAGATAGACGAGGGTGATGTGTCTTTCTGGAGAATGTCGACGATTTTGACGCCCTTTTATACACCAGAAAGTCCCTCCGCAAGTGGCTATCTCCATGAATGAAGTGAACTCAACGAACGTCACGTCGAAACAGCACTCACTAGAAGATGAGGGAGATTTGTATCCAAGCATAATCCACTCCAAAGACCTGTCAGGCCACAAGGAAACCTTCGAGCGGTGGTAACCAAATACGGTGCAGATGGGAACGTCGGTCTCAGAGGGAAAGAAATTTGGAGAGCAGCCAGCCTTCAAAGTCTCATCAGAATCGAGAGAGTAGATACTCATAAGAAAAGACATTTCAGATATGCCAAGGACGTCGGATGATTCATCCTCAAAAGTTGTCGCGTAGGTGGATTTTCAAATTTCGCTAAGTCCATGGTTCAGCGAGAAATGTGGGTCTTTCCAATGGAAACAAGTGATTCTCGCTGACTGTGGCTGACTCCAGCAGTTACTGCGACACCAGTTAAACAAAACATGCCAGGTGAACATCAGTCTCTCATTATTCCATAGATATAGTGACACTGATAAGAAATCTTGTAGTCCGAGTAGGCGAAGAGAAGAGGCTCTGGCCAAGGGCAGATGGGTGAAACGCGGCAAGCGACTCGGAAGTGATCCAGCCATTTAAGCGGCAACATTATGCCGCCTCTCCGGCTGTGAGCGGCAGTCGCTTGCCAGTTTCCATTCCTAGGGTTCCGTTTTTCTCTTTGCTTTCGACTCCAGTTCGACTCAGCGGCTTGGAACTTGGGAGTCCTTTGTACTTATCCACATAGCTTTAACTTCGCCCTCAAGTTTCTACCTTCAAGTCCCTTGTATTTAACTTTAAAAGTTCCTTGTACTGGCACACCTGAAATGTCTTGTGTCTCTCAGGACCAGCAAAATTATGACAGGTCTCCCCGTTTTCCCCGCTACATCTTAGACCAACGTTCCCGCCTGCGCCATATCTGGTTGCTGTCACTCGAAAGTTCCCTTGCAGCTTGGCAGGTCTCGACGAAAATTGCTCTTGGCTACTACGAATATATCTCGTGTTCGGTGCTGTTTCAACATGACGTTCTTGAAGCATGCCTGTTGGTTGAGACAATGACTTAACGTCAAAGAAGATTTCTGGGAACCAGAAGGATATAAAAGGCCGCATAAATCACTAAGTTTTCCAGACAGACTTATCATCTTCGTCTACCTACTTCAGTCTATTCATCACGATGCATTTCTCAGTTGCCGCTCTCCTCCCTCTCGCTGCTCTCGCAGTCCCCACCCTCTCTGCTTCCGTTCAAGCCAGGGATGACTCCTACAGTAGTGTAGGTTACAATGGCTACAATGACGGTGGCAGCAGGGACTACAGCAAGGACTACGGTCACAACGATGGTGGCAGCAAGGACTTTGGCAAGAAGGATGATGACAAGAAGGACGACCGCAAGAATGACGGCGGCAGCAAGGACTTTGGCAAGAAGGATGACGACAAGAAGGACAACCACAAGAATGATGGCAGCAGCAAGGACTTCAGCAAGGACAAAGACGACAAGGACCACGGGCGTAAAGGCTGTACCTGGGAGCCTGTGTTCGAGCACAAGAAGGACTTCAGGGGATGGAACAACGGCAAGTACACTCCCTACGACCACAAGGATGTCAAGAAAGACTCCCACGAGATCGGTAAGCCTATCTCTTTAATCTTCGTCCAATGATCATTTTTACTGACATCCACTCCTCAGACTGCAAGAACCTTTGCGAGAAGGATGACAAATGTAATTCTTGCCAGGGTACGTTTAACGCTTACTCCCTCTTCCATTTTATTCAGCGTTTCTTTTCAGTCTACTCCGAGGAAGAGATCGAGGAGAAGTTCATCTGCGAGCTCTTCGAAGAGATTATCGATATTTTGACTTGGGAGGATGACTGTGATGAAGACAAGGACGATAAGAAGGATGGAAAGAACAGGGATGGCAAGAAGGATGGCAAGAAATACTACGACTCTTCTTGCTGGAACGTGCACTACACCTACTAGATCCGACGAGGTATCTGGGGTGATAACAGTGGCCGTTTGTAGCTCTCTGTATGTATAGTATTGTATACCTCAAATGCGATTTGAATGCGGCACCTTTCGTTATCGGGACTTGGGGCAGCGAAAATCATTGCCATGAGCAAGTTTACACCCCTTGGTTATCTGCTGCAAGCGGTTACTTGTGTTGATGTAACAGCATTCCTGGTGCGCTTATTCGCAGATTACTCGCAGAAACCTCTCTTTAAGCTCAAAAACAACTACAAATTCTTATTCGGTACTCGCATCTCAGTTTTTTGGAATGAATATGTGGGTACAGAAGGGCAGAAAAAACAGAGTTCGAGGAGCTTATCATGTAGTGAATTCTCTAAAAATACACATTATATCTATGAATACAGTGTCTATCTACTCCTGCTGTCCGACTATCCACCCTAAACCTTTGCGACTCAACAAGCCCCTCCAGGAATCTTCTAATCTGCCCATATCATGCAGCTCCATGTACGTCTTTGTGACATCCCTACGGCACCTCCGGCTGATAATTCCGAGCACGACGGTGAAGGCGTTCACTCTCCCTACAATCAGGACCTTCCCCGACATGGTCGCCATCATCAAGTCGAGAACTGAGCGTGACAGAGTCGGTATGCCCTGATCATTCTCCCCCTCATCTTCGATGCAAATTTTAACCCCATTCCAGTCTTCTACATCCTCCAAAGAAACAAACACATCTGTTTCTTCTCCCAGCGGTTGTATGCTCACGTGTTGACATTGAGGCTCTTCCCCAACCTTGGTAGAGTGTGCAGAGTGTGTTTTTCCACTTCCCATGCTGTTGCTCTCACTCTTCTCCAAGATAGCCCTCCTTTTGGCCACCCTTCGCCGTGGTAGGTTGCTTACATGCAGTTTGAGGTGGCCCTTAGGCTTTGTGGCGATATTAAAGTCGAGCTTTTGGTGGTGGCAAGGTTCGGGGCTGACGAGAGTCGCTGAAGACGCAGGCAAGGTGATCATTGTAGTGAATTTGTGGATTGTAATGGTTTTCATGGTCGTCGTCTGTGCTGCGTTGGTTGCTGGCAGCATGCAGTGGTAGAGTTACGTCGAGTAAGGGTATAGTGCAGGTCTAACACAAAGTCAACACAGATACACCTGATGAAAAGGCTAATGCGCACACCCATCGTCGTTGCAGTCGTTGGTCGTACCTGTTCTGGGTGGGTAGGTCAACGGTCTAGTAAAGAGCCATGGATATCTTGATGACTGTGTCAGTTGTACCACAAGAAGGACTTAGAATAACACTCACTATTGTGGGATCTTAGCGCCAACTATAATCTGCAATGTCGCTTTTAACTATTGCAAGAGTGTGAATACAATGGAGGATAGGTATAGTGAAAGATTCCTCCTTCAGGGCTGCTGACGTTATGTGCTAGCTGCCCAGTAATCCTTGTCCAAGTATCGTACTTTCGTTAAGTTCTTTTCGCCGGAGAGCCAGGATCGTGTGTCGTAGGTGGTGAGGAGAGGGAAGTAAATGGAGCGAAAACATGAAATGACATCATGACCGCTCTGATATAGGCAGAGGAAAATCTACATCCCGCTAGGGTTGCGCATGAAACCCTAGGTTTTGATACACCAGGGTTTATTCCCGGTAAGTTCCCAGTAAGTTACCGTTAAGTTACACCCCCATCGGTGGAGGGTATTTTGTCGAGGTAACTTACCGGTCACATGGTAATATTACAGCAAAATTTTTCAATTTTCCCTACCAAGGAATAGTAAACCCACCATGGCGCCGCCAACTCCAGATCATCAGCTAGTCAATTCCTTAGAGAAGCACGCTGCTATACCCAAAGACTATTCATCGTTGTTACCATCGGATACTGCTACACTTAAAGACATCATTGACTTCGTCATTCCGCCTGTCTCTGAACGCCGCATCCTCACCCCAGATGTTCCCTCATCCTTATCCAACTTTCCAGCCTATCTTGATCCCTCTTCTGCCTGCACTATTTTATTAAAATTACCCACTGCTGGCGGCAGTGCAGAAGTCAAAAAAAAGCTAGCGCGAAATGGTCATGTGAGAGATCATGTGACTGGTAAGTAACAGTAACTTACCATAGCAAAACCACCCCCCCCAGGGAGGGGTCAGTAACTAATGGTTACTTACCCCCCCTGGAGGTTTCATGTGCAACCCTACATCCCACTTCTGCTTCCGACTCAGGGAAAACAGGGCACCGGGTGGCACCTTCACACGGGGAGCATACAGCGATGTGGAGAAAACAGCTGAATGATGTAATTTTATTGATTCGTGAAACAAGCCAGTAATCCCAAGGGTCAAGTAATCATGGTCAGATTATTCCAATATAACCAAAAGCATATGGACAATTAATTCGGATACGGGGAATCAAACCCCAAGCTGCCACACAATATTTTTTCGTGAAAGGCAGCAATGTTAGCCGTTACACCATATCCGAAACACTAAGTGTATCTCGCCAAGTCTATATCAAAACAGGACATTGCAATACTTCAACTTGGCGTTTAGTGTTGTGAAAGGCCAGGCTTCAAGCCTCAAGCCCGGCCCAGCCCAGCCCAGCCCAGCCCTGAAAAGCCCAGCCTGCAAGTAAGGCTTGCTTAAGGCTCGGGCTGAGGCTTTGTTTAAGGAAAGCCTTAAGCCCTAGGCCGAAGCCCTGGGCTGGTGAAGGGGTGAATATCCTTTTGTGGGATCGATTTCTATGAATGTAACATAGCTTAGTATTATCCTGTAGATGAGCTTACCATGTCTTTTCATTAGAACTTGATTGTATGCAATTATTCATGAATTGAAAGCAGTTATGACATCACTGACATATGTTTTCTCCATGATGACAAGACCACTTGAGCAATGATAGCTTCGTGGATAATCAGTGTGGTTCAGTAAATAATATATTAGACTATGTAAAGCTATATCTTAATGAATATTCACATCTAATGAGTCCTGATAGGCAGAAATGTATTATGAGGGATAAGCCCGGGCTTAAGCCCGAGCCCGGCCTGAGCCTTGTAGGGCTTGGGCTCAGGGCTCGGGCTCGTAAATTTGCGAGCCTGAACCTGCTCAAGCCCGGCCCAAGCCTCCAAAGCCCGGCCCGGCCCGGCCTTTCACAACACTATTGGCGTTACCCTAACCTCGAGCTTAATCCAGACAATGATATGTGCTACTACTAATGAAAGCGTCCCATAGTAAGTATCTATCTAGTAGTTATCCATCTTGACGCAAACCAATCAGTAGGCGTTGTGATGCCACAGACTTCAATGAAACAACACTTTCAGCCCTGCCCCAGATGTGGCTTTGACACCAATGCACCCCGGCTCACGAACAAACCATCCCCGTTCCATGACCTGATCTCTGTCAATGGCGCCGCATCCGTGACGGATGCTAGTCCCGTTAGCCATTACCTCGAAGGGGTGCATGCCTCAATTTCTGCGCAGGACGACAAAATTCAGCACATTAAAACTATGTTGAAGGAGGCGCAAGAAGATAGAATCCGTCTTCAAAGCGTCGCAGACAGCCACGCTGCCCTGATATCGGCCTTTCGCAAATTTCCACCAGAGGTTCTCGCGGAGATCTTCCAGTACACGATCGTCATCCCATCCCTGGGCCATTGGAACCAGCTCTCTGGTGACATGACACGCGTCTGTGCCACGCTTTGCACGCTTGGTGGTGTTTGCCGTCATTGGAGGACAACGGTGTTGTCGACCCCATCTTTATGGGCTCGGTTCAACATTGGATGGAGTAGATGGATGGAAAGCCGGCCGCCGCTGTTGAAAACTATACTGGACCGATCTCGCGAGGCCGAGTTGAGCATCGGCTGCCGTTCTGTGGTTTTTAGCTCCAACATTCAAAATAGGCATGCTTTGCTCGAATGTGTAATCCCCACAAGTTACAGGTGGAAGCGCGCGTTGATCGAGCTTGACGAGGACCGTGCGGATATATATGGGCAGATTCGGGGCCGTCTTCCGTTGTTGGAGCAGCTGGAACTGTCTTCTCGGCATTTTCAAGTTTCTTGGGAACATTTCCGTGTCTTCGAGGATGCGCCTCGTTTGCGGGAGTTGATCCTAGGAGAGAGCCTATCTCCTGTACATGAATTTACCCTTCCTTGGTCCCAGATAACAAACCTCTATATAAACCATGTTATCGAGCCGGATGATCTCCGGATTGTCTTCTCCATCACTCCCAACCTACGGTTCCTGCGTATGTCCAGGCAATGTAACTGGGAACCGGAAGAGCCTGGCCACTTCATTGTGTGTTCATCTCTACGACATCTTCGTGTCGCGGACCTAGCGCTGTTCCGAATAGCCATACTACCCTCACTGGAGGAAATCTGCATCGACGGTACCTTTGCTAGGGCCGATCTGGAAGCAGATAACAAATTCGGACGCATATTCCGCGATTTCTTGGATCGTTCACGTTGTTCAATACGGAACTTGAAGTTGGCCACTACACTCAACGCAGACATGGCCTTATACAACATGTTTAACCGGGCACCCAAGCACACATGCTTGGACATTACGCTGAACACAGTGTATTTAACAACAAGATTAATCCAGCTACTGACCTCGGACAAAATTCTTCCTCAGCTCCAGTCCCTGAAAGTGGTTTCCATAGCCTTCTTTTATGAGGACGACCAAGACTGGCTCTTAGGGCATGATATTGCTGAACTGTTCATATCCAGATATCTCTCATCCAATGCTAACATACTCTTGGTTCATGTCGAAGTGCCACCGGACCTCGCGCTGGTAGGCGAACCGCCGAAACCGGTTCATATCAAACCATCCCCGAACGGGTTGTACCTTTCAGAACTGTTCTGGACAGCCCTCGAAACTCGTCTGAGGGATACACGAGACTTGTGCAGCCGCATTGTGACCCAAAAGGATGAAGGCCGTGAGTCTTGTTTATACTCCAACGATCCAACGATCTTTCTAATTATACGTCTGTAGGTGCTATAATTTGTATGAACCGGTCACTGCCCGAGATATACTGAGGTTATTGCAGGAGGCTGGCAACTGCCCTTTGCCTACGCTTTTGCAGAAGTGGTCGGGAGTTCCACCGTAAAGCTGACAGCAAAGACGCGATGGAATTATGGTGAATGTATACTAAGACGAAGATGAGGTACTTTATGTTGCTGAAGTGAGAATATACCAAAAGAGATGAACACTGGTTGTAACATGTCCCGCTGATTTCAAGTCCGAAGTGAATGGTACCACATGCAAAATCGAATTCGAGGTATACAATCCTATACATACACACTCTTACAAATGTCCATGGTCAATACCCATACAAAGCCTCGTCGGACTTAGTAGTAGGTGTAGTGCGCGTTCCAGCAAGAAGAGTCGTAGTACTTCTTGCCATCCTTCTTGTCATCTTTGTCCTTCCTGTCGTCCTTGTCCTTCTTGTCGTCCTTGTCCTTCTTGTCATCCCTGTCCTTTCCATCCTTGTCCTCATCACAGTCGTCCTCCCAGGTCAGGAGGTCGATGATCTCCTCGAAAAGCTCACAGATGAACTTCTCCTCGTTCTCTTCCTCGGAGTAGACTAGAACAAACCGTTGAATAAAATCGAAGAAGGAGTGAGCGTAAGACGTACCCTGGCAAGAGTTACATTTGTCGTCCTTCTCGCAAAAGTCCTTGCAGTCTGAGTGGACGTCAGGAAAAATAATCATGGACGAAAATAAAACCGATGGGCTTACCAAACTCGTAGGTGTCTTTCTTGACATCCTTGTGGTCGTAGGGAGTGTACTTGCCCTGGTTCCATCCCTTGAAGTCCTGCTTGTGCTCGAACACAGGCTCCCAGGTGCAATCCTTGCGACCGTTGCCATAGTCCTTGTTGTCGTAGTCTTTCTTGCCATCGCCTTTGTGGCCATCCTTGCCGTCGTCGACACCACCCCAGGAGCCGTCCCTAGCCTGGACGGAGGCGGTGAGGGCGGGGACCGCGAGGGCCGCGAGAGGGAGGAGAGTAGCAACTGAGAAACGCATCGTGATGGATAAGCTGGTAGTAGACAAGTACTAGATAGACGAGGACGATGTGTCTGTCTGGAGAATGTTGGTGATTTGAGGTCCCTTTTATATCTTTTCGGACGCCAGGAAACCCCCGGCTACTTCGATCAACTGCACTGAACGAGCTGAACTTGAAGAACGTCATGTAGAAACAGCTCCAGCTGGTATAGAAAGACGGCGTTTGGTGACCGTGAGTGAATCAAAGACTTGCCAAGCCGTAAGAGATTCTGCTTCAAGTGATAGTCACCAAAAACGACGTCAGTCTCGAAGGGAACGGGGGAGATCAGAGAACAACCAGCGTCAGTTTCGGAAGGAGAGTGGGAATTGATGCTCATAAAGAATTATACTCGAGACATGCCAATGGAAACAAGTGCTCCTCGTTAGTTGTGGCTCTTCAGGCTTCAGGCCTCAACAGTCACGGCGACATCAAACCCGAAACATGCTGATCGAGGTTGCCGGTTGCTCGATATTCCATAACGCATATATGACAGTGTTAGGCCTCGACATACCGAAGGACATGAACGTTCAGTCAGTTTGTATCAGCTGTCATTAAATTGCCTAGAATTTCTGAATATATCTAAGGCTAGTACTCGCCATGTAGCTTAGAAACCTTTCGTATGAGCAAGGCCTTCGGCTGAGTCCGAGGCCCGTTGAAAACGAGGACTGATCCACCCGTCGAAGAAGAGAAATAAGACTTGCAAGGCCGCAAGGGGACCCACTTCGAGTGACGGTAACCAAATACGGTGCAGGCGAGGAACATCGGTCTCAGAGAGAACGGGGAAATTTGGAAAGCGGCCAGCCTTGCTTTCGTCAGAAGCGAGAGTGTTGATCACTGAGAAAGACATTTCAGATATGCCAAGGGCGTGGAGTGGAGAATGAAGGTAGTCGTGTACGCAATTACGCCGAAGTCCATGTTGGACGAGAAATATCGACGTTTCTCAGCGGAACAAGTAATCCTTGGCTTGCATCAGTATTACGGCGACGACAGAGACACGAAACATGCCAAGTCGAATCGTGAGTCGCTAGGTAATCCATAACGCCTATACGGGCAGAGTCAAAGACCTCTGGCAATTTCAAACAGAAATTCCTTTGAAAGACCTGGACCGTTCTGTCAGGGCGGCATTAATATTAGCTGCCAGTGAGCTTCTGAGCACATTCAAGGCATCTCGTCGTATAGAAGGAGAAAATCCGTTGTCCAAATAGTGAAGAGCCCTCGGTGGTATCGGTACGCGACTCAACGAGACAAAACGCGAGTTCGGCTTCTGCCGACTTTGAAGCGGCTATACTTGGCCGTCGCGTTCCGATCCCCCCTCATCAGCGACTCCAAATTCTCGTCCTCAGTGGAAATATCCACTGCGAATTCCGACCTTCAAATTACAACCAACGTTTAGAATCTAGTTTTACCGATTGTCCTTGGCATACCCGAAATATCTTATGTCCACAAGGTGATTGTAGGCCGCTTCGTCTGAGACCGACGTTCCCGCCTTCACCGTATTTGGTTGCCGCCACTTGAAGCAGGTTCCCTTGCGGGTTAGCAGGTCTTGGAGTAGGCTGCGTTTCGCCACAAATCTTTCTCATCATGTGTCTGGTGCTGTTTCTCGATGACGCTTGCTGACTTCATTCTTGGTCGAGGCATCACTTACGTCGCGAAGCACTTTCTGGCATTCGAAAAGATATAAAAGGGACCTCAAATCGCCAATATTCTCCAGACAGACACATCATTCTATCTAGTACTCGTCTACTACCAGCTTATCCATCACGATGCGTTTCTCAGTTGCTACTCTCCTCCCTCTCGCGGCCCTCGCGGTCCCCGCCCTCACCGCCTCCGTCCAGGCTAGGGACGGCTCCTGGGGTGGTGTCGACGACGGCAAGGATGGCCACAAAGGCGATGGCAAGAAAGACTACGACAACAAGGACTATGGCAACGGTCGCAAGGATTGCACCTGGGAGCCTGTGTTCGAGCACAAGCAGGACTTCAAGGGATGGAACCAGGGCAAGTACACTCCCTACGACCACAAGGATGTCAAGAAAGACACCTACGAGTTTGGTAAGCCCATCGGTTTTATTTTCGTCCATGATTATTTTTCCTGACGTCCACTCAGACTGCAAGGACTTTTGCGAGAAGGACGACAAATGTAACTCTTGCCAGGGTACGTCTTACGCTCACTCCTTCTTCGATTTTATTCAACGGTTTGTTCTAGTCTACTCCGAGGAAGAGAACGAGGAGAAGTTCATCTGTGAGCTTTTCGAGGAGATCATCGACCTCCTGACCTGGGAGGACGACTGTGATGAGGACAAGGATGGAAAGGACAGGGATGACAAGAAGGACAAGGACGACAAGAAGGACAAGGACGACAAGAAGGACAAGGACGACAGGAAGGACAAAGATGACAAGAAGGATGGCAAGAAGTACTACGACTCCTTCTTGCTGGAACGCCCACTACACCTACTAAAGTCCGACGAGGCTTTTATGTGTGGTAACAATGGACATTTGTAGGAGCGTGTATGTATAGGATCGTATACCTCGAATTCGATCTGCATGTGGTACCTTTCACTCCTCTCACTGTCGGCTTGAATTTCGTGGAACGTGTATCAGCTAGAGCTGATTTTCTTTGCCACATCGACATCTCATTCTAAGCCATTCATTCTTCTCCTTCAAACGAATGGATGCATTGCGCGAGTATTCTTCTGGCTTTTGGGACATGAAACAGGTGGTGTTATCGATACTTTGACAAAGTACATACCAAAGCGTGAACCACTACTTCACACTCTTTGTCAGTGTTCTGCCAGCTCGTTATTCTTCCTTGGTTGTGCGTGAACTTGTTACTCCTTGCCCTGATACGATCGTACAAGTTTCTTCTCCTAAGCTACGTACACACTGACAAACATTTGCTCTTTTTTTGCGTTCATACATTATACCGTACATACAGAGTTTGGAACAGAAAGTAGATGGACAGCATGAAGAGGACATATTGTTAAGAAGAGTTCATAAGCTTAAATCTTGACTATTAACGTTATAATAATCGCACACTCTTATTTGGCCTTCTCTTCATTCGCAATTGCTAATCCTTAAGGTAGACTGAGTACTGTCTGCATGAACTGATCGTAATTGATCTGGATCCATCCGTCGCGATCGGTGTCCAGGCGTCCGAATGCTTCGCTGAGTTGCTTCACGACAACGCAAGCGCGAACGAAACGATCGAAAGATATGCCGGGAGCCGGACCATGACCGGCAACTGAAGATGCTTTAATATCTTCCCCAAGAAGGGTCGACCTGTCAGAGCTTTCCATAACCTTCCCGAGTCCAATCTACTCACCGTACTTCCTTTGGACTAAATCAAGAAGGGGAGGAGATAGTCGGTACCTTGCGCCGAGATTTAGACGGGAATGGAGGAGGGGATACGACGACAAACCCAAACTGGGCCAGAGCATCTCGCAATTCATTTCCATCGATAGATCCCGAACGATCACGGTCGAAGTGTCGGAAAACATTTTGCCAGTCCTGGACAGTGTGTAAACGAAGGGAGTTTTAGGGAAGTTCATGGCGCGACTTGCCTTGATATATTTCCAAAGACCGGCAAACTAACATAAGTGTGAGATTTAGAGTCCCATTGAACAATGAGCGACTGATCGTACTTCGTTAAATCCGATGGTTCCGCTGCGATCAGTGTCCTAAGAAGTGTCGATAAGATAACAAGACGATGGTTTCTAGGAGCCATGGACGAACGAAAATCGACATCAAAAGCTTCACGGTATCCAAGTCAAAGGCTGGAGAAGTGTTAAAGACAATCTTATGATCTGAAGCTTCGATGTTGACGTACGAGTCCAATCGCCATTGATCAAGGCGCGCTCTGATGTGTCGTTTGGGTCACTTACATCCCACTGAACGGCGCGAGAGACGCACCTAATTCACTCGCAGTAATGGCACCTGACCTGTCGGTATCAACGGCGCTGAACCAGTTCCAAAGTCTGCAAAAGACGGAAATTAGTTTCTTTTCGTATATTATTCTAGGTGAAGTTGCGCACTGAGGATCGGCTCCAGGAGGAGGTCCTTGATGTCCTGGTGGCGGGGCAAACCCTCCACCGTATGCATATCCTCCACCTGGCGGCGGCGGTCCACCTGGAGGTGGCGCGCCATATCCACCATATCCTCCTCCAGGAGGGGGCGGACCTGGGGGTGCTCCGTACTGTTGAGATCAGTACGCATTCCGGCACGTAGTGAGAGAAGAACATACACCACCGTAAGACATTGCGATAAAGATTTGTTGATTGTTGAGATGGAAGTTGAAATCAAAGAATGGATAGCGCCCAGCCTGTCTTAAGTACCCGACTAGCACAGCATCCCAAAATGGCAGTGCCCCCACTGCCCTGGATGACTGGTGACGTCAGATAAAATCACGTGGAGGTAGATAAGTCGGCATCGGGGACAGCCGGGTGGCTGTACCTGAGCCTAGGCCTTTTTGGCGACGCCTGCACTATGCAACAACTGACTCTTTTCACGATTTATCAACATTTTTTTTGCTAATCGTGCCTTTCCTCATTATCGCTACTGTTCGTCTACTTCAAGAAGAGAACAATGAGCTGGGTGAGGCTTTCACCTTGAAAATTGCATGAGATGTACAGACGACGACACCCACTGAATACAAGGTACCAAACTTGTTCGTTGCCGGTAATGCATAACTCATTTAACGCCTTTCTAGAATGTTTGGCTGAAACCTGAATGATATTATTAGAGTATCACCCTCGGCCTTGAAGAACTGGCAATAAAGTTGACATGCGGCTCGTTATTGTCGTAAGTACATCCTCTTTTTTGAAAATTATTTTTAAGTACTTTGTCGTAGCCACACTTTAACTTGGCCCTGAGGCTTCTGTCTACGGACGACACCGAAATGGATCGTTCCCGCTCCTGAAGCCAACGTTTGGGTTCTGCGCCAGTGGAGGTAGCGGTCTCAGATGGACAACAGGCTGCATAGACGAGAGGAATGCTAGAACTGCTTATTTCAGATCGGCGATGCCTGTGTCATGCAACGCTTCTCAGAGAATGCTCGTTCGATTTGAAGGGAATAACTGGATGATTTGTCCCAGTGCGAGCAGGTTCCGGAGATATTCTCTAGCAAGAATACTACCTGTTCAGGCCTAAGCATTGGCTACTCTCGGGAATGATTCGTTGAAAGGATGCGAGTTTCAGTTCATAAAAGCCTACTCTTCGCGCTTCTACGCTCGCCCATTTTGCTAGTACTGGGAGCGCAAAGGCCTGCAGAGTCCTTCCGCGTGGTATCAAATGACAGGACCCAGTTCGCTCACGTAGAAGATTCGTCGCGTGGCGGTCACTTGGAGTCATGACCATCCCTGCCGGATAGGCGCATAACGCTAAACAGCGAATACTTGGTTCACCCGCCTCTCATTAATCGGCCCTTTGTTCCATGCGGATACTCTATCCTGCTTCGGATGTGGAATCCGCCGTACATTTCATCCTGCGAGTGCGCACTGCGTGATGCGGGATCTGCAGGATGATCATCCCGTTAATGAAACTCATCAGCTCTCGACCTTGCGACCTCGCAACCGTGTGTGTCTATGAATGAACACCAGTTCCGGATATATTGGCCGAACAGCTGCAAAATTGTGTAGCCTTCCCATAGGGCTGCACGGGAACAAATCACGCTCAGATAAACCAACATTCCAGGGATTGTATTAGTGACAAGTCCAGGAGTCCGGAACTACTCGCTGCTGTTCTGCGCAAGGCCCCAGACTGTCGATAAAACCACCCTATGCACAGGATCATTATACCAATATACGGTCGCATGTCTCTTTTGTCTTTCTAGCACTAACAGACGCACTGCTTGCGGAGTGTGATATATTTCGAACTCCCCTTCGGATATATCGATCAGCGAGTAGCTGTGCATCTCCAACCTGTCGAGGGAAACGGTCTCATCCGACTGTTTAGAATTCCCTCCCTTCACAGAGACGGGGGAGTACCAAAGCTCATGATCAGGTTGATGCTGGAAACGTCCATGTGCTCGTCAGCTTCCGAACTACTCTCTGGAGCTACTTGGGGCGGGTACTCTAGTTGGTATGGCTTTTGAGTAAGATCCAAGGATCCAAGAGATGGCGAACGGGATAATGTGAGAGGATGCACTAAATCCAGGCGTGTCACGGCGTACAGATGCTACGCCTATTTGACATCGGTACTACGAAGGAATGCCATTCAATTGGTTTACGCGTAGAAGTGCATAAGTCGCTACCGCGGAAACTTATCATGGCGTTTTAGAAGCATCGAAGGCGAGTGTAGTGCTCACACGCACATGATGATGGAACTCTCACCGCTCTGCTATAATTTCTTCCGGTCGAAATCATTTCTTCAGGCTATATGTCGGTTCGAGACCACTCCGAGCGCTTGGAACAAATACGTCCGACAGGTATGATCTACTAGATACGAACCAGGGATACGGCCACACAGAGTGAGACAGAAAGTGTCTGTCTTTGATGCGAAACTCCCGGGTTCCTGTCTATTGACCCTCATGCGTGTTCGCGCCCGCTCCTTGATCAATGATCGTTGATATGAGCTTCGGATCTGTCCTTTCTATCCTAACCATTGCATCCATCCATCCCAATTTTGTTTTCGAGGCATCCTACAGTCTATGGCTAATGTATTGCAACGTATTGTTATTGCTTCCTTGTCCTCCATGCGTCCTGCTCGTCATCTGGTAAACCGACTGACTACAGGAATGACCTATCAAGGATAGTATTCTTCATCGGATCAAATGGAAGATGCTCTTTGCTCCGATCATTCTCCGAAGATGTCTGGTTCTCTTCCTGGCGGCACCAGAGCTTTGGTTTGGGGTGCTATAATGCTAACTCAAATCGCAGCACTAACGAGATTTGTTCATACCATTGTAGCCGTCCATCGCAGATAATGTCATTATTTGGTGATCTCTTTGCTCAATTAAAAACAGAAGCGATGGACAGAAACAGCTCAATCAATCTCCTTCGTGCCTACTTCATGATGATGCAGATGATACGGTACGATGACTAGTTTCTAGTCAGATATCACTTCTAAATGTTACAGCGGGACTGCTCCATTGCTCTCTAAGACCTCATCAGTCAGAGTATTCTCAAACATGGCGCCCACGATCTGTAACTGGAGAGCCAGTCGGAGATCTTATGAGATTCACCTGCTCATCTTCGATGTTGAGGTATTTGGGTGCAATTTGGGACTGGTCAAGTTCGGGTTCGTTCCAGCATGGCGCTCAGCTCACATGATTCCTGTAAGATGCCCTCTTGGGTATCCTGCTTTGATGTCCTCTTTAATGGTCCCGAAGGCACGAACGCTGCCGCCGGCAGACCATCGATAGCCGAACCTTACGTTGTACCACTTGTATTACGACCCAAATTTTTAAATTCTGGCCTGTGATGGAAAGGGAGTCGCACTATATGCTCCTCATAATACTTGAATGGCGATCTGTGGACTGGAAACGTTGGTAATCTCCTTTATGGGCAGTCGTATCCAGGCTGACAATTTTAAAAAGAGATTTCAGCTGCGTTCCTCCGGCTTGGAGTTCCAGACCCTTTCCTATACTCTGAAATCGATAACGGTCCACTCTCAGTTCTGATGGTACCTCAGTCGACGCCTCTATATTTCAGAGAGCTTTCGAATAACCTTCACTCCATTGTTGGGTCCAATCTCGTCGTTTGTCGACTATACAAACCATACGGTGAAGCCTGGACCAATCCGGTTCAGCAGCCGCACTCTTTTCATAGCCATTATCTCGTCATCAACGCGATGACGCCCTCGGTTGCAACCGAAACCCAATTTAACGATTGGTATACGAAAGAGCACATCCATCTTCTCAGCAAGGTTCCCTCGTGGCTATCTTCTCGGAGATTTGCTCTCGTGGAGACGACGGAGGAGATGGGAGCTCCGCAGTATCTCGCTCTTCATGAATGGGCAGATCTGGCTGCCTTTGAGAGCAAGGAGTTCCTGTGTGCCACAAATACGACCTGGAGAACGGAGGTGATATCTCAAATTGTACAGAAGGAACGTTGGGTGATGGAGTTCAAAGGTTCATCAGAGCTTGGAGAAGTCCGAGGACATACAGCGGCGCGGAACATATGACAGGTGAAGTGAGAGCTTGTCGTCTTTAACATTCCCTTCTCACGTGTAAACATATCCCTAGATTTTCGATACTTCCGAAAGGTTTTCTTAGGCTATCGCCGATACAAACAACTTATAGCTTATCTTATCATGTCTCCTCGTGCCTCAGTCCGTGGAAATTTCTACGCGCTTTGATTGAATGACTGTTTCTCACAATTATCTTCATATCCGGGTATCTGTTCTCGGTGTAGCACTCTGTCCTTTTTTACCTGCGTGTCCCACAAGCTCAGCAGTCCGGGTCTTGTTAGTCATGTCAGGATATCAAACGTTAAGCCTTCGCATAATGATGCATCTGTTGCCGCTTTCCTTAACAGAATAAAGGCCTGGCGCTTTGCCATACACCTGGTCTTATTCCTAAACCACCGGATGGTTGTTTTCAATCACCATACGTAATGATCCTGAGGCAGCGGGAGGCGCAAAGCAAGCAATCCATAGATCCCGAACAAAGTTGGTACATACTAGCGGGATGTCGTTGGATGTCGCACATGTCTCCTTAGTTTAGCTAGCTCTTCAATACAGCGATCGCACCCAATTTCGGGTAGACTAGGATGACTTGCGACGAAAACTGGGACTGGACTACAGTCTATAATTATGCCTCACTAAACAAAACAAATTGGCGCTTCTGGTCTTCGGAAAGTGCACACCCAGTAGTACGTTAATACGAATTCCTGGAGCGCTAGATAGACTCTAAGAGCCTGAGAGGAGCGCCTACGAATCGATCTAGCGCTAAGTTTCCAACACGCTTCGACCATGAGAACGGGTCTAGTGTATATGTTTATAGAATAAAGACATCACGTATTGTAAAATACACATGCCAATGTTTCCCCTTGCTCAGCCTTGACGCGCAGTTCTGATGTCTCCGAAATAACGACACTTAATCATATATTTATACAATGGGAACAAAGCTCTCTTTGGGTAGATCATCGCGGCAGTCGCGCCCTTGATGGAGGATCATCCCACACTACTGTAGTATTGACGCGGTTCGGATCCGGATTGAGATCACACCTCTGCTAGGGCGATTCTTGATAGCAGTAAGTGTCAGCTTTGTCGATGAAACCGTAGCCAATGCCAATCAGCGTGTGAAGGCAATATTTTTCTGGTACACGTTAATGTGCCGTTTTACTCGATCTATCATACGGCTGCACACCATGTGTCGGTCCCGCGCCCATCGTACCAAACTATATGATTATTTAAATATTCAATTGCAGGGTTAGATATTGTCATTCTAGATGCCAGTTTCCAAAGTGATGGTCTAATCATATGTCGAGATAGAGCAGCTCCAAAGGAGAAATATCCAGTAGTGTGTAATATCCGAGCGTCGATTGCCGAGATATAGCTCAATTGAAGATTCAAAGCCTTGCGGCTCCTAATGTGTAGGTTCGTTGTGCATCTTTGATGTGAGGATTATGGTCTCTATGATGACTGTACCATAGTCGGAGCCTAGGCATTGCACAGCATGAGGAATTTTGAGGGTTTGAAGAAATATGCTCACTAAAATATTATCCCGGCGTAAACATGTATGCATTGTCTGTCTGAGAGAGAATATTGCGATGCAGAGCTGTCTACCATCGTTCTATGTGGCGCGGTAGTTGTATCGCAGCACTACGATCGAAGTCCCGTAGCATGGGCTCAATCTCCTATCATGAGTTGGAATATTGCCAGTACTGGGGTTCATCTGCTAGTGACTTGGGCTGTGAGTCGGTGGAGACGCTAGATAAAAAATGGGCGTCCTAAGTTTTCAGATCCAAAGACGGCGTCGTGGGCATACTGTAACATCATGTTTTGGGTCGCTTATGGCTGTTCATCTTGGCTCGAAAACCGACGCCAGGTGAAAGAGTTTCAGAATAAACAGCCCAACAGTGATTTAACCTGACCGAGTTCGAACTAGGTTATAGGCGATATTTGAAATGATTTATGCCAGATGGCACGAGGTAGTTTTGGAGTAGTTGAAGAGAAGACAAGGTATGAAGAAGTTGTAAGTCCTTGACACACGAAAGGATGAACGTTACTACAACTTGCCGCCTCAGGTGGTAGGAAACCTGTGTAATATCATCCCTCCGATCTTTCAGGAGATATCAAAGCGCAAAGGGTGTATAGTTCCTAAGGATTCTGAGGACAAGATGTAGGACTTCGAATCGGAGTTGAAAGGAGTCCGGCGAAGGTGGGGAGCAACAGAAAAGCAAAGCGTGTAATCCGATTAGCCGCCGGTTAAGCGCCGAAAGAAAATAGGATCCATGCATGAACATTTCTGATCATCGAAGAGTTACGATGACGCCGAAAGCTGAAGGTACGCAGTGACTGTCCCTGAGGAGCCTGAGGGGGTAAAGAATCCACGACTACAATATGTAATTGAATTGCTTTGCAGACTTGGAATATCAACCAAGTTCACGTTGACAGAATATTCTGTGAGATTCTGATAGTTTAAACGAAAAGAGATGGCATTCCATACCCAAGTATGTTGTTACGACCCCAATAGTAACTGCCATCGAACAAGTCGGAGCGCCTGCATCAATTGAGATTGGAGAGCTTGCAGGCAGCAAAGACAACACCAATGTTTCAAGACACCTGTATCTGATTATCCGAGGTCGTCGCCAGTACCAAATTGTGTGCCGCGAGTGCACAGCTGGCGTCTGCGGCATGCCGCAAGTCTGCCGTGGGCGCTAATTTAAATAAGTGCAGTAGCCTGAAGCGCCGGTGCATAACGTGAAGATCTCACCATATCTTCCACAATTATACGCGAGGGAAAAGACCGAAAAATTTTCTCTTCAAGCCAGGGCGGTAACGATTGCAGGGACAGAGGAAACAGAGACACTGACCGCTGGTCGACCACGAACAAAGCGTGAGAACAGAACACTAAATATGGTTATACGTTCGAATTTGCCATCCACAACTTGAACCTCCAAAACGTTTTGGCTGCTGTTAATCGTCCCGTGTTTCCCTCGGAGCTCTTCAAGCTCCAGGCCTCCGACTCACCAACCTACTCCTTTGAGGACATTTCCAATTTCTACAACCTTGAGGCAGGAACAGCTCTGTGTCTCCGTGACTCACCACTGCTAGCATCGCAATTTCATCAATGACTTGTGTGGGACAACGAATCCCTTGTAGATGCAGCCTAGTCTCTTTGTTTCGGCTATTTTGACTCGAAGCTGCGAACTGTGAATTATTCTGCTGCTCTGTGCTTGCCTTGATCACGATCACGTTTCAGTATGGGATTCACAGCCGCGGCTCGCTATGGTTTCCTGGATACAAATGTACCATTCATCCTGCAAGGGGAAGGTATGAGATAGTTTATAACCTCGATCTGATGATCCTGCGGCGGTAGCAATTTACGGGGATAGATTTGTCACAAATCTGGCTCACTTTCGTCTAGACGAATGTGACTCTGCAATTGAGCGGGGGATCAACAGCTACTGTTTACAGCATCTTCAATGGTATATAAAGATTGCTGCTTTTGCTAACATCTCAACAAACCACAAGGCCCACTCATCAATTCGTCTTATCTACCTATGCCCTCCATCGCCTCCAAAAGCTTCACTGAGGTTTATACCTCTGCGACCGATCTGCTTCACGACGTGTCGCATGATCTTGAGAGCAACCACACCAACTTCAACGTCCTATTCCCTCACGCGTTGAAGTGCCGAGCCGCCGAGCAGTCGGGCCAACCCCCCAAACCGGGACAGGTGTGGATCGTCCACTTCACCTCCGACCCCCAACCTCGCGCGCAATTCATCCTGTCATGCACGACCACGGAAATGGGGAAATATCCCATCTTCATCACCACCACCTGCCCTACAAATAGCCTCACTGCCGAATTCATTCGCCAACCGATGTCCCTCCTTGCCAAAGAGCTCTATAGAGTGGTCCCTGTCCCCAGGGTCTATTCTGTATTCGCTCCCGACGCGATCGCCCACCATTTCGCAAAACTGTGGACTCAACTCACAGGTGTCGGTCACATCAAGGAACCCTACTATGCAGCAAAGTTGTCTTTCTGCACCAAGGCGACGTTCCGCTATCGGCAAGCAACGATGGTGCCGGGAGTCACATTTGAGCTACGCCTGGCGGTCCCCAGTGACATCGAGGAGATCGCTAGGTTATGCTATGGTTTCGCTAGTGAATCAGTAAGCACGTTCGACATGGTCTCGCTATGCCCAGTGTTGCTCATCACATCTATCCGTAGGAACCTTTCGTTCTCGATGATGCCGGCGCCCTGAAGGAGGCCACTCACCTCGTCCGACAAAATCAAGTTTGGGTGCATCGCATCAGACAGCAAGGAGAAGACCGCAGTTCCATCGCATCCATCGTTGCCTTCACCCGTAACAGCGATGCGGTTGCAACAATAACAAAGGTGTATACCAACCCCGATTACCGCCGTCGCGGTTGTGCCGAGCGACTTGTTAGACGAGTTTGCAAACAGTGAGTCATCGTTTCACCCTCCTTGATTTCGTTGCGGGCTGACTGTGCTTTCAATAGTTTGTTCATGACCAAAGACAAGGTTGCCTTGTACGTTGCTCACAACAACCCTGCCGCGTCAAAGGTGTACCACCGCGTCGGCTTTGCCGGGCTTGGTGATGATGGTGTTACCGTCGAGGGTGTAGATGCCTGGACTGAAATCGGGTTTGACCGAGATGTGATTGACCTTGGACATTGGTAATTGATCTTGAGATTTGCGCCTTTGGAGTCCGTCATTCCCTGCTGGAAGCCAGTACGTTAAGGATTGTAGCATTAAGGACATTAATATACCCAAAACCTGCCAAATTTCCGATACAATACAACGTGCAGGCCATAGAAATTGCATTAGCTCTCCAACTATTTATTCGATGACATTTCAATTGACGAAAAATTCCCAGAAGCAAAGTTAAAGATATCTCGATCTCGGTCCGGATCCCCCGAGAAGGCTTGGCTTTGACATGTCACAGTGTGACGCTAATCTCCTTAACTTTAACCAGTGCCATTGCGCCCAACATGCTTCCCATCTTGGATATTATCCATCGCGGCGTAGTATACTCATTAGTTGGACTGAACAATATATGCCGGGGTTGGGATAGTGAGCACCCATAACAACACAATGAGAGCTGGTAGAGGTGCGCTTTCCGTTTTACTTTGTTACCATCTAAACACTGATGGTCCTGTTTCAGAGGTCAGTCTTACCTTCTAAGTAAGAGCTCCCCCCTGAAGTGTCCTGTCCCGACAGGCCTTAGCTCGACATGAGGAAGAAATGCGAAAACAGGTTAGTGACCACAGCAGCCGCGCCGCAAAATTATTATCATTCTTTGCTGGTGGACTTATTTCTGTGTGAACAGCAGGCAGAGGCGCAGCCTACGGGTGAACCGATGAAAACATATGAGCTGTTCCTGGTGCGTTTCAGCCGTAGTCATTTAACCTTTTCCTTACGCCTCTACTAGGACGTTGTACGCTCCACTTGCCTCTACACCTATCAGGCTATGTATGCCCAACATAACGATACATGGAACGGCTAAGACCCGGTGCATGCTGTCTTCCAAAAGCACTGTTAATAGTCATAGATTAGGATGTCGAGCGAAATGAATTCATATCGACTGTCGGTCAAATGATGAGGAACAATTTTTTTCAGATCTCAGATTATGGAACCTGTGGTGGTGGTTGTCTGTCAAAGAGACTCTCAAAATCTTATTGATTGTCGTGGTGATTGTGGCAAAATTGAATTGGCTGATAAGGGATACCAGCGCCAGCAGCTCTTAGCGAGTGTTGTGGTGTCGCCTTGTTTCAAGATTGTACGGCTGTCATCGACTGTCATTTCTCAGAAGATGTATGGATTCAGAATGGACACAAGGGGATTTGCTTGACAGCATCCTAGAACACTTCTTAGTCTAAGTGGCTTAAGAATTTGTTACATGAACTGTATCGACCTTAATGAGGGTTGCAGATAGCAGGCCCCGGAGGCCTTCAACTGGACCCTAGGTTCTACCCAGCAGCATAAGTTGACCGTGAGCTCGGCCTTGGGTTCGGTTGAGAGTATCAGTGGATAATTAAGTACGTGATTGTATTATCTACGCCCAACGTTCCCCGTTGGACCGTGCCGTATAATATCTACCTACCTACCTACCGCACACTATGATTGAAAAATTACAGAGCGAATGTATTCTATTCCCTTGCTAGGGATTGCTTGCCAATGCAACTACGACTACTATGTGTACAAACCTACAACAACGACATACACAGCGATACAACAAATATGCGAGGGGACGGATGATATGCCAAATATACATAAAATGCGAGGGAGTTCGACGAGAATAAATATTGTAATAGACAACAAGTTCCACCAGGTATAATTGACTGAATAGACAGACATGCCAGCAATCAACGCTGAACTTTTTTTTTTTGAGGAAGGGGAGCCTTCACGTCACCTGAGACCAACTATTGGGCACCAGGGTTTCTATATTCAAATCCAGGGAAAGCATATCCAAAAGGGTCAAGAGAGGCTTGTCCATAGGTCAACGACGCGTTGTCTTCAGGGTAGCGTTCAAAACTAGGGGAAGCTAAGTCAACGGCCGAAACGGGCACAGGAAAAATGCATAACATACGCGCTAGCATCACCTTCACCAGTCATCTGGGGCATATAAGGTGGGGTGATCTGTCTATTTGCCATTCTATCCCATTCGACTTCAACAAACCAGCTGTGCGTGAAGATGTCCCGGGCACCGTTGAGGAGGTTGCCATATCGCTTGGTCGGCTCAACATCCATCAGGTGAATGATGATGTCCTTGGCGAGCTCACTGAAGCCAGCTGGCCATTGAATATGGAGGGGACCGCGACCAATCCTCTCGTATAGATAAATGGTGTTGTTGTCGGGTTGATGATACGGAGGGAGCCCGTAAAGCATCTCAAAGATGAGGACACCAAGAGCATACCAGTCGACACCCTTGCCGTAACGACCATGGAGCAAAACCTTTGAGATAATCAGCGATTTCTCACGTTACGGTGAACCGAAGACGACTTACCTCGGGAGCGATGTAGTCTGGAGTGCCGCATAACGTATAGGTGTATCTACACGATTTGGCGAACCCGAAGTCGGTGATTTTGATATGACCGTCGTGGTTTAGAAGGATGTTCTCGGGCTTGAGGTCAGCGATAGACGATGCCGTGCGTATGAAGGTAGTTCAAGGCAAGTGCGACTTCAGCCGCATAGAATTTGGCGACAGGTTCAGGAAATCGCTGTATACTAGTGAGTAACATCAGAAACTATCCTGGAAGGTGACGTACATTAGATCGCCGTAACAGCGAGAAGAGCTCGCCGCCGGGAACAAAGTCCATGACCATGTAGAGATTGGAAGAGTCCTGGAAGGCGCCCCAGATATTGACGATGAAGGGATGTTGGACCAATTCGAGGATACCATGCTCGTTATTCGTATGTTCGAACTTGCTTCATTTTGACTATCCGTTCCTTGTTCAGGACCTTGATGGCGTAGAAGTGAAGATTATGTCTGCTTCGCACTGATGATCACATTAACGAACAATAGTGATAACATGATAAAATCAAGGAACGTACCGAGGTGCACTCGTCCAAAGCTCCCTGTCCCCAGAGTTCTTTGTATTATAAAATCTTCTAACCGGTAGGAACCCTTCTGACGCGGTCCCTCGTAGGACAGTGGGTACCATTCTCGCTCGGGGTAATAAATGCTGTCTCTATGTTCCAGCTTACTTTGCTCGCTCATCGATGTCCGTGTCGTCGCCTGTGAAGGTCGTCTATCGAACTGCGAGAACACCGATGACGATGCCAGGGAGGAGGAGGGCGACGACGGCACCTGCATTGGGGGCGTATCCTTGTGGAAGTGCGACCCAATCTTGTCCGTCATCCGCTTGAGCATGGGCGGGATGGTTGAAGGTGGTGGAGGAAAGGAGGAAGGGATATCGAAATACAAGGGGACGTTCATGTCATTGTTCGAAAGACAAACTCCAACAAATATCCGAGATTGGATCGTTGTTAATGTCGGTCCGAATGCCGGCCTCGTGTCGAACTTCAAACCCTTGTCAACATTCACCGCCATGAGTCTACCTTGTTCTCAAAAGGGCTTCGTGGTATCGCGTAAAATATGTACAACATTGCACTCGTAACTCTAACTGTACGACAGCCAGCTCAAACGGCAAAGCAAGAACGTTAGGATGGGCTGTTGAAAGGCCATCTAAAGACCAAGGTTGGTGATGGGACGTTCTATTACTGCAGCATGCTTCTAACCAACGATAATTGACAGGGCCGGCGTGCAGGGATCATATCTGTTCCGTGGGAGCAATTCCATGTACCAGAAACTTTGCCCGCAGTTCCTTTGGCCTTGCAGGTATTGTCCCTTGAAGTCTACTTTGCTACGTGAAATTAGAGACTACCATCTCCGTTGCTGCAGGCAACTGGGCGGTCGAGGCATTCTTCCCGACTTACCATCTTGATAGGTGTTCTTGACACATGTGCGCTCCGTGATAGGCGCTCATGTGCTTTTGTACTATTTCCTATGGTTCGTAACACGTATATAATTCCTAAAAAAAAACTCGTGTCGTGTTTACTTCTTATCGACAGGTCCTCGTAATAAAACATTCCGATGAGACCTCTAAGTAGGACTTGAGGAACGGCAGTTCATGCGTAAGTGTTCATCCGATTATTCTGTTCATTTCCCCACAACGTCCTCCAGACAGGTATACTCACCAACAATCTACTCTGTGTACTTGTGCTCTTCGTATTGTTTGGGTTGGACACGCTCAATGAGTTTGCTGACCCTCTCATACACGGCAAACACTATAGCCTGACCGGGAGCAACACGCAAAATACGCGGCGTAATACCCTTATAAAACGATCTCACACCCTCAGTTTTCCACATATCCTCTGCGATGATAGTGATGCGGCGGAATGCCGACTGCCCGGGGATTGCGGTGCTTTTCTGCAGACCTGTCAACCAAAGTCAATCAGAGATATGGCATCAGAAGAAGACGAGACACACGAGTTTTAATAGTGTCTATCGGTGCATTCGACATTGGCCCAGCAGCGCCAGAAATAAGACCGATAAACATGTGTTGCCAGGATGGCAAGTCGGGGAGATCAGGTTGGTACCTGTGGAATGCCTTCTTCAGTTCCTGGTATACCGTAAAGTTCGCTCCCTGATTCGTCGCCTGCCTCAGCGCAGTGAGCGACACGCCACGGTAGAGTGTCGACACTCCTTCCTCCTTCACAATCTTATACACGGCATGTGCAGCGTTCCGATACCGCGGTGCCTCTAGCGGATCAGCCAAGGAGTGTTGTTGTGCCTGCAGCCGAATCTTCACCACTTCCATAGGTGTTACAACGGCAACGGCTTCTGTCGTTCCTGCACCAAGACCAGCTGCCGAGCGGATTAACCTTCAACCGGCGGCTAATGGAGAACTTGGATAATTAACGCACCGATGAAAATATTCCCAAGACTAGTCTTCCCCGTCTCCTTGTCCGCCAACCAGCCTTTGTAGGCTTCGAAACTAGCGAAACGAATGGCCATCTTGGGGACGATGCCGGAGAGGACGGCTCCAAGACCCTTGTATAGAGCCAGAGGTGTTTCTCTCCGTACGATGTGTGCACCAGTGGCGAAGAAGCCCCTTGGTTTTGTCTATCCAGTACCATTCAGATGTCCGTCAAGCTGGAGACAGCGGTCAGAAACTCACCCCTGGTGCTCGTCCCGACTTGGACAACTGCATTCGCACCTTGATGGTATCCAAGGGTTGGCATGTCAGCTGAAGACGCATCCTTCGAATCAGCACAAGCAACGACAATGAACCACCTCGTACGCACCGCTTCACAGGCTCCAGCTATCCCTCCTGCAGTAATATGAGTCGCAAAGCCTACGGGTTTCTTGTTACCGGATCGTGACATGGTGGAATGCGGTCAAAGTCGTCGTGGCTGGAGGGTGTGGGGGGGAAGGACAAGCAAATGGAACATCCTCGTCAGAAAGCAAGCCGATGTTAAATAGGAGCGATTCCACTCTTACCCAGTTAACATGTGACGGACCGAGACCCTAAAAACGGGCCCCTTTCGACAAGATTTCTTTCTGTCAAATTGGTCCCGCTGGGCGGGGTAGGACGCTAGTCGACCCTCGATACTCGAAGATACATTTTGACGCTTTTTTGAGAGCCACTTCCGGCTCAGTAAGCGTCGAGAGGTGTAGATTCTGGGGTACTTGGACGGGCTGCTGAGGGCGATTGCGACATCGTCGCAGTGATAGATGGAAGGGGTATATCATTTTCACGGTGCGGGGTCCGGGGAAAACCCCATTCCGGCTCATCCCGCTGCCGCGCAGCCGACAAATTGCCGACCACCGACATATCCCCTGCGCTCTCTGTCGCTCTTAGAGGATGGGCGTCGACTGTGAGCAGCTCTTTCCTTATGCTTCATGGATTTATCCTCTTCCTATTTCTTTCCCGAGGCACGCTTGTGAAACCCGAACGGTCATTGTCGCAGAGCCTGCTGAAATATGTTCCACTCGGCATGAGCGGAGAGGCCTGACGTTTCTTGGACAACTCCCTTCCAATTGGTCTTTCTGCTCATCTTTGACCCTTGGCTGGATAGGTGCAGCCGCCAGGATCCGCCAAGTTATTATCTATTCAGGCTTAGTTCTTGATGACTCGAGCTTTCCTGACCTTACAAATATGCTCCGCTCCGTTTCGTTTCGTGACTCAGACTTTTATTCCTAGGCGCCAATCAGCGTATAGCACCATGGGGTGAGCAGGCTTACCTGACGAAATATATTTTCGCTTCTACAATCTTAGCATTCTTGACGTAGGTCCACGTCTATTCATCGATCGTTACTAAATGAACGCTAAGCTTTTCATCGAGCGCAAATCATGACGTTGTTCCCTCCTATCACGAATCTCTATATCTCCTTGGGCCACGAGACGGTCGTACGCGTTTGCGTTTCAAAGGCTGGCTAGATCTCTTCCATCTAAAACGTGGCGCTTAGATTCATGCATAGCCGCTGAGATTTAATGCATATGGTGACTTTACACTCCGATTCTCCATCCGGGTTCGAGTCACGGATACCAGCTCCGAGTCGGATTCCTAATCTTCATGGTGGGCGTCGGTGTTAGTATTTGATCTCTGATCCAATCAGTCGCGTATTGCCCGCCAGGTATATATGTCACAACTGTTGTATTCATGAGATAAGGCTAAGCTACTAGTTAAAATTAAGTGATACGTATTAGTGCTGCATACGATAGTTATAATAAGGACGGTATTATAAAGAGTGCGGCATTGCTTTGTTAAATTAATTGAAGGATGGGACTGAGCATATGGCGCTCGGGTAGTTTACTAATAAAATAAGATAAATAGACCGCGCATTGATATCTACAGAAACAAATCAGTTCAGGTCCCATACCAAGACGCCACAGGGGAACGTACCATGAGATTAAATAATCAGTTATGTTTGAGGTACACATCCTCATCCAGGAATTGGGAAAGGTCATCGGCGTGGCTCTCAACATAGGCCTCCTCATCCAAAAATTCGGTGACGAGGTCCGAGCTGTCGCGTTCATGCTCAGCGTGGTGGCTTGCCGAGGCAACGTACGCATCCTCGTCCAAGAACTGAGTAATAAGATTGCTCTTATGACCGTGCTTGGCGTGATGGTGGCTCTCGGTATACACCTCCTCGTTCGTAAACTGAGTTACGTCGTGTGCGTGATTGTGGTCATGAGGTTGGGCGGCATACACCTCCTCGTTCGTAAACTCAGTTATGTCGTGTGCGTGATGGTGGTCATGAGGTTGGGCGATATACGCCTCTTCATCCAAAAATTGAGTGAGGCGGTGGGGCTGCTCCTGGACGTAAACCTCCTCGTCCGTAAACTGAGTTATGGCGTGTGCAGTATTGGGGTCATGAGGCTGCGCGATATACACCTCTTCATCCAAAAATTGAGTGAGGCGGTGGGGCTGCTCCTGAACATAAACTTCCTCGTCCGTAAATTGAGTTATGGCGTGTACGTGATTGTGGTCATGAGGTTGGGCGGCATACACCTCCTCGTCCGTAAACTCAGTTATGTCGTGTGCATGATGGTGGTCATGAAGTTGGGCGGCATACGCCTCTTCATCCAAGAATTGTGTGAGGCGATGGGGTCGCTCCTGAACGTAAACATCCTCATCCAAGAACTGTGAAATGTCCTTGCTCCCTTGGTCATCGTGGTGATGGTGGTGATGTACGACTTCGATGATCTCTGTCGACGTGATAAATGTTAGAACGGTCCAAACGATGGTGAAAGAAGGATCTCACCTATGGGAGCAGCGAGGGCCATCGAAGGAGCGGTTTGGAAGCCACTAAGGATGGGAAGAGCAACGACGGCAAGAGAAAGGATCTGCGAAGTGCGCATTATAATAAAAGAGAAGGTAATATGAAGAATAAAAAGTAGAAGTAGTGGTAGATCGTCAAGATGTGAATTGTGAGGAGTGAAAGCAATTTACAGCGTCCATTAAATACCTCTAGACTCCCGAATCTCCAAGTCGAAACGATTGAACCGATGTTCCCCATAGCCCCAACGCAAAATCTGTGCAGATCACGTTTCAACCCTACCGTTGATCACCATTTGGCTCGTTGCCACCCCTTCGGAACGCCCAGTACTGCATAGGGAACTTAAAATACCTCGCGCGCGTTTGGAAGGATCAACGAATGGATCAGGAAATAAGGGCGCCCTAGGGCACCGACGTAGGGCACCTCGGAAGGGACCGTGGAAATCTCGCGTGCCTGACCAACAGATAGATTCCCGCGCTCCAATTCGATGGGAATGAAGATATCTGAATAATCACCGAAGTCTGGATCTTCATCGAATGTGTCCCAAGTGATGTTGCGTATTCATGAAACACCGCGAAAGGGCAGAAAAGGGTTTTAGATGGAATTTCATCATGGGATGACACTAAAGCTTTCATATGCACAGGGCAAATCCGATGGCTTTCCGCAAGTGGGGGATTTGCTCGACCAGATCCAGATTTTTACAGTGCTTTCGGTGCTTTCTATAGCGTTGGAGGTGGCGCGACTGTTGAGGTAGGTTTCAAGTCCATTCTCCGGATAAAAACTCCGAAAACCGTCACTTCCGCGGACGCCGGTCCGACGATCCGCATGAATGACTCGAGGATGACTCGATGCTAACACCGTTGCCCCTGCGTTCGTAACAGTCAAGTCTGAGCGACCAACAGTGGCTGGGTATCAATAACTCGATTGAGCCGATTCTATCTTTGCTTTGAAAAAGGGGCACAAACCAGCCTGAACTCAGCTGATTTTATAAACTTTTCGGAAGGTGTAAGGTGCGGAGTGAAGTGCATCATGTCAGATAGCACTGTATGTTTTCCATGATCTAGGTTGACTCCTATTCAATCAGGTTTCTGTAGATCATTGGGTTGCTTGTGGCCAGGTGCTTCTGCCAATTTAACAATGTAGCACAATGTATCTTTTTCTTGGCTCCAATGGTTCAGATTGTCTCTACAGTTGACCTTTATACATAGTAGCCACTGAAGAAGTTCCGGGGTTGACGAGCGGAGACTGTTGAGTTGCTTTGACATGGTGGTTGAAGCTAAAGAGGCGGTTGTTTCATTTTTAGTGAATTGACAATTCCTTGTGACAAGACATGAGTTGAACATATGTCAATCGGTGAATAAGCGGATGTTTCACTTACTGCATAATCATAGACTGTGAAGAGATAGAAGGAGAGGGAAAGAAAGAGAAAGATGGCCAGGTGGTGCGACATTCTTTGACCAGGAAGGTTCCGGTATTTTGGTTCCCTTATATGCCACGAAGCAAGGTCATGAGACGCTCCATGAGGCCTCAGGGTCGCCGTTATCGATGAAGAATCCATCGATAGGGAAAACCCTTGAAAAACTTGAAAGAAATTTTGGTGCAAATTTGAAAAGACAGATTGACAGAAAGGGGCTTTCTCAGGGGGATTGTCTTATAAATGAACTTAGGATGTACCAGAACGCGTCTCGCCCCTGACCCGCAAACTTTACCTGCCTTTTCATGTCTGCTCCACCATCCACAGGGATACTCAGTGCCAATCCTGCCGCTCAAAGGAAAAAGAAACTTCCAACTGCCGGGGTCAACATATTGAAAGGTGAAGCAGCAAACTGTCAAAAGAGTTGATTTGGTACTCATTAGGACACAGACTTCTTTAACCATGTTTCCCATGACCCGAGCCATGCACAGCAACAGGCCTTACTTGAACAGATACATGTATGTTCTGCATCAAAAATTAAAATTTCCGGAGTTGTTGACTTGTGAATCAGCCCATTGATCCAACCTTTGAGCCTAAACACCTGGCATCTTGGTTCACCCGCATGCGGAGAACGAAGGAGCACAAACAAACCGCAGGCAAGTTGCTCAAAGAGTTTTCCGACCTCGTTCTCACGCGACCTCGTTTCATCCGCAGGCAGGACACAGTTGAACCCAGAACAGATCAAGCACCTTACGACGCTCTACAATGCCGACAAAAATCCCACCTTGCAGGTTTTAGAGACCTGGGCGAGCCTCTTGAAGGTGAAAGTTAGCCGTGGTGACAGAGTGGATTACCGAGAGAAACAAGCCTCCGAGTCCGGCACCTACCGTTTCACCTGAGCCTCCCTTCTCCAATCCCCCCTTTTGCATACCGGCGTTCGACCTCAGTGTCGACTCCCGTTGAGCGTTCCCTCGCCTGTCATCGCACATGCTGGATTCGCCTCCTTCAAACCCGAACCACCGCAGTCAGCCCCCCGTTCGACCTACCCTTTCGCCTATATTACCTCCTGCATTACCCCGTTCCACAAGCTCTGGTAAGGCTCTCAATTAAGGTATGTTTGTACGCAAAGAACCCCCGATACGAGGCTGATTGTGACGTTTGCGACAGATACCGAAACGTGTACCGGAAGAAGACACGTATAAAATGGGCTGGTTGACCACGTTTTCCCAGTTCGACGCAGAGACAACAGAACCGACTGGTCCGATGACAAGAGAAAGGCTCAACGAGCTCTTTACGCCTCATCAAAGGAACATAAAGTCGTTTCTGGGCAAGGTCAAGACGGGTGAAATGAGACACCAAGGATACACTCCGGGTATTTATGTTTACTCCTTTGTTCTTCTTTCCGGACTGAACCATGCGCTTGTCTAGCAATGGCGAGACCTTGATCCGAGACTCGCACCCCCTGGCCCAACTGTATGCGCTTTGCTATCGTATCGCTATCGTATTATGCTTTCTATTCTTCTTTCATCCTCGTCCTTTTATTGTAAAGTCTCGGGCTAGCATGTGAGCATAAAAAAGCATGCGCACATGCTAGTCTGAGAGTTAGTCAAGCAGTTTCTTATACCCAAAGCATTGTAACACCACCAGCAATGACCCGCGAAAACGTTAATAGCATTCAGATGATTGTAGATATGTGGAGATGTACATTGTAGAAAGCAATAACGATAAGATGCACTCCATGGCTCACACGCGCCAGTCCCTGAAGTAGTCATAGTCTTGCTTGACAAAAGCAAGCATGTAGTCGGCAATCGTACCGCCCTCCTCTTCGTCCTCTTCCTCTTCCTGCACTTCCTCAGGCTGCTGCTCAACATCAACCTGCTCGCTCTCCCTGTTATCGACGTCTCGTGTCGTCTCTCCTTCACCGAAATCGGCTTCGTCCGCCCCTACTATGGCAACTTCCTCTCGCGTAGCAACAGCCGCAGCATGCGCATCCTCCTGATCATCGAACTCCTCCAGAGCATTCGTCAAAGCCTTCTCATCGTTGAAAATAGTCCGCCAATCGAACCCTCCCTTTTGGATCACAAGATCGTCAAGAGATCGCTTTTGGTTGGCTTTCCGCAGCATCGCCTCCTCGACAGTGTACTGGGAAACAAAGCGATAGATATGAACGTCGCGAATCTGACCAATTCGATGGGCTCTATGATATATAGTTAGTAGACCGTAGACTAACTACAAAGCGGTACAAACCTGTCTTCGCATTGACGATCCATTTGAGGATTGAAAATCACTATCGTAGAAGACTACGGTATCCGCGCCGGTGAGACTAAAACGATGATGTGAGCGCACGACTACTGGTTATCAATATCACTCACTTGATGCCCACACCACCGGATCGAGGACGAGGCAATGAAGCAAAAGATTCGTGAATCAGCATTGAAGCGCTCCGTGATATACTGCCGATCCTCTATCTTCGTGGCCCCATCCAAGCGCAGATAGAGGTACCCGTGAAAGTTGAGAAAAATCTCAAGAATATCCAAGATGCGGGTCATCTGAGTGAATATGAGCACACGGTGGCCACCAGCCTTCTTCTCTCGGAGCAGAAGATTCAGCTGTTGGAGCTTGCCGCAATCATATTGAAGGAGCGACGGATCAGGGAAGGCGATCTGGAGTTTGACACTGGATTTATGCAGCACCGCGTCAAAATCCCGTGGGATCTGATTAATCGGCAATGACGGGAACGCTATACAGGGAATATCAAGGGCAACCACTGCGGGTGTTGCGAAGGCGAAACGATCAATAGTACTGGCCATTTCATCTGAGCGCTCGGCGTAGGTCTTGACCATCTTATGCGTCGTGATCATAGTATCGAGATAGGCCGTTTGGTCAACATAGGGACAGCGGGAGGATGGGCTTGTTGATACTTCCTACGTACGCAATCATCTCGCAGCTGGTGATAGGGTACATTTGGATCCGATGACGATTCACATATGCCACATGGATCCAATGTGCGATCTTGTCAGCCCGACTCTTCCAAGTCGCGTATGCACGGAAGCCGTCAATGGTGCGCATGTCCTTGGGAGGCGGTTCCCCCGGCAGTTCAAAGATAAATGGCAGGTGCGATGTGGCGTCCAGACGCCGCGTCCCCATAGCACCAAATTCAGAAGTGTTCTGCCGGTCAATGAATCTGAGACCCAGGAAATCAAGGTTGAGCGACTCTTCTTCCTCAGTTAGCAAGCGCCGGCGGATGAGAAGTTCTTTGATTTCGAAATCAGCGATGGCTGAACGCGTCATTGCGAAAGAGGTTACGATGGGGCGGACTTCAAAAAGGTCCGGGTGATTGCAGACTTTACGGAGCTGCATGAGGATGTTGGCAATTTTTTGGTAAACACCAGACTGGAGGGCATCCTGGGTGTGAGCTCTTGACATGAACTCGTCGTACAGGTATCGTTGGCGTTTCGACAGTGGACATAACATCAGATGCTCGAACTTGCTGGGAAGCTCCTTCTCCACATCCCGCTTCAGTCCTGCGTAGAAGGTACGGGCGCAGCACCGTGTGCAACTTGGACACCCGCTGCATCGTTTCGTCGTCGTGAGCATTCCCCATCTCTATCGCCTTTTCCAAAGGGTCTAGACAGCATATATCGTTATAACAACTCAATGGACATCAAAATGCACTCACTAGAAAACCAATCACCGAACTCCTTCAAGTTAGCAAAGTTGGATCCTGACATCAAGAACTGCAACAGCGCCCAGAGCTCGGTCAAATTGTTCTGGAGGGGGGTACCGGTTAGGAGAAGACGACGAAATGACCGAAACATCAACAAAATGTTCCATCTCTGCGACTTAAAATTCTTGATCATATGTGCCTCGTCAAGGATCATATAGTACCAAGCTCTCCGTTTGAATATGTGAGCGTCTCGACTCGCTAGGGTGTATGACGTTATGCAAACATTGAAATGATACTTGTCGTTCCATCCTTGACGAAGCTCCTTGCGACGCTTAGTCGTACCATGATAGCTGAGGACCCGGAAACCAGGAAGAAACTTTCTTGAACTCCATCTCCCAATTGAGAAGAACACTGGTAGGAACGATCTGGGGCATCATATCAGCAATTTACAATGGTACCAATGGATCTTCCCTTACGATGAGATGAGGACCCCATATTCCACGGTCGCAAGCTAGATGTGCCAACAGCGATATCGTCTGGATGGTTTTCCTGGAAGACGGGATTAATTACATTCTTGTTCGGTTGCATCACGTAAAATAAAAAGAACGAACCCGAGGCCCATCTCATCTGCAAGGATCCCATTGAGGTTGTTGCGATGGAGAGTCGTTAACCATTCCAGCCCTGTTTGTTGATACGGACGTAGTACGCCACGAAGTAGCAAGGGAGGCTTAATCGGCGCATCGGCATCCCACTCGACCGGAGCGACCGCAAAAGGCTTCAGATACTCAGGAACGATGGGCAACTTTGGCAACTCTTGTTCTGCTTCCTCCGGTTCATCCGGCCGTACAGCAGCAGAATCATCATGATCTGGATTTATGGGCAGTTTTGGCAACTCTTGTTCTTGTTCTTCCGGTGCATCCGATCGTGTAACTTCATCGCCTATAGCATGTGGTTCCATGCCGTTAACGCCCGCGTCCGCGTCCGTTCTACGAGGACGCGTTTCATTGTTGATGACCTTAGCGAACGGATGTACCCGATTGACCTCCGTGTTCTGCTCTAACGTGGTCTGTGCTGAGACTTCATCAACCGCGCCTTCTGCTTGAGTTTCGCAAGACAGTAGATCTATCTCCGAGGTGACGATTTGGGTTCCTGCCGATTGCATATTTTTTGGGGAAGTTGGATTTCGAGTCATGACGGACCCATCGCATTGCCGAGGAGACGCTACAACGGACACCGACGAGGGAACGGTTTCAGCGTAGTCTGAGGGTGCAACAGAGTTATCCAAGGGCGATGCATCCCTGACCTGCACATTCGGTAATGACGAAAGCGAAGGAGACTCAAGAGGATACAACGGTGATGTTGGCGTCGGAGGGGGGCTAGATTCTGGTAGTATGAGCAAGTCTTCAAGCGCGAGCATCATAGACTCGTCGTGAACGACGTCATCAGGGGCAATTGAGCCTCTCGAAGGCAAGACTGGAGTAGACGCCGTCGGGGTTGCCTCTATGTTCTGGGAAATCGGGGTGTCTTGACGATCACCGAGAAGGGCAATCGTGTCGCCGTCCACATCATCATCTCCTTCCTCGTCACCATCTGACTGCTCTTGTTCAGGTTCTGGTTCTTCTTCACCACTATCATCATCATCAACATCATCGTCTCCTTCCTCACCATCACCCTCACTGTCGTCAGAATCACCACCCTCAGAGCCCCATAATCCAAATCCATCGCTCGATGTACTGCGCGAACGACGTACGAGACTGCTTTGCTGCGTCTCCAGCAGCAGCCCAGACTGATCGAGGATAGCATCAAGATGTTCATGACCTCGTTTTAATTCTTCCGCCTCGCGTTCCACCTGTTCTTGACGACGGATATGCTATAGAACCACGGTTGGCAATAGAGTTGGAAAGAAGGTCGGACACACATACCAGCACGATTTTACCCCACGCAGACGTCACCTCCTTGATGGTCTGCTTCGCCAAAATCTTTAATCGCTTTTCCTCCTGTGCACGCTTCTTGTCCTGTTTAGCGTGCTGTCCTTCCCAGTACACTTTGACCTTGGAGGCAATCTGAGAAGCGATCTGCGCTCCTATAGGCCGCTTGACCTCTGCTTGACCTAGCGCTACGATCTGTTCAATGCAATAGTCCCACACATCCTTAGTCGTTCGCTCGGGACCTTGAGGAGTCTCGAGGACTTGAGCTATATCTCCCTCTTCCTCGGATCGATAGAACCATCGACCTTCCTCCTTCAGCTTGGACGCTCGCTCCAGAATATCGGCGTCGCGACGTATTGATTCTTGCAGAATACGAGTAGAGACATCTTTATGGTCCATGGTTGTATACGAGGACAAAAAGGCAGAAATCGAAGATCCATGTTTTGGAGGTGGTGGGAGCTGATTGGGATTAGTGTATGACGGCGGGGGACGGCGGACAATGAGTTTGATGCGTTTGATATTGGAATAAGGCGAAGGCGGTGGTGGTGGCGCCGTCACCTACAATAAAATAGCTTAGCTAGACGTAATTACAAGGTTAAATGGAATATACCCGATGTGCTGCAGCACGAGCAGGCAATGCTCGGCCACCTCTTGTAGAAATCGTAGCCGGGGACTTGCCAGCCAAGCTCTCTGCATCTGATTCCTCTCTGGGCCGTTTCCTAGTTGAAATCCCATTAGATGAAGTGTGGTGTTGCTTTCCGATTGCAGGAACGATCTCTGAGTCTGAATGTCCTATATGCTGTCTTCGTGGCGTTGAAGGAGGTCCCATAACGCTGTGATGATCTCCGACGCTAGGGACAGGTTCAGGTGTAAACAGGCCAGTTGTTGTGGGAGCATTCGTGTCAACAGCACCGACAGATGTGGTGTCTTGCGACCGTAGACGCCTCCCGGCCGTAGACACTGATCCTCCACTTGGTTTACTGCCCACATGCTGTCTCCTTGATTCACTCGTATAACGCCGTCCCACAATAGACGTTTCTTCAGGAACTTCAGATGGCCCAAACTTTGCTTTCTTCCGGCCTTTGCCAATTGGGGCGGATATAGAGTCCATCTCAACGTCCACCACTGAATGATGATCCTTTGGTAGTGCCTTTCTCCCAACAGGAACAGATGCAGAGTCCATAGACATAGACGCCCTTTCCTTTCCCTTCCCTTTCACTGGAGATGGCCTTGCAGTCGACAGAATATCCCATATCGTGCTACTGTTCGCTTTTCCTTTACCCTTCTTGACGGATTCCGGAGACACGTGTGTAGGAGCTGTGACAATTTGCCGTCGTTCGCTCCGAGTTCGTCGACCCGAGGACGGACCCGCAGTGTTGAGAAGGTCGTACTGAGCCTTGTACTGGAACATACTGTTAGTATCCAAGGGTTACCGAGACACAGAACTACGCACGTCGTTGATAACGCCTGTCTGCTCTGCCTTTGCTTCCTAAACACGAAGTGTCAATATTGCCGAGACGCGCATGGTACACGCAAATGGCTCGCCTTGGGGTCATATCCAAGCATCAGAGTAAATCTTTCCATATGAAATGCTTCCCGGACCTATTCAGGGTTAGAATAGACGCTATGACTCTCAGTAGCAAGGTAAACGCACCAGAGTATCGTGTCTGTCGTAGATTCTCTCCAGCTGCTTCTGTCTCTCCTCAATCAGAGCCTCGCGTCTTGCCTCGACTACATTCTGCATGTCATCCTGCATGACCTCATTTCGCCCCCTCTTTCTTGAAGTGGGTGCCATTCCGGTATCCTATATTGTTTTGCCTTTTCCACGCGCAATTCCTGAACGATTGTGGCGGGCTCAAAGACAGCGAGCCATATAAAATCATAAAGATATTCGAGCCCTAAGATGACATGAACGAGGATCCCGCTCGACAGGCGAGGCCACAAGGCAACGATGAATGCACTGCTGAGAAACAGGCACAAAGCTCGATATTGCTGGATTCTGGACGGTTCAAGGAGATTTTCGCACGAAACTGGAGGGTTTGGAATGGTTTTTATGTTTGTCAACGCAAGGAAGAGCCTTCGTGGATGGGCGCTGGTGCTGGGAGAGAAACAGGAACTGTCGGGCATTTTTTGGGATTGTTTGCGAGAAACAAACACCGCTTCGCGCCGAGTCGCGACGCGCACTCAATATTACCACATTTCCTAGCAAAAACATATAACAATATTCTACTCTGCAGGACGCTAGATACTACATATATGCAATCGAGCAGAATGATTCTGCGATATATCTGTACTGCATGTAGAGCTGAAACACAGTTACAACCGCATACGCCTGGTTGGTATTTTCGTTATATTCCTTAAAGAATTTTTGTGTGTGATCTGCGCACACCTAGGAAGATCCGAGGCAATGTAGTTCGCCTGTGGGACCGATGCAATCTTCGTGTGCTGAACTCGTATCGTAGTAGTTTCAGTCGTGTCACGTACTGGCAAGCGGTCCCTGATATGGTCAAGACCATCACTGACAATGAGAGTAATCTATGCCATGCAACGGAGCAATGGAGTGGGGCATCGTCTTCCAGAACCAGTCCTAGGTATTTAGGCTCACCTCCTATCGATGTTCAAAGCATAATTTTGACACGCTAGCCCATCATTCGTTAACATTGGCAGAATACAAGGTAGGAGATGTCGGCAATCCTGCCATACCGAAATTGATAAATGAACACAAAAATGACCAGGGCATCCTGAGATAATGGAAAATAGGCACGCCACGATCCAAAGAATTTTATCTGTCAACTCGAGGAATGGTTATTAACAGTGCTGTTTCGAAAAGCCAGTTGTATGCTATATGCATAAAAGGAAGAAAGAGGTGGTCTAGAATTTCAGGCGACACGGTCGTCGATGGGAAAAAGGTAGGGCCGGACCGGGATCGGAGAGCATGGACCAGGGTCGAGGCATGCTGTTTGCTTTTGGTTTGCTCCGTTACAAATGTATGTTGCGTGTAAGTATAAGAACACCCACGCCAGTCAGCCGGATACATAAAGACATTGACTCATGGAAAACTCACGGCTATGATTCTACATTCGCGGGGTATGTATATGAACACCGATGACATGAGGTTTAGCTCAATTTAAGGGTCGGGTCACAAGTCTAGTATTCATGTAAATTCTCGTCACTTGCCAGGGCTGGTTTGAGTGGCCATAACACACTATAGCACGAGGGGATTCACTGTTCAGTCATACTTGCGTCTGTTCATCTTGGCTCAGACGCCAGTTCACAAGGCCGCGCGCATGACTCCGTGCCAAAGGTTTCCAGGCGCTACAGTCAGACAGCTACATCACATATTATAATTAGACACAACCAATTGCACCGTTATTAACACTCACCGGCTCTGAGCCGCCAGAGAAGTACGCATCGAGCACACCGATCGCCAGCCGTATATTTCTCCTCTCTAGTTCTATCTCATTCTCCGTCAACGGTAGAATCTCCACATCTAACTTGCATTGGGATGAAAAGAACCGATCAGATTCAACCAGGTCCTGAAGTCGTTCACGACAAATGGGCCACGCGGGATCCCATGGTCGAAGCTGAACAAGTCCCATGATATCCATTTTGACCCTCTCTGTATCGACGCTTTCCCAGTCGTTGACGGCCAAGATCATGCAAGCGACAACAAGGTTTTCAGGCTGATGGAGGTAATCGAGGTGTTGCGCAAAAATTGTCGGCGTACTCCTCGCCATATTCTATGCAGTCCGCTTACATATCCCCCAGCAACTTTGACCAAACACGGATAGAATGCAATACGACTGAATACCTCGAAGCAGCGCATGTCCAGGAGTACGTCATATGCCGCCATGACATCCTCCCGGAGCCCGTATCCTATGATGTCGCAAACGAGATTGAACGAGCTAATGAGGCCATATTGGTCTATGGGTTTGACAATGAGGATAGAGACAAGCTCTTTCAGTACCGGTTCGGACAAGGCTGCTTCTGGAAGGCGTTCTACGGGGACAGTATTAGTGTTCGAGATGCCGAGCACATACGCATATATGCATAGGAAGTCCGCACACGCCCAGTCGAGTGAGAGAGCCCATTTTCCATTCTCAAACACTGCAAGGATAGTGTCGAATACTGCGGTGGTCTCCTTGGCAGAAAGAGCTGACGAAACTACATGTGTTTTCAAGGAATGGACGATAAGGCGGAATGCCTCTCGAACATCTTCGGTTTCAGTCGTAGAGAGTCGAGAAAGCGTAAATTCCGTGAGAGACAGAATGACTCTCAAGCGTATAGAGATGGACGGGTGATCCTGGTGTCGATTATATGTAGAAAACAATTGCAAAAGCTGGTCGACTACCTCCGGCTGAAATCTCAGGACAGCAGTTCCAAAATCTACTGCAGGTGACGACAAGGGTAATGTCGATGGCACATTATAAGCGAGAGCCCGATAGACTGATGAACATAGGATAACAGGAAATAAATCCTGGGATGTCGCGTCGATGGGACCAAATGTGTCTTCGTTTATCACATTTTGTACGAGATTGAACCATATGATGACAGGAAATTGGGCGCCATTAATAAGAGCATGCCGGAAAAATGTCCAAGTAGTGACAGACCCTTGCGGTCGGGAAGAGTTCTGGGAAAAACACGGATGGGAATACACAGCGGCCGCCAGTTCGATCGTAAGAAAGGCGTGCTCAGGGTATGCACGATATCGCATCGACCAGTGGTCCTTGTGTGAGAGATGGGGAATGAACTGTTCAAAACGAAGCATCCTTTCCATCCTAAGCTCCAAGGCAGGATGAACAAATCCCTGTCCTTGGCTGGCTGGATTAGCGAGCATCAACGTGGGCTTCCCGGACGTCCCAGGCGTCCCCAAAGACTTCATCCACCTTGGCCTTCGATGTCATAGGAAGGCCGCCTATAGCCTGGATTACAATGCTCTGCACCGTGGGATTTGATGAGGCTGAAAAAAGCCAGTGCAGAGCTTCCACAGATAGATCATCTGAAATTTTTTTGACCGCCTCTGATTCCAGACACTTCAGCGTATTCACTTCCTTCGGCGCCGGCCCATCTCGCATCGCAGTAGGCGAGATGTTGTCAGATGTATTATTGAGAGAAAAACGGAAACGCGGGATGACTTGTCGAGCAAGGTAGGTGTAGGCGACGTAAGGTGATATCGGAAAGTGGAGTATGGTAGGGACATTGAGGTGAAATGATTGGGAGAACAGCCGTAATCGCATATGCAGTGTAAACGACTACGGAGATTGAACCGACAATCCAAGACAGAGAAACTCGTAGCGGGATCAGAAATACTACCAATCCGGCGAAAAAGATGGCAAGAGCGATGTGCATGAGCACCGGAAGCAAACCCACAATTACTAGGACATGCCACTTCTGGAACCCCATGTATCGAAATTGTCGAACATGGACTGCGCTCGCGGGGTGTCCCGGAGGGCAGAGCTACGTAGTAGTGGAGCCATTGCTTGACAAGCACAGCTATGAGAGCTGTCGTTAAACTCAGGACAAGGCTGGTGAACCACAGGCTATTCACCCAGATGCTGCCAGTGGAAGGCGCGAAGACTGAAGAAGGGTCGTACGAGGACGTGTTGACTTGTGTCAATGGCAGCACCACTAGCAAGGGCGCGTTGAATAGCCACCAGTTCAAAAAGAAAGGATGCTGACATCTGAGTGTAGTCCGCCGAAAGACTCTGGGATGCCTGAATGATAAATGTGGAAACGACAGCTGAGAAGAGTCCCGCCTTTACACTGGTCAGTATACCAGTCAATAATTCTGGGAAATATTGACGCACGAAAACCAACAAGACGTCGACATTGTCCCTGGAATCCTCCACCATTTTTACATCAAAATTCACATTCTCATCTGCGTATGTCCTCCATACCCTTGCGTTCGGTGCAGTTTCATGGTAAATTGGATCCTCGGGGTATTTGTCCTCGTAGTCGAATAGATCATTGCCTAAGACAGTCGCCTTCTTCAGAAAACTTATCACTGAGGTGCCTAAGCACTTATACCTTGTCTGAACTGTCGCTTTTTCATACGAAAGCAAAATTTTGCGTGAGAAGCATTCACGGGCAGTGGATGAATCTCTTCTTCATCAAATGAGTGTCTCTCGTCTTCCTCCGTACTACCAGGATTGCCTATGCCCATTCCACATTGTATGTTCTTTGAAGGAGTAAGCAGTGAACAGACGATAATGAAAATCGAAGGAAATGCATACGAAATCCGCGACAATGTCGACAATGGAAGATTGGCGGTGCTGACTGCGAGAGGAAGATGTGAAACGATCTCTCGCCGCTTAGTCAGCACCTTATGAGCGCTGTCCTCGCGTGCTCGGACTGCTCTCAACGTCTATGTGTTGAAGGTCCGGGACGGCAGGACCCCGAGTGCCAAGCAAATACTGTCCGGCACGATCGGGCCGGGTAAACCTTGCGTCGCTACCGTCGTAAAAACTACTAATCAGCTTCCAGTTTTACAGTTTGGACATTGAACGTTAACGTTGAGGATTTGTGTCGTCGTTTCGTCGTTTTGAGTCTTGGTTGCCAAGGGAGGAGTCGGCGCTCTGGAACCTCAGTCGTGAGATATTGTCAGTGGTATCTTTCTCACCCCCGTTGCTTGTATTGATATCAAAGATTTACGTACTGTTTGTGTACGATATCGACAGCGCTGTCTCGAGAAGGCATGCTAGATGCATAAAACGGAAGAAAGAGATCGTCTAGAATTCCAGACGAGAAAAGTGGTAGGGCCGGACCGGGAGGGCGACGGACCAGGGTCGAGGCTTGCCGTTTGCTCCGTTACAAACGAGTCTTGTGCGTAAGTATAAGAGCACCCACGCCAGTCAGCGGGATACATAAAGCCGTTGACTCATAGGAAACCCACAGCTATATATGATTCTACATTAGCGGGATATGAACACTGATGGCATGGGGTTTAGCTCAATTTAAAGATCCAGTCACAAGTTTAGTATTCATGTAAATTCTCGTCACTAGCCAAGGCTAGCTTAAGCAGTAATAATATACCATAGCACGAGGGGGTTCATTGTTCAGTGACTTCAGTCATATTTCTCCTTTCAATGCATCTGTTCATCTTGGCGCAGACTGCAGGTCACAAGGCCGCATGCATGACTGTGCCAAAGGTTTCCGGGCGCACGACCAGCCAGCTATATCACATATCACAATTAGACACAACCAGTTGCACCGTTATTAACACTCACCGACCCTGAACTCCCAGAGACGTGCGTGTCGGGCACATTGATCGACACCTATGGTATATTTCTCTCTAGTCCGATCTCATTCTCGATGTTCGACTTGTGTTGGGACGACAAGAACTGATCAGACTCGACCATGTCCTGCCACACGGTGATGTGCTCGGTAACGGGCAGCGCGCAAATGAAACAAGTGTCTAGATCGTCAATCTAGATACTAAATCACACACACACACACACAATCACCAATGTATATAAGTTCAAGGGTGAGTACAATAGAAGCACTCGCGATGTACTTAGATTTAGATAATCTAGTGGGGTTTTGCCTGAAAACAACTTCAATTCTTCTTTCGATGTGTTTTACACAAAGTACACTAGTCCACGATAGTGGGGTTTTATGAACTTGTTTTGTAAGGTATAGTCGAGCAAGTTATGCTCGTTTCGACGTCATCTAGAAGAACTTCTAGTGGACACTTCAAATAATCAAACAACCAAAGACTCCGAGGTCTACAAAGAGTGCAAAATCACTCTACAAAGAACGCTCAGGTTCTGACTTCAAGTACAAGACTTGCAAAGAGTACACAGACTCTGGAGTTCCTTGAACTCGACGATTGTTCAAACTTAAAGCGTTCTAGGGCTTATTTTACTTCAACTAGATGAGGTCTTTTGATTTAAAGTCGACTCAGCATGGCTAGATTGCTAATCTTGGAGAGAGAGAACATGAGGCCTTTGTCCGCGGAGCAGTTCAATTAACTAGCAAGGCGCAAACGCGGGGACGGCTCTACTTCCTACTTAACTCTTCTAGATTACTGTAGTCACCCTTATGGGTTGACTTTGGTAACTTAATTCACTTCAGTCGAGGATATGCAATAAAAACCAGTGATTGATTAGGTAGCTATACAGGCTACTAGCACAAACGCGGGGGGAATGCTTTCCTGCCGTTATGCGTCTAGTCGCTGCTAATTTATACGATTCGTGTTTTAGGTATAGGAGCCCGTATCTACAGTAATTATGGTATGAGCTTTGGAATTAATACAAATGGTGAGTCACTATCCTACAAGTATCGCACCATTCCGTAGTTTCTATTCAGTTCGACACGACTGCGCCAGGTTATTCTGTCACCGAGGAGTGCCCTACTAGTCCGTGGGTGCTCCTTCTTCCATCTGCAAGGCCTGCCGCGTGCCATATGTATTGAATACTGTGGTATGCGCAGGATCTCGAGGATGTAACCACCGATTGCGATCGACTGCAGGTCCAAGATTGTATTCTGTTGATCACTGCGTGATCAAGGTCGGTCATCTCGGTACCCAACGTGGCTATTCATTCTTCCAAGGTTATTCCTTTCCTAGCCTGAGTTGATCTCGAAAGCTGATCTGTTTCTCGACTTAGCAATTTTTCCTGACAGGTTCTTTCTACTTGTCGAGGCGACGAGGCATCTAGTTCGTTCCATTCTTCAACTTCTTGGTTTTTATACTCCATACAGACGAGTCCCCGAGATTTGACTGTAATAGTCTTGTTTAGGTAGGGCTTAGCTTGGCGTGTTGACAGCTGGTAGAATTGACTCTTCGAGATGTTGTTTCTAAGTCTGTTCTGTACTGCCGTGCTTTCATTCTTTATGTAGTATTTAGCTACCAGCACGAAGCCTCCACTGTAGCCCTCTGTACCGCTTGTAGATTGCATAAACTGATGTAAAATCGCAAAATCTACGGGTAGCCTGATACCAGGCATATCATCTCCCCCTTACTGTAATAGTGACTGTCCCTAGTCACTTGTGTCTTGTCCAGACTCAGTAATGGAGTGCCATGGTACTTCTTTATTTGTTCTCTGTAGAATCCTAGATGTTCTCGCACTTCGTGTTTGGAATCCCCACAGGGTATCTTCGCGTTGTCTTACAAATCAGCGTTTCATCATGATTTTCAGGGTTTGACAGCCGTGATCAATATTAAACTTATTTTTAGTTCAATTCGTGTCGCGTCCATCTTTATTCTTAGTGAACTCGTTACGAATTCCTTTGTTCATGCTTGTATTGATTCTTCTTGCTTAGCCCTTCACAGGTCTGTCCTCGGTGTCAGCTGTGGGTTCAGGCTCAGCCTGTAGCTGGGAAACGGCCTTCGAGGTGGACTTCTAATTTTATTTCAAAGTCTTCTCGAAGCAACTCCGTTTGTTTTTCTTTGCTTCTCTACTCGTCGAGATCTGTCTACGCCTACTACGCGACCATTTCTCTTTTCTAGTCTTTGTTTTCCTACTTTTCTCATGTGCTTCCAATGTCTTTCGAAACTCTTCGTAACCTCTGGCCTTCTTTGACTCCCATGTTCTCGCCTGGGGCTGCTCTTACGATTCCAGCCATGTGTCGTGCGCGACTACTGAAAGAGGCAGCGTCAGCAGCCATGAGTTCGATCTTCTGTTCGAGACCATTGTTGAACATGCTAATCTCGGCGTCTAGGTTGGTATTCTCAAGGCTGCCAGGGCGCGACCCAACGTTGAGTATCGAGGCTTCGCCCTCAACCTGGCCTACACGCTTTCTTTGGTTGCCATCGAGATTTCCAAGGAGATGTATGATGAGCGGTGGGATGAGTTGTCGTTGACTCCTCATGAGGCACCCTACATGCATTTCTTCTCTTCATTTTATCTTCTTTTACGACTAACTTTCGTTTCCTCGCCCTGACTAGGCCATCCGTTTCTCTGTCAACGAGCCAGCGCCAAAATTCATGCCGTGATTGTCTCAAACGGTTCCAGCCCTGTCTGGTTCCTCTTCAAAGGGCAAAAGCAAGACTCAGGCAAGTACTTATTTTTCTAAGTTCTTTCCATGTCGCCTAGATCTGACCTTGATTTAGCCCAAGTCAAAGAAAGGCATGGTTTCCATCAAGAAACCGCAAAAGTTCGCTAAAGGCCAGACGGTAGGTCCAACTTCCATGCCCGAGGATATGGATGATGATGACGATGCCGGTAACTCTCTTGATGAGGAGTCGGTAGTCATTGCGAAACCTTTTCGTCCCCCTGCTTCGCAGGGAAGTCCTTCCAAGCATACAAAACCTGGTCCCAATCGTCACTCTGTTGCTGGTGCATGATATTCTTTTTGTCTTTCATTCTTTCAATGTTAACTTCTGTTTTTATCTTCCTGTCTAGCTGTTCCTCCGTCCATCGACTTGCCTGTTGGTGTAGTCGAGGAACAAGTTATTCGTACTCGTGGAGAGAAGAGGAAGCGCGAGGCTGCGATTGCTGCCGTGGAGTCTCATGTTGAGACTTCAAATGTTCGTGACGAGAGCCCAGAGCTCCTGAGGAAGATGACGAAACAGCATATGGCACAGCTCAGTCGACAAGCTGCTGCCCAGGTGCCTTGTAAGTCTTTCTTGGTTATCCATTGTTGTTTTTATTGACGAACCCTCTTCAGCGCAAAATATTGCCTTCGACCCGGTCACCATGCAGCCAGTAGATGCCGATGAAGTTCGTTGGCTGGCTACCACGACCATGGATGTAAATCCATTTCCTATCTCTTGTTACTCTTTTCATTTATAGTCTTTCCTGTTTTCTTAGCCCAAGGTTCCCTGCTCACTTTGTGCCGTGGGCAGCCAGTCTAAGCCCTGTGAATTCATGGGCTGGGGTGTTCCTTGTGGGAACTGTCAAAGGGGAAAGAAGGTGGTTTGTTCGTTCAAGGCTAGTCCTCAAGAGCGGTACCGAGCACGCGTCTCGATACACCCATTCGCAGAGAGGACGCCCGACAGTAAGTACCTCCTTCACTATTTCCTTTATTTACGCTGATTGTTTTTCTTATCACAACCTCTAGATCTTCGCCGACTCCTCGGGACGGCCGAGTACTTGGTCAAGGCCTTTGATAGTGCCTGCGAGACCGCTGGCCGTCTGTCTGAGCTTCTTTGCGACACTTGCAAGGACATTGATGCCGTTATCCGGGACACTGTTGAGTATGAAGGTCGTGTCGTGGCCGAGGAGTCCCTTGTTACTGACGTATCAGCTGTCAACAGACTCCTCGACGGGTTTTCTGCTCAAGAAGTGGAAGTCTTGATGACTCCAGAGAATGAGGACCGAACTGGTCCTTCTTTGTTTTTGTTGAGTTGTTAGTTTTATCCTGTTCTCATTTCTTCTCTTCTTTCTTTTACTGACTTCTGTTATTTTGGGCAGACGATGCATCTTCCCCAAAGCGAGATGAAGCTCTTCGTCGCGAAGAGGGGGGTGGTGGCGAAATGGACGCCGACGGAGACTTGGACGCAGAGGTCTGAGTATGATCTCGATCTGTGTATCTCGAGCCTTCTTGCTCGTCGAGATCTACTCAGGCCTTGGTCTTTCTCTTGGGTTCCGCCTGGTTTTCTTGTGCCTCCGGGCTTTTTCTTTTCTGTATTCATTGTCTGTGCAGTGTGCCTTCGGGCAGAATTATATATGTCTAACCAGCCGGTCACCTTGGCCTTCCCTTTCATAGATAAAGGTTTCGCTGATGAACCATCAGCTGCAGATGAAGCAGCAGCTTGCCCAGTAGCAGCATTCGCCTTAGCCTTGGCTGCCAGTACAGGGTTAGACAGTTGAGCTCGACGCTCGCAATCTGCATGAATTTGCCCAGTAAAAGCGCGAACGATATGATAATCTCCGAATGGTTGAGTGCCGAGGTGAGCCTTCTGAAGGCGCTCAAAGACTTGCTTGAGACGGAACAGCAAGTCCTCCAGCCCCTTGTTGCCGAAGACGTGGCCAGGAGACCGTGTAATCTCGACCTATAATACCATTGAAGTCACTCCAAGATCGCATGCGAATGTATTAGAGAAATGACTGACACCGAAACCAAACAGTTTCTTGCATTGCTCGAGCTGCTTGCCGACGTCGACACCGAGTTCGAAGAGCTGGTCGCAGAAACGCATGGCATCGTTGGCTTTGGCGATGAGAGCGGCGAGATCGACAGGAATTTCGGAGCTGGCAGACATGGTGAATGTGAGTAATAAGTGTGTAGACCAGAGTGTAAAGAGCGTGGAGTGTTCTAAGTCGTCGAGGCGAGTTGGAACGATTTCTACTTCAATGAGGACGTTGATTTTTATAGTATGGGGGAGGGGTTGACACAGAACTCCGAGATTAGAGAAATTTTTGCGGAATTCACATTCCTAGAAAATATATATGGAGCATACATGTGTTTAACTACCTAGCCATACAAATAAATGCTCGAAGACTCCTAAAATACAGAAATAAGAGCCGGCCGAACTTAGAAGAGATCGAGTGATCACTTTGATTTAACTTGGTAACTACCGAGATCAGGCGTGGAGTGTCCGGTGACTTAAAATAACTCAAGTCTAAAAATAAGGCAAACGGTAAATATAACTAAGTCATCGAGGCAACCTAAGAAGGCGCCTAGGGGTGGTTAAATTCTTAAAAAGATACCTTACACTCTTAGAAGATTGCACAGAAGAGGACAAGATGAAATATAATTATTCATTTAAAGGCCAAGGTGACCGGCTGGTTAGACATATATAATTCTGCCCGAAGGCACACTGCACAGACAATGAATACAGAAAAGAAAAAGCCCGGAGGCACAAGAAAACCAGGCGGAACCCAAGAGAAAGACCAAGGCCTGAGTAGATCTCGACGAGCAAGAAGGCTCGAGATACACAGATCGAGATCATACTCAGACCTCTGCGTCCAAGTCTCCGTCGGCGTCCATTTCGCCACCACCCCCCTCTTCGCGACGAAGAGCTTCATCTCGCTTTGGGGAAGATGCATCGTCTGCCCAAAATAACAGAAGTCAGTAAAAGAAAGAAGAGAAGAAATGAGAACAGGATAAAACTAACAACTCAACAAAAACAAAGAAGGACCAGTTCGGTCCTCATTCTCTGGAGTCATCAAGACTTCCACTTCTTGAGCAGAAAACCCGTCGAGGAGTCTGTTGACAGCTGATACGTCAGTAACAAGGGACTCCTCGGCCACGACACGACCTTCATACTCAACAGTGTCCCGGATAACGGCATCAATGTCCTTGCAAGTGTCGCAAAGAAGCTCAGACAGACGGCCAGCGGTCTCGCAGGCACTATCAAAGGCCTTGACCAAGTACTCGGCCGTCCCGAGGAGTCGGCGAAGATCTAGAGGTTGTGATAAGAAAAACAATCAGCGTAAATAAAGGAAATAGTGAAGGAGGTACTTACTGTCGGGCGTCCTCTCTGCGAATGGGTGTATCGAGACGCGTGCTCGGTACCGCTCTTGAGGACTAGCCTTGAACGAATGTTACGGTTATTCTTTTCTTTTCCTTTTTCTTTTTCTTTTCTTACGTATTCACGCTTACTCCATGCTGCGATTTCGATCGGACGTTGCTGCGGCACTATCTTTAGCCTACGTAACGTGTATTTAAGTAGAGCCTTAGCTGGTCTAAACCCCAGCTTCGGCTAAGGTTTATTCTACCTAACATCGAACTCCGTCCTTCTGACTAAAGTGTTCCATCGACTTTCGTCGCCTTTGACCTGTTGGTGTATCGTCTACCGAAGTGCGAGTAGCGATCCTAACACGATCTAAGTCGGTTAGAGTTAGTGGCTGACATTTAGCCGAAGCTCGATCTACGTTGCTCAGCGTCACTTCCCAGAAAGAGCGCTGCCCAACTTCTCGAAGAAATTACCCCGCTTGACCAGAGAGGTCATCGCCTACGTTCGTGCGGACAACCCGGTGCTTGTCAACGTATAGCGAGTGGACCAACGGAAAAGCACTCACTCACCATTCATCCGATACACTACTTCGTCGCCCTAGCCTTGTGGCCAATACCCCCCTCGGCTACTCCTCTTGTTGTTAGTAACCCGGTTGATTGTTGAATCAATTCTCTACGACGACCTACTCCTTGCAGTCTTTTTGACTGTATACTTAACCTTTCTCCTAATCGCGCTCGGAATACCGGCAGGGTTGCTAGCAAGCTTGCTGGCCGCCCTGTACTCGTTATATCCCCGCCTCGTTTAGGAACCACGTATCCCAACACGAAACCCTTCATTCTCGCCCTTCAGCTCGCCTCTATTTTAACGGTTCTGCTGTTAATAGTAACGAGCACTCCTCCCGACGACACCTGCGAAATCCAGTTAATGAACGGCTCAAATTACGAGACCGACCTTAGCTTGATTATCGCCCTTCTCATCGTGCTCACCATCCTTGCGGTATACCAGCTTGCATGGTCAATCGTCGAACTACGCCAAGGATAGACACCTATACGGATGCCCTGGTCCGACGCCATTCCTGCAATCTTCGTAACTTTTATCGCCTTTTTCTTATCCATTTCTTTGTACTACACACTCCGCTGTTGCCAACGACAGAGAAGGGTTCGACCTCAACTTCCCTTCCATTACGTGCCCAGCGTACCCGCATACCCCCCGCAGGTGATAGATATCCCCGCGGCTTCGCAGCAGACACTACCAGTTCCAGAAACCCCCAGGCCAGAGCTATACTCTCTTTATGGAGAGTCCCTCTACGGATCGTCGCGACCCAGCTCGCGATCCTCAGAGTCGAGCACCGACTCCTACAGAAGCGCTACCGACGAGTCAACCGACTCCGTCGACATCACCGATACCGGGGGCATACTCCTCGACAGAGGAGACTCGCCCTTACCAGGTCTCTTCGACCAGCCTTCAATCGAAGGCGAGTCAAGCCCCGACAGAAGCCGAGGACAAGGCACCAGGCATCTGGTCGCGGGCGAAGAAAGCCCTGACACCGAGTACGAAGGGGACGAGCTCACCGAGTGGGAAAGAACCCGCCTCGACGACCTCCTCGACGACATCTACCCGAATACGGAGGAGGATGCAACCTATACCGGAGACAACTGGTCCGGAAGGTCGTCCACAAAGTGGGTTGAAGCCCAGTGGGGAGACTCCGACATCGGAGCAGAGCGCCGAAGGTTTATACAGAGGCAAAAGGACGACTACGACGCAGATTCAGGAGAGCTTGGCCTCGGAGCCTCCGCAGCTTCCACCAGTGCAACTCACCCACAGTCTCTTCCAAGGGCCTGGCCAACCAATAGAGGCCCTCCAGTCGGCTGGCATCCCAGCACCAGCTGGGTCTATGCCGACAACAGGGAAGAGACTCCTGTGGCCAGAGTCGCGACCAGAAGAGAGCCCGACCCGATCCCTGAAAGGTCCGAGGCACCAACGCTCCCTTCCCCCGTCCCCTCGATCGAGCCGACGAGTGGGGAGCTTTGGAGCGAGTTCCCAGATCTCGACGCCGAGGAACTTGGGACAGTTACCGCCGCCGAGCGACTCGCCGGAGTCTCCGACTGGGAACCGTCCGTCGCGTCGAGAGCCTTCGCCGACCCACTCCCTCTCGCACAGCGTCCGTGGCCGCTCCTCTATCACACGTACGTCGAGTCCCTCGGACTCCCTCGAAATGTCCGGGAGTCCCCAGAGGTTCAGGCCCGAATGGACCGAGGCCGAGCGCATGATGCACGCATCCGACGTGCCGAGGAGGACGCCCTCTACGGGCCCAATGGATTCTGGGACTTACCCGTCGAGCCCGACGCCACTCCCGCCGAAATCGACAACCGAATACGAGCCGCTGCCGTTCGCTACTCCGGATACGCCCGGAGGGCCGGAACCGATCTCGAGGCCCGAGCTCGAGCCTGGAGAGTCTATCAGGAGGAGATCTCCAACGAGGACTCAGACATCGGCCGCTGGAGGAGAAACAAGGAGCTCGACCGACTCGCCCGAGAGAGGAAGGACGCAGAGGATGCCGAGTCGGCCTCCAAACCAAGCCCTCGAACCGACGGTAATGGCGGCGGTGAGGCAGGTCCTTCTTCAGGGCCCAGTGCCTAGGCCAGGCATATTCGAACTATTACCGTGGCACGGGTTATATGAGATCATGATGGAAGACATGGAGAAAGACCCGCAGTGGCTCTTCTCCGAAGCAGGGGAGGATTACCGTCACGCCAAGTTTGGATGGTGACTTGTACCTATGAAAAATCTCCTCGAAGTAAGAAACCTGGAACAAGAGCGTCGCACCTGTCTGGAAAAATGGTAAACCCAGGGGACACCCCAACGGGGGTGCGAACCCTATATACTGCCCCCAACCGTGCCACATCCACTGATCGTCCGACTTCTTCCCCGAAGGGTTCTTCGTTGAGCAGGAGACAAGACGACGACGACATGGATGGTCAAGGCGCTGGAAGCATCCCGCACTGACAAGGGGAAGGTCCACTGTAGCCCCCGCTCCCTCCAAAACATCCGCCGTATCCGAACTCCCCGCGGATACCCTCCCCGGGGGACCAATCGAAACTGTTGCGACGTATCGCGACCCGCCCTAACCGCCGTACCACCACATGTACCATCTCCCCCAGATCCAATTCCTCCCTGGCAACTCGACTCGCCGGGGGCCTTCAATAATCCGTGGAATGATGTCAAAACCCAAGCTAGTAACTCAGCCCGAGTACTTTACCGGAGTTTCCTCGGACATCACCCGCTTCCTACATCCACTGCGAAGTTTACTTCGCGGTGTTCCCATGTATTACTCCATGAACGACCAGGGGCACAACCCCTATCGCATCACGTTCGCTCAAGGGTACCTACGGGGGGACGCGCAACAATGGTGGGTCGACCAGTACTATCGATACCGGGACCCGCAGGGTCATTGGAGATTCCCCACCTGGGCGGAATTCTCCGAGGATCTCAGGCGCGAATTCCGTGAAGTAGCGGAGCTGACGATATGGAAGTCGGAATGGAAAAAGATCCGACAGTCGGACTTCAAGTCCGCAGTCGAGTTCTTTGCCAAATTCGAACGGCTGGCCCATAAGTGCGAGGAATTCGGAGACGAGAAGCAAATGTTCGAAGCGGTCGAAGCGGCGATAAGGCCAACGGTGCGGAATACGGTTATGCATGGGGACAACGAGCGCCCCACAACCTACGCACAATGGAAGGCGCGAGTCTTAAGGATCGACGCCAACTACCGGTACGGAGTAGCCCAAGGACTGGGCAGTAAGCCCTCCTCGAACCAAGGCGGTTCGGGTCGAGGCAATCAATCGAAGGGAAGCGGGTCGGGTTCCGGAAGCGATAAGAAGGACGCCACTGGAACCACCTATGGAGGTGCCGGGCAGCCGATGGAAATCGACAAACTGCGGTCCGATAAGCGGTGTTTCAAATGTGGGAACACTGGGTGGACCCCGAAGCACAAGTGCCCTGACGACAAGTCCAAGTGGCTCCCCGTCAAACTCCCACCACGCAAAAAACCCAACGTCGCCCGCCTCCGCCAACTACTCGAAGAAGCCGTGAAAGAAGAGAACGGGAAGGAGACGAAGATCGAGGAGGTCAAAGACGATAAGTCGTCAAAAGACGAGCCGGCGTCGAAATAAGCGATTCGACGGCGTCGGCAAAGGACTTAGTTTCTATTGGTACGCGCTCATGTAATTCTAGTCGGACTCATACTACGTATGTAGGTACCCCATATGAACAATATACCAACTTTTTCGCCTGCGTTACCATGTCGAAGAAACTAAGGAGAACGAATCGCCAATCACCGACTGGCGTAGGAGGGGATTCCCGCCGCTCGGCGCAGGTCTGTGCGACAAGTAACTGAACCCCTAGGGGCCGTCCCAGCTCAGGAACCCCCGGCCGACCGCACAGGGAAAGCCCCTCGAGGGCAGAGCCCCCTAGGTCGCGTCTCGACTGCACCCTTGACGAAGGGAGGTCAGCCCGGAGATGGGAGAAAGGTCGTCAGCCCAGCCCGCTGGGCCTGCGTCTCCGCCTGTGGAGGCGTCTGTTCCAGTGGGAAGCGTCGGAAAAGCAGCTGAGGCTGTGAGCTCGGGGGACCACCTGCCCTTAGTAGCCAAGGGACACCCGACGGCAAACAGTGCAGACCCCTCGAAGGGAGCCAATATGTGTGCCCCCGCGAAGGGCAACCCGAAGTACCGCCGGGTCTAGGAAGAGCAATAAGAACAGGACGACTGTGGAGGTTACAACGCCGCGCACAAGCGCCCGAGGCCAGGGCCGAACACAGGGCAGCGAGCCCTCCTCCACCACCTCGATTCGAAAGGCGCCCAAGTGCCGCCTCTGGGACCTTCTTCGTCCAGGTGACCAAATGCCACTTCGAGGGAAGACCCCTTCGGTTTCGTTGGAAGAAGTCGAAGATGAAGAAGCCCACCTTACTGGTCCGACATACCGGTCGTAACCCCTAGGAGGCCATCGTCCCCCGCCGTGTCCCTCACCGCGAATGCCAACGACCAAGAAGGTATTTGCAGGCGATGTACTACGAGCCCCATGGCATCCTGTGGACCCGTCGGGCCTTACGATCGCTCGAGGAGATGCGGCGGCTCGCGCCGTTCTCAACGGATGGGTACACCCGCGACGACGCGAGGAGGTAACCGATCAACTTGTGTCATCAGCTGGAAGAACAGACCGAAACGGCCAGCTCAGGCCAGGGAGCGGTGGCAATGGATGGAGGACTTGCAGAAGCCACCCATGTACATACGAGGGAGGAAAGGGGCGCAATGTTTCAATAAAAGTGCAATTAGAGACTCTGGACACGAGGGAGACCCACGCCGTGAGCGCCCTGGTCGACAGCGGGGCCACCGGCAGCTCAATTGACCGGGCCTGGGCCCAAACCCATGACCTTAACTTGAAGAAAGCGGCCCGACCCGTTCCGGTTTACAATGCCGACGGCACTCGCAACAAAGGGGGGCGATATCACCGAATACGCCGAGGTACGGTTAAGAATAGGGGACCACGTGGAACGGATCGAACTTGCCGTAGTCGATCTGGGCTCGACGCCCCTGTTCCTGGGGCACGATTGGTTGCAGCGTCACAACCCGCTTATTGATTGGGACACCGGAGCAGTTACCTTGGCCCGGTGTACTTGTAGGAAAATTCCCTTTTCCCTACCTGACACCGACCCTTCTGCGCGGTGGGACGAATACGAAGAGGGGGATACCATTCTAGTAATAGACTTCGAAGAAGCCTTCCAGGTACGGGCCATGGGAACAAAGGCCAACGAGTTGGCCGCCCGAGCCAACGCCCGAAAGGAGCCAAAGTCCTTCGACGAAATCGTACCAGAAGAGTATCGGGACTTCAAAGATATCTTCGATAAGGAAAACTTCGACGAGTTACCCCCGCGGAAACCATGGGATCACGCCATCGAACTCATCCCTAACGCTAACGCCAACCTAGACTGCAAGGTCTACCCTCTCAACCCGACCGAACAAGAGGAACTAGATAAGTTCCTCGATGAGAACTTATCCTACGGGACGCATCCAAGCTTCCAAGTCACCGAATGGCCTTCTCCGTTTTTCTTTGTCAAAAAGAAGGACGGGAAATTACGCCCTGTCCAGGACTACCGAAAACTCAACGAGATGACTATCAAGAACCGTTATCCGTTGCCCCTCATCGGGGAACTAATGGACCGGCTGAAGAAGGCCAAAGTACTTCACCAAATTGGACGTACGGTGGGGTTATAATAATGTGCGAATCAAGAAGGGAGACGAATGGAAGGCGGCGTTTCCGAACCAACCGGGGTCTCTACGAACCCCTGGTCATGTTCTTTGGTCTTACCAATTCACCCGCCACTTTCCAATGGATGATGAACGACATATTCAAAGGACTTGATAGCCGCCGGAGAAGTGTCAGTGTACTTAGACGACATTCTAATTGCGTCCAGTACCAAGGGGGAACACAAAAAGATCGTGCGGAAAGTTCTCCAGATCCTCCGCGAGAACAAGTTGTTCCTCAAAGCGGAAAAATGCGAGTTTGAAGTAGAAGAGACCGAGTATCTAGGGGTGATCATCAGCGAGGGGAAAATTCGCATGGATCCCAGTCAAAATTGCGGGCCTTACTAGACTGGCCGGTTCCACGAAGGAAGCAGGAGTTGCAATCATTCCTCGGATTTTGCAACTTTTACCGACGATTCATTCGTGACTACAGTAAGCATGTTCGACCTCTGACCATGCTTACAGGGGAAACAGGAGTGGAAGTGGGAGAAGGCTCAGCAGGAAGCCTTTGAGAAGCTCAAGGAGCTATTCCGCGAGGACGTAGTGCTCGCCATCCCATTGGACCAAGGACGATTCCGAGTCGAAGCGGACTCGAGTGAAGGAGCCGTAGGAGCGGTACTTTCTCAGTGGCAGGACGAGAAGTGGAGGCCTGTAGCCTTTCTCTCCAAGGCCTTATCGGTAACGGAGCGCAACTATGAGATCTATGACAAGGAACTCCTTGCCATTATGATCGCTCTAGAAGAGTGGCGCCAATACCTGATGGGCGCCAGGGAAGACTTCGAGATTTGGACCGATCATTCCAATCTTCAATACTTCCGCAAACCCCAGAAGCTCAACCGGCGACAAGCCCGTTGGGTGACTGAGCTCGCGGAGTATCAGTTCTCCCTTCACCACAAACCTGGAGCACAGAATCGTAAGGCCGACCTTTTGTCACGGAGGGCGGACCACGACCAGGGAAAGGAAGACAACCGAAACGTCGTCGTCCTCAAGGCCGAACACTTCAGGGCCTTGGTGATGCCCACCGCAGAAGACCTTGCACGAACGGAATCAAAGTGGCCACTCACGACCCCCGTCGTTGGGACCGGGGAATTTCAGATTCCCTCAATCATGAAAAAGGCGTCTCCCGAGGGCAAGACATGTTGTGGTATGATGGACGGATCTACATTCCGATAGACCGAGAACTACGAGGACAGGTTATCGCCCTAAAGCATGACCATGCCACCGCTGGACACCCGGGTATTGAGAAGACCAAGGAACTCCTACTCAGGGATTACTGGTGGCCACGGATGCGGAGGGACGTAGAAGCCTACGTCAAGGGTTGCGACATTTGCCAACGCACAAAGGCGGACCGTCGTCCCAAAAAGGCACCCTTACACCCTAATGAGGTCCCTGTACGCCCAGTGGACTCATATTTCGGTAGATATGATCACGAAACTACCGAACTCCAAGGGCTTCGACTCCATCCTAGTCATAGTCGACCGTTTTTCAAAGACGATCATCCCAATTGCCTGCACGGAAGAACTCACTTCCCTCGGCTTTGCCAAAATCTTGAGGGACTACGTCTATGTACCCTATGGAGTAATGCCCGAGAAAGTCATCTCAGACCGAGGCTCGGTCTTCGTTTCCAAATTCATGAAGGAGTTTTATACCCTCATCCGCGTAGAAGGAAATCCCTCCACCGCGTACCACCCACAAACGGACGGACAAACAGAGAGAGTAAATCAGGAAATCGAAAAATACCTGAAAGATGTTTGTCAACGATCGACAAGACGATTGGAGTGAATGGCTACCCTTAGCGGCCTTCACCCACAATAATCGGCAGCACTCATCCACCGGGTATTCCCCGTACAAGGTGGTATTCGGAAGGGACGGACAGGTCATCACCACAGCACGCAAACAGGCAGTGGTTCCAGCGGCAACGAAGTTGGTAGAAGAGATCGAGAAGGCCCAAAGGGAGACGCGAACGTCTCTAGAAAAGACGGCCGAGTCGATGAAGAAAGGCGTACGACAAGCACAAGAGCCAAGCGATCGAGTATCAACCAGGGGACAAGGTATGGTTAGACGCAACTAACCTAAACCTTCCCCGACCAACCAAGAAGCTTGGTGATCGACGAGTCGGACCTTTCACCGTAGTCGCGAAGAAGGGAGCGTCAGCTTACGAACTAAAGCTACCAGCTAGATGGAGGATTCATAACCGTTTCAACGAATCCCTCCTAACGCCCTACGTACCTCCAACCTTCCCAAACCAACCTCACCCGGAGAGACCGCCCCCAGAACTCATTGATGACGAAGAAGAGTATGAAATTGAGGAGATAGTAGAGCAGCGCGACAAACTTGTGGGTCGTGGACGAACTCGACGCACAATCACAGAATACCTGGTGAAGTGGAGGGGTTACCCGAGGGAGGAAAACTCCTGGGTCAAACGTTCCAACATGGCAAACGCAGAGGAACTCGTAAACGAGTACGAAGCGCGTCTCCAACGGATTCACTGGGAAATCAACAAGTACGGGAAAACAGTCGGAAGAGACGACAATATACCCCGGGAGGCTCGAACACCATACCACGACCCGGATACCCCATGTGTCACGGACGTGGAAACCGTCTCCTCCTCCCAATGCTCTAACCCGAGACACTCCGATGCACAGTCATCAATAGAGATGCGAGAAGTAACTGCCGAGGAAGCAGAGGGAATACCTATCGTCCAAGAATCAACGGAGGAGGAAGACTCGAAATTGGACTTACAAAATCTACAAAAAGTGTACGAAAATTGGGATTTCGACTCCGAAGATGATGACAACGATGATGACGACACATGGTCATTCTACAGTCAGTCTGCACAGAGCGGGACGGAGAGTCAGGGCTCGTTCGGGACGAACGAGTCTTGAGGAGGGGGTAATGTTACGGTTATTCTTTTCTTTTCCTTTTTCTTTTTCTTTTCTTACGTATTCACGCTTACTCCATGCTGCGATTTCGATCGGACGTTGCTGCGGCACTATCTTTAGCCTACGTAACGTGTATTTAAGTAGAGCCTTAGCTGGTCTAAACCCCAGCTTCGGCTAAGGTTTATTCTACCTAACATCGAACTCCGTCCTTCTGACTAAAGTGTTCCATCGACTTTCGTCGCCTTTGACCTGTTGGTGTATCGTCTACCGAAGTGCGAGTAGCGATCCTAACACGATCTAAGTCGGTTAGAGTTAGTGGCTGACAACGAACAAACCACCTTCTTTCCCCTTTGACAGTTCCCACAAGGAACACCCCAGCCCATGAATTCACAGGGCTTAGACTGGCTGCCCACGGCACAAAGTGAGCAGGGAACCTTGGGCTAAGAAAACAGGAAAGACTATAAATGAAAAGAGTAACAAGAGATAGGAAATGGATTTACATCCATGGTCGTGGTAGCCAGCCAACGAACTTCATCGGCATCTACTGGCCGCATGGTGACCGGGTCGAAGGCAATATTTTGCGCTGAAGAGGGTTCGTCAATAAAAACAACAATGGATAACCAAGAAAGACTTACAAGGCACCTGGGCGGCAGCTTGTCGACTGAGCTGTGCCATATGCTGTTTCGTCATCTTCCTCGGGAGCTCTGGGCTCTCGTCATGAACATTTGAAGTCTCAACACACCTGTAGCTGCTACTCTGATACATTAAACAGCGTTAGTTGACACTTAATTGTGATACATCAACAGCATCAGTTTACACTGAACCTATATAGGGGAATCACGCAGATACTACAGGAGGCTTTAGTAAGCACAGCGGCCGGAATGAAATGACATCATCAGAAAATAGCCGGCTGACTGAGAGTCGAACTCGGGACCTCCAAAATAATTCCAAATTGCATCATATAATACTAATCATAGTCATGCTAACCACTACACCATACCAATGTTAATATTATAAGTATTCTTACTGTATATATAGCCTCTTTTTTCACAGATCACCACAACTACTTAGCTAATCCCACCTCTTGGGCGACGCATACCAAATCCATCAATACTAATTTATCTGAGTGAAAATTATTTAAAATCATGAGATATATATATTAAAAATGCAAAAATATATTAATATGTATATAGGAGGGGCGATGAGTGGTGGGCGGGCTTGTGTAACGGAAACAAAGAGAATGGGATTTGGTGCCAAGGGAGAGGATTTCGAAGGGTGACGTTGGACGCATGAAACATAACAGCTTGCTGGGAATAGTGGAGGGAAGGGCTGATGGATGGGTATACACATGTTGATAGGGGTGCTGGGGCAGCCAAACGCACCTCACTTCCACCACTCAGGAATAAGGGCGGGATAACGAAGTGGCTGTCGTGGAATGCGTGGTAGTCCAACAGGGATAAGAGCTGGCAGTGGGGTTGGCCTCATTTGGCAGCAGTGGCGGACATGATGACAGTACCACCATTGCCTTCCCTGTTGTAAAAGGGGGTGGTTCATATGCCAGTGGGAGGCACTGTAATTGGCTAGAGGTGCAGCTTGGGGTGCAGGGTGTTGGGTTGGCTCATGTGGTGGCGACGGTGGCGGCTGGGAAAGGATATAGTGAATGCATCAGTACTCTCCAGTACGGAAAATGGAGGATGCAACATGATAGCAACGTAGGCAGCGCATACAGTGTAGGGAAAGCTCATGTTGGAATCACTGCAGTACTAGCAGCGGGATGGAGTCGTTACAGGGTCATTTGAACCTCCATGCTCTGAGTGCCATCGTCGTTGTCGAACATCGGTGTCCAGCCTGTTGTGAACCCTCCCGCCCAGCATCCTTCTCCTTCCTCCACCCCACTTGCCCTTCCCACCTTGATATGGCCATCCCGCATTCTCCATCACATTCCTTCGGCATTATTTTCCCTGCCCACTCACCCACACCGTCATCATCATCATCACTGGGCCCGCCGATTTCAGTCTGGATTGTTCACATATCATAGTACATGCCGATGGGCGATGGAGATCGTATCACAGTATCATTGTGCCCTGCTTGTCACCGATGTTGGTCGTTGCTGTTGTGCGAGGTGATGTTGGAGATGTAGTGGCGATCGCTCGCAGCAGAGAACACAAACAATCGAGTGAATGAGTGAATGAGGTGCCGCCTCTAAGAGGACTTCATGGATCAGTCAATGTGGGGAAATTTTTCAGAGCACGTGGCGGAGATGGCCCGTGCTCAATCAATTGTATTACATAAAAACTACTACTTGATATATATATATGCGGGATTGAAAGATATAAGAAAAAAAAGCGGTTCAATCAAGCAAACTCTGCAGCACATAGCAAACGTCTCCCATAGCAAAATACAGCTCCCTGTGGGCTTCACTGGATCTAGCCCTCTCACGATGAGTTGTGAGAGGAAGAACTTTGGCCCCCTCAGCCCAGAAAAACAGCGCTGCCACAACGCTGACCATACCATTTCTCCCTGAGCAAGTCTTGAGGCACTCCCAACTAATATCCGTCGATGGATGAATTTGGATGGGGCGTCCATCGTCTTCATGTTCAAGATCCTCGATGGGGTGCTCATATGCTCCCACACGGCCTTCAGGCTGAAGATTCGCCCACCACGCCCAGAAGGGTGATTGAAATTTCTGGATAAGATCGAGATTTGCATAACTGGGTCGCCACTTTTGCGGTCGTGCACGTGAAATCCATTGACCTACGCACTCGGGGCGGTAGTTGGCGGGTAATTTGTCGCTGCTGTCGAAACCATTCGCAGACTGAAACGCCACCCATGAGTAGACAACTTGGGTCTAGTCGGGCCCGAAATCATGCGACGTGAACAATTCCAAGACCATCACCGCCCAAAGGGGTGCACTAGACAGGAAGACGATGCTGATAAGGGGGGGTACAACCTTCTCAGTCCCTCCAGGCACCTCTACCACTTTCGTCGTGAGGCTCCCCTTGTGATTACCACCGCCTCTTCCATCCGTCTTCATTCTTTTAAGAATGACACCGCTACCCAGAGAATCCTCAGCAGTTCGCTTGCTGAGACTCAGTTGCCCTGGTCTGGAATCCTGGAAGGCGTTGGGTTGAAGCGAAGGGAGCATCACGTGGGATTGGGTCCGACCTGTGTATAAGGGCTACAGCGCTGCCGACACCAACTTCTGCATCCTTTGCTGCCGAGGCATTGTCGGAGGGTACCGGTCTTACAGGCTGCAGGGATGGGAGATTGAGCTGGTAACGTACTCGGCTTCAAGCTGGCCTGGGGCGGTAAAGGGAGATGGTGGCAGAGGCAGTGGAGAAATAGGAGGGGGAGGCGGGAATGGCAGCTTCAAGGCAGCTGGGGGGGTTGCAGCACGTGATGGAGCAGATGGAGCAGGCGACGCAGGACGTGAGGGGGCAGGCGACATGGGACATGAGGGGGTAGGTGACAGCAGGCAAGAAGCAGATGGTGGCATGTAATTAGACCCATCTGAAGGGATAATCTGTGGCTGGGAGGATGAAACATCGCCTTGCTGAGCTTCTGGATTTTGAGGGTCTGTCAATGGCAAAGTAGGAGTAACCACCTGTTTGTAATGCTGGTGTTGGAATTCTGGTCTTGAACACTGTCGTCGATTTCGACGCTAGAAGTTGAGAAAGGGTGGGAAGGCCGCTGGGTCTTCCACGTCACTCGGCTGCTTTGGCTGCTTTGGTCGCTTTGACGAAGGTTCTTTTCTGAGCCTTTGGGGGTTTGGTGGATGTAACCGTCGACGAAGAGGAGGTGGAGGAATCGGAGGAATCACGGCGCCCAACAACGTTCGCACCTTCAGCCGGATGCACGAAGGCATTTTCGTAGTCGCTTAGCATCAAACCCAGAGCCCCCAGCCCCCCATCGTCAGGTAAAGCTAAGGCCTGACACTGGTCGGGGCCTGTATCATCGACGTCAGCAGGGGTTGATGGGTAATGAAATATTGAACCTACGGTAGCATTTTCTTAAGAACTTAGAAAATGTTGGTGCGACAAGCTTGTTGTATAACTTCGCCTCCTCTTTGACGAAGTTCTGGCCATGGGGACCCGGCGTTGTTCCTGAACATATGCTGCAGCAAACGTTTGAAAGAAAAACAAGCAGATATGGACACAACATACCTGACGACATTGAGATGCCCACCATCTCAAGGTTCAGGCCCTCCCCATAGCAACACCAACTTTCCCCTCGTACACTCCGCCACAATATCGATGATTGGCTGTATGAATTCAGGAAGGCGGTCTATGCATCTGGAGGGCATAGTCAAGAAGTGAGCACCGGAAACTAGTTAGAAAACTTACTTCTGAATGTCGAGGAGATCATCAGGTACCTTCCCGTTCCCTCCAGCCCTCCATGCCTCCATAGCAGTTGCATGCTCCTGCTCACTCCTCTGTAGCCACTCATCCCGTTCCTCCTCTGAAAGGTCACAGGTAGCGGTCGCTTCGCATCTTCTGATGCCTCCCTGGCTTCTGCTTTTCTGTTAACTCACCCTGATTGACCATCGTCTCAAGTTCCTGTTCGATATCTTTGCCGTGAATTTCGCACCAAAGGTTGTACGGGGTTCGCCGGCGGGGTTTTGCAGTCGATTGGCCAGTGAAGCGGGCGAGAAAGTGGTTGTATGGATCGTCGGCATCCTTGGCCATGGTGTTTGCTTCTTTGTGGTGGTATCGAAGCCAACATTCGATTTGCTGACAAATCAAACCTTAGCACTAGGGCAATTTAAAAATAGGCATGACGTACAAAGTTGCATGCCTTCACGGTATCCTGATAAGTTTTATAATCCTCCATAGCCTTCAAGAACTGTTGTGGGCTTAGTTTGGCCGCGTCGGGGAAAGGCATTTCGGGGTCTGCGACGTCGTCATTCACCAATGCTAGGGCTTCAGTGGTGGGTTCTTCATTGTGCGGCAGAAGGGGATGGTATCTTTTGTGGTATCGTCGGCAGACACTGATGCAATAGGCTCGGGCGTGGTCCTCTTTTACCGCCACTCCATATCCAGGGAGCTCACTCATCAAAAAGTCGAACCAGGTACCTTGGAACGTGCCAGGATTGCCCATACTAGTGAGAAGGTCAGCCGTCGCGTTTTAAATCATCAGTGATCCTCAGACTTACTTTTTTTATCTAGCAAATGTGTTTTCAGCGTGTCAACGGCAGTAAGGCAAGGAATTTTTTTCTGGGCTGTCTACTGACACTTTCTTTTTGAAGCATCAGTTGACGGGTCTATACTGACAATATTTCGCCATGCATTTCACTCGATATGGAGGCGATGTAATTTTTCTGGTTCTTTGATGGGTTTCTGGAGCCTAGGCATCAATTGGCAAGTGTTACTTGACTGGTCGCCTTGCTTACTGACAACACCCATCGAAATAGAAAATATGGAAAGCCCGGTCGACCGTTCACACACATTTTCTGGCCTGGATCCCTCTCTTACTGAGGCGATACATCAAAATGGAACGTCCGGTAGACAAGTAGCAGGTGTGTTTTTATCCGGTTACCTTGCTCATTACCACCACACATCGAAATAGAAAGATGTTGAACGCTCCATCATCACTAGAAGCTCCTAAACAGGATATCTCGTTGGTCCGTGAATGTTTAAAAAGACCCCGAACCTGCAGGTCTACCGCCAGGGCATCTATGGCCTCTGCCTCTCGCACCTGTGCCCTCCCAATCCAGCGTCACACCCTCTGGTACATGCCCTCTCCCCTTTTCCCGCTCTTATGCTAACAATGCTTCATTGCTCCCCTCTCCAGATTTTTCGGCTTTGATGGCTGCTCTTGCCAACCTCAACCTGTCGGCAGGTGGTGGTACATGTGGTATTCCTTCGTAATTGATACTTGACTGAGGAAATGTTAGCTACTTTGTCAACCACAACCACGACAACAATTTCTAACACACTCCATCTTCCAGCCTCGAATACTATTGGGGGTACCTCGACCCTTCCAGCAGCGGCGCCTCCTCCGGTAACTGCAGCCAGCACCGCGACCGTCGGGACCCCTAGCACGACCAGCAGCATTACCATTACCACCCCCGCCCCGTCGACTGCGGGTTCTACACCTGCAGCGACAACGACAACGACAACCCCTTCCCGTGCTAAATGCCCGGTGTATCGTATCCCAAGGCCTGAAGACCTTCCTCATCCCCGAAATGTTTGGCCCCCTCAGAATAATTTCTATGTCATTACTTCGGGCCAGGAAGTCGGCCTGTTTTTTACCTGGTACATTCATTTTTCCCTTCCTAGCATCTTTAGCTCACTGGAGCATCAGGAATGAAATGGCGGAGCGGGTTATCGGCGTTCCCGGAAACAAGTATGAGTGGCGAGCAAACTATTACGACGCTGTTGACATTTACCGCAAAGCCTATGACGACGATGAGGTTCACGTCACCCCCCTCGCCGGCTCCCAGCTTTGACATTTCAATTGAGGACGAGTGGGGCACCCTTGATTGGTCTAGCGATGACAAGGATAGCTTTGTGACTGCCATGAGTCAGGCATAGAAGTCAGACGAAGGACTGGGTAGCTACTGCATCAAATACGTAGTTTTTTGGACATTGAATAACCGCCGGCATAGTTTTGTGTAGTATAAAACCTTTGAAAATCATACATACTGTGTGCATATCTCTGTGAATCAAGCCTTAAGGATCTGCCAAATAAGAGATAAACATGTAAATTAACTGAGTCCCACTGCAGGAACCATAATGAGGCTGTGACTAGATCTCTTCGAGATCCTTGGCGACTCCGATTTCAGAACTGGCACACTTTCTCCAAACTCTTTCAGCAACCTCGCCTCCATACAGTCCAGCTCCTTCTTCCTGACGAGTCTTTGGCCATTCACTGTTCATTGTCATCGACACTTTGATGAAGATCGGTTTGGCATCAATGCGCTTCATCCATTCACAATCAGGATCTGCAGTAGCAATTCTGAGCAATTGTTCCCTAAACATTTCGTTAAAAGATATCGTGAGCTTGTCTTTTGGTCGCTGACCTGTGAATCCCCTCATTCACAAAGATGGTTTCTGGCATTTTATGAGTTGAGGGATAGGATGATTTAATATGTGTAGGCGACAAGCAATTGTACTAGGTATTGAAAGTTGTAGCACTGAACTGTTGTGAATTTCAAGAAGGTTCAAGACGTAAAATATCAAAAATTGACAATCATGTGACAAATCTTAAAGCTTGTATGAAGAACTATACATGCTATTTCCCAGTTGAATAGGTTACACCAGAGTCGAGAACGATGGAATGCGAAATTATGTTCTCATGGCATGCAAGACTGGAGTGATCGAACTTCAAGATCAAGACGCCGTTGAGGGCATTCAATTGATTGTTTGATAGTAGATGTTGACGCTAATACACCCCTCCACCTTAATGGTGAAGTCGCGGACTCTTTTACAGATCAAACTCAATGGGATGTTTTCTTTAAGCCTCGAATCCAGTATATACAGTTTGTACCTGGTTTTAAATTATTGTTTCATTCACTATCGTATTATGTTTATGTTTGATTTAAGCTACAGGTACACATATATGTATTCATTCATGCGTTACCCTTCCTAAGTATAGGCATAGAGGCAGTACAAACCAAGACCCATTGCCCATCGCCCAGCGCGAGTTCTGAGGGCAGCATCATGTTCCGCGTCACTGAGCTGGCTCCAGTAGTCCTCACTCAACTGAAGGCCCTGATCCACCCAGCGAAACAACCCCCCCGACGTATACTGCGTGAATGAGTACCTTGTTTCCCCACAGCCGATGGGTGTGTTGGAGTGGCGGAGGATGGCGGATGGGAATAGTATGGTAGATCCGGGGGGGAACTCAATTACCAGCTTGAGGTCCCACAGGATTAGGTGACCGCCTTGCTTGGGGTTGAAGCGACCGAGCGCTGTTACTGAGCACCAACCGAAGGGTAGGTTTCCCGAGTCCGTATGTTCAAAGGTAGCGGTCTTGGGCCCAAAGTTAAACGTGCACGCGCAGAAAATGCTGTTGGCAAAGTTGAGGATAAGGCTGTCGTCACTGAGGAGAAGGGCCTTGAGGTGTTCGGCATAGTATTGAAAGAAGGGCAGGGCCCACGCAGCAAATGCGCCTAAGAAGTCTGAGCAACGGGTATGCAGTAAAGGTTTCATAGCATACCGGAGGCAAATTCTGCTAGGCGTATGAAGGCAATGTGGTTGAGGAGGGTGGCGAGGACACGTGCTGCAGCGCCCTCGTGGCGAAGATTCTGCGGGTGCTGTAGGTACGTTATTTGAAAGATCGCCTGAAGAAGGGTCAAATTACATGCCTTTTGTCCCCCCCCAAATGAAATACCTACTGAGAGGGCAGAGTAGCGGCCGCGCCGATGCATCTGCTGCTTATGTGAGAAATTGCATTCGCGTTAAGTTTGATCCAAGAGGTCGGCGGCCGAGGTATGTATGCCATCCCAGCTGGGATCATCAGGCTGCCCTGCTAGAACGGCAATGACGCGCCCCTCGCCATTGGTGACGGGAGTCGTGGTTCTGCGGGGGGGGGGGAGGGGGATCTTAATGAGGCGGGGATGTGGTAGGAGGTTAGGCACTCACCGGCCGCACCAACCCTTGTAGTCAAACTTGTAACAGCTGTTCGGGCCCACTAAATCCTGCAATGCAACGGATCATTTCCACCCCTCATCAAGGCGCCTGCCGACGTACCCAGAGGATGCTGCTGGGGCACCCTCAGTGGTGTGGTTGGTTGGGATCTCCTCCGCGTGGGTCTGGTGCTTGCGCTGCATATTGGGGCATGCTTGATAGCCATAGGGCTGGCTGGATCCTCGCCGTTTGGCTCGCTGCTTTTTGCGGTTGGCATGGCTTTGATTCTTCTGATGGCTTCGTGAATCAGACTGGCTCAAGGCTGCTGGAGGTGGCGATAGGTCGGAGGCTGCTGACTTCAGTGGAGGCAGCAGCGTGGATTCCGTCATGGGTTCTGGCGTCGTGGGTGCCGAAGGGGGGGGTTCATTGAGGTCAAAGGGATCGTATGCATCCAGGGGATCAAGGGTTTCCTCGTGATCAACGCAGTCGCGGAGGAGATGGGAGAAGCTGAAGTCGAGATCGGAGCTCATTACCAGTGCTGTGGAGCCTTCCCATGGTGAGAAGTGGGCACCAGAATGCGTCTAATTGGGTGTCAGTGATGCAGCTGAGGGAGTGGGAATGCCAGTGAATGAAGGACACGCCTTTCGGAAGGAGAAAAATTCGGTAATGACATCTAAGGATTCAAACATTCAGGGGTCAGGACCGGTAGGAATCTTACACACGATGCGGCCGTCCCAACACACCCACACAATACGGCAACTACCCCAATACCTCGCATTCCCAGGCTTGAGTATTCGTAGGCACGAGGTAGTTGCCGTAGCGGTGGATGTAATTGGGAAGGTAGCTAACAAAATGGACGTACGCGGTAGGACCTTCATGAGGTGAACGCAAGTGGTTGTGGTGGCACCAGACCAAAGTCTAAAAACTTCGAAGCTTCGTGGTGATTCTTCATGCGTCACGCTGCTTGTCAACAATGAACATTTTGTGATCACATGCCTGTTATATCACTTATTTTAGGTTGAGGCGGCCTCACGTTTCAGAGTTTGAAACTCCGACCAGTTGCCAAACCTCGATCCGAGAGCTCGTCTCGTATTTCTTCCTTTCTTGATCGTTCTCAGCAAAGCTAGAGTAGACTTAAGCATATTCGCTATACTTCTCTGATACAATGCAGGGTTTGGGGTCAGAATGTAGGTAGGAAGCAAGGACATGGTGCTCCATGATCTGACCAAGCATGAACAACTTGACCCCAACATTGACAATCTACGCGACCTGAATATAAGAATCCAAGAGGGCCACGTCGCTCATTCTATCAGAGCCATCATGCCCCCACATCCCATTCCCCTCCCAAGTATCCCGGATGCCCATGCCCCAGAGGTCACTCGCCCCCCCCCCCCCGCCTTCTGTCCCTCCATCTCTTCAGGACATCACTAATGCAATGTCTTATATCTCTCAATTAAGCCTTTCCGTCTGTGAGGCCACTTTAATGCATGTTGCTAACATTCGAGCTTACCCTTCGCATAGCCCATCCCGCTTTGCAAGGTCAGGCGACCCCCAGTGATGTCACCGAAGTTGAAGTCTACAAGCATCGATTGATTGATGCCCATACAGCCGGTATGTTGAATGTTGTCACGTTTGTCTTCACATGTCGCTGATACATCTAGTAGGCGAGAATGATGTTATGCCTGCCTGGGCCTCTGCGCTCTTAGAAGGTTGGGCTACCAAGATGGACGATATGGAAGCCCGCCTGCATCGGGATGCTGTCGAGAGGCAGGAATTCCTCGTCCATGATGATAGTGAGCGAGGGCAACGCATTGTTACAGAGCTGCATGGTATCTTTACAAACCGCTTCAATGACCTTGAAACCTGCCTTGATAAGTCCTTTTCCACGATCGAAAAGCACCTCATTAGGGTGGAAATCGCCACCGCTGTCATATGTCACTTATTTTTGCGCTAACTGCCTTCTGACCTTTTTTTGTAGGCCCACAACCTGAGTTGTGGCGATGGTCTCCGACGACCCTTCGCTCTCCTACCCTCTGAGGAAGGTCATCTCCCAAACGATATAGATTTTGTCATACCCAGCCAAAACCTTCCGCTCTTACATGATACGCGTGCTATTGAAGGGCTGTCCGACGACCAGCTTAACGCGTATCACACAGCATATAAGCTGTCTGGGAATTGGCGCACTGGGAATCGGGCAGACAAGCTCCTTCTTCTCCAGTACCATGTTGGATGCTCGGCAAACTATTCCATGTAGCATAAGAAAAAGGTTCGTTCATACATAGTTACATGTTGTGCCGTTGTAAGATAGTTTCGTCAATTTTAACGTATTTTGAGACGCTGCAGGAAATGGCGCTGAGCATCGTATGTCACCACTGTTAGCCACTAACTCAAATCGACTTAGATCGTACTAAGGTCGCTACTTGCACTTCGGTAGACGACACTTTAGCAAGTCAAAGGCGACATAAGTTGATGGGACAGATAGTCACGAAGAACGGAGTTCGTTGTTAGGTAGATTAAACCTTAGCCGAAGCTGGGTTTTAGGCCAGCTGAGGCTCTACTTAAATACACGTTTGTATACTAAAAATAGTACTGTGGGAGTCAGTCCATGATGATCGCCCGTGCGTAATCCGGCTGACTAAAGAAAAGAAAAGAAAAGAAAAGGAAAAAGAAAAAGAAAAAGAATAATCATAACATTACCCCCTCCTTAAGGCTCATTCGTCCCGATGAGACACTGAACCTTCATTTCTCCTTCCTTCCACATGAGCGAGAATGAGGGTCTCCCTTCTGCTTTAAAACAGGATCGATTGGGCCTCCGCTACACCGTAAAAAAGTCACTTCATGTGTTCGGCCTCTGACCCGCTCTCCCCCTGGACTCAGGTTCCTATGCTTCCTGAGCCACCTTGCGCCGGTTAGGCCTCATCTGTCTGTCGGGACCCGTGGTCCCTAAGGGTTCAATGCTCGTGATTGAGCGGTGGAAATCCCCTTCTACACCGTTGAGATATGCCGTCTAGTTTGTGCTCGTCTGAGACGAGTCGTTCGAATCGCCGGCACCGTTTGAAGATGAATATCGTGAGTCGGAATGGAACGACCAGGTGTCATCGTCTGTGTCGTCATCGTTGTCAGTGTCTGAGTCCCAATTTTCTCTTATGCGTTCGAGGTTTCGTAGGTTCACTTCCTCTTCTTCGTCGGGACAGTCATCGGAGAGATTGATATTATCAATGACTTCGGAAGAGGCATAAGAGGTTTGTTGGGCGTCCGAGTGTCTGGGATTGGTACACTCAGAGGAGTACACCGTCTCGATGTCGGTGACACAAGGTGTGTCGGGGTTATGGTATTTAACTGGCAAGCCTCGGGGTATCTTGTCGTCGACTCTGACTGTCTTTCCTTTTTCATTCACGGTCCAGGTAATCTTTTGGATACGTGCCTCATAGTCGTTGATGAGTTCTTCGGCATTGGCCATATCCGAACGTTTTACCCAGGAATTCTCTTCAATTGGGTAACCCTTCCATTTCACCAAGTATTCCATAATGGTGCGGCGAGTCTGTCCACGACCGATGATTCGGTCTCTTTCTTCGACGATCTCTTCGATCTCGTATTCTTCTTCATCATCAATTAGCTCAGGGGGCGGCCTCTCCGGACGTGGTTGATTCGGAAATTCAGGGGAATGATAAGGAGTGAGTAAGGACTCGTTGAAACGATTATGAATGCGCCATTTGGCTGGGAGTTTCAACTCATAGGCTGAGGCTCCCTTCTTGGCAACGATGGCGAATGGTCCTACTCGCCGATCCCCTAATTTCTTCATTGGGCGAGGAAGGCTTAGGTTGGTAGAATCTAGCCATACCCTGTCGCCAACCTGGTATTCCCTTGCCTTTCCTTTGTGCTTGTCGTAAGCCGTCTTCATTGATGCGGCCGCCTTTTCCAGTGATTCCTTCGCCTTCTCCTGTACCTTCTGGATCCCTTGGACCAGCTGGGACGCAGCTGGTACCGCGTCTCGGCGTTGCGTGGTTTTAATAACCTGTCCATCCCGACCAAAGACAACTTTATACGGGGAAAATCCCGTAGCTGAATGTTTTCGATTGTTGTGGGTAAAGGCAGCGAGTGGTAGCCACTCGCTCCAGTCGTCTTGTCGATAATTGACGAACATCTTGAGGTATTTTTCGATTTCTTGGTTAACCCGTTCAGTCTGCCCGTCGGTTTGGGGATGATACGCTGTCGAGGGATTTCCTGTGACTTGAATGAGGGCGTAGAATTCTTTCATGAATTTGGATACGAAAACGGCCCCCCCTATCCGAGATGACCTTCTCAGGCATGACACCGTATGGTACATAGACGTAGTCTCGTAGGATCTTGGCGAAACCTAACAAGGACAATTCTTCTGTACAGGCGATCGGGATGATAGTCTTAGAGAATCGGTCGACAATGACGAGGATAGAGTTGTTCCCCCTCGAGTCCGGGAGTTTGGTGATCATGTCGACGGAAATATGAGTCCAGGGTCGGTCCGGAACCTCATTAGGGTGGAGGGGCGCTTTCTTTGGATGACGGTCTGCTTTAGTTCGCTGACATACTTCACATCCTCTCACATAATTTTCCACCTCCGTACGCATTCGGGGCCACCAGTAGTCCCGCAGGATAAGCTCTTTTGTCTTCTCAATGCCCGGGTGTCCCGCGGTTACATGATCATGTTGTAGAGCTATGATCTCGCCCCGCAACGCCTTGTCCCTTGGTACGTAGACACGTCCATCATACCACAGTAACCCCTGATCACGGGAGACTCCCTTTTCGTGATTAAGAGAGTCGGATACACCTCGATCCCACTTGCGTGGGTCGTGAGTAGCGAGTCTAACCTTGTCGTGCAGCTCCTCCATGGTGGGCATGACGAGAGCACGAAAGTGAGCGGGCTTCAGGACGGTTACGTCCCGGTTGTCATCCTTCCCCTGGTTGTGATCCGCCCGTCGAGATAGCAAGTCGGCCTTACGATTTTGGGCTCCAGGCTTGTGATGTAGAGTGAATTGGTACTCCGCCAACTCCGTCACCCACCGCACCTGGCGTCGGTTAAGTTTCTGAGGCTTTCGGAAGT